TATATTAGTACCCCACATAGAAAGTCAGTATTATTTGCTGTAAGTAGAAAGTAGCTATAGTGATGAGTGAATGAAGATAGAAGAAAGCTGTTAAGTTCTAACTAGACGCTGATGTTCGGAGTTTATTCTCTGCTTCTGCATCTAAGAGGGAAACCGGGGAGTGTCAGAGAGCAGTTAGAGGCACCCTGCCAGCTTTTTCATCTAACTGGGAGGGTTGAAAGAGGGTCTACAAGAGATGAACTTCCAAACTTTAGGACTTAATGTGATTTAACTCCAAGTTTCATTCCACATTTTTGGAAAAATGGAGAGGAGGAAAGCAAAACTGTTCATGTTTTTAACAACTGTTATATTCCATTTGGATTAGGTTTCCCCTTCCCTTTACCTTTTCTTTCAGCTCATCCCAGAACACATCTGTTAATAATAATAATAATGATAAGAATAATAAAATAGCAATAATCAGAGAAACTAACATTTAATGAGCTGCTTTCTGCTAAGCACGGTGGTAAGTGCTTTCAATGAGTTATCTCATTTAATCTTTATAAAATCCTTTATAAGGTATGTATCAGTATTACTCCCATTTTACAGATGAGTAAACCTCAGCTGAGACATCGGGTGGGTAGCCCAAGGTGACATATGTGGGAAGTGTGGATTTGAAATGTAAACCCAGGTAGTCTGATTGTCAACAGAGCCCACAGTCCTAAACGTGTGCAACGGTGTTCATTATGGGATTAATTTGTTCCATGTTCAGCTGTTGCACCCATGACAACAGCCGAAGAAGCTGTGGGGGGCCCCCTTCCTCATGTTGCTGAAGATTTTTCCTTTCCACATCCACTTGGGCCCTGGAGAGGAACTCCGGGTGTTCTTATTCCAGTCGCTCCCAATGCTCACTCGTTCTGTTGTTTTCTGCTCCTGCTTCCACTCTCTGAACCTCAACTCCCATTTTCACACAGTGCAGGGATTCGGGGAAAGGACTGGTCAGCAGGAAAGGCCCTTCTGCCCTGATCTTGCATAGTCTTTCTAGCATTCAGCAGCCTGGGGTTACTGAATCACCCAGTGGCAGACTGTGAGAACCAGATGTGTGAGCCAAAGAAATCAGTGGTCCTTTATATTCCAGACCATCACGGAGGCTGCCCGTGCCACAAGTGGCCCCTGCGGAAGGCAGTTGACTTCCCCACATTTCTCGGTTGAAAACTGGAACATTATCTGGACTGTGCTCGCATCAGGCCCAGTAAACATCAGCTCACCCCTGCAGGCACTTTACAGTTTCTCTGCACTTTCATGGGATCTCTAAGCCTCTCATAACAGCTTCTAGGAAGGGATTGTTGACTGTATTTTGTAGAAAACAGACTTAGTTAGGAAAATTGATTTGCCCGAGAACACAGAGCTTATATGGGGCCGGAACTGAAAACACTTCAGGTTCCTCAATCCTAGCAAAGTGCTTCCTTCCTCCTCCTCCTATTTCTAAATATACAAATTATACATTTTTAGACTATATAAATTATGGGTTACACAAATGACGTATTTATGTAATCCATTCCCACTATAAAAATTTCCAGTTATATAGATTTAACAAAATACCCCTTGTCTCCACTCAATCCCACTCTCCCAGAAATAATTGCTGTTATCACTTGGCTAATATAATTTGAGAACATTTTCTATGCACTTACATATGTATAAATGTACATATAAAAACATATGGTTTTGTTTTGTTCTTCTATGCAAATAAAATGATGCTGTATACAATAATCTGCTACTTGCCTTTTTCAAGTGTACCCTACACATCATTTCAACACATATAATTCTTTTTAGTTGCTAGTTGTGTATTGCATTTCATGCTATAGACATTATATAGTTTGCAGTGTTGTTTCTTTGGTGTTCTGGCTGCTTTCCATGTCTGAGTGGGGCACCTAGCCTGCACCAGTAAATCAGCAGCCTCTGGTTTTCTGTGCTAACAGACTGTGCTAACCCACAGGAAGGTCAGCTGGAGTGGTTTCAAGTATCAGTGGCAGCAGCAACTCTGACTTGGCGGCTTCCCCGATGGGGAAGGCCGATGCTTAGATGGATGGGCTCCCACTTAGAGGGACTGAGAAACTTTGCCCAAGTTGCACAGGCTTTAGTCAGACTGAAGGTGTCCTGCTCCCATCACTTCCTAGATGTGAGCTTTTGAGCAACTTATTTAACCCGCTAAACCCTGGTGTTCTCACTAGTAAAGTTGGGGACATACTGATCATATTAATACAGACTTCAAAGTGTTATTTTATTTTATTTTTTGAGACAGAGTCTTACTCTGTTGCCCAGGCTAGAGTGCCGTGGCATCAGCCTAGCTCACTGCAACCTCAAACTCCTGGGCTCAAGCGATCCTCCTGCCTCAGCCTCCCGAGTAGCTGGGACAACAGGCATGCACCACCATGCCCGGCTAATTTTTTCTATGTATTTTTAGTTGTCCAGCTAATTTATTTCTATTTTTAGTAGAGATGGGGTCTCCTTCTTGCTCAGGCTGGTCTAGAACTCCTGACCTCGGCCAGGCGCAGTGGCTCATGCCTGTAATCCTAGCACTCTGGGAGGCCGAGGCGGGTTGATAGTTTGAGCTCAGGGGTTTGAGACCAGCCTGAGCAAGAGCCAGACCCCATCTCTACTAAAAATAGAAAGAAATTAATTGGCCAACTAAAAATATATAGAAAAAATGAGCTGGGCATGGTGGCGCATGCCTGCAGTCCCAGCTACTAGGGAGGCTGAGGCAGAAGTATCGCTTGAGCCCAGGAGTTTGAGGTTGCTGTGAGCTAGGCTGACACCACGCCACGGCCCACTCTAGCCTGGGCAAAAGAGTGAGACTCTGTCTCAAAAAATAAAAAAGAAAAAGAAAAAAGAAAAAAAATAACTCCTCACCTCGAGCGAACCTCCCACTTCGGCCTCCCAGAGTGCTAGGATTATAGGCGTGAGCCACTGCTCGCGGCCCAAAGTGTTATTATAAAAGGTATGGAAGGCACTTGGTAGTTTTTAAAAGTGATTTTAACTAGCTAACTTTTATACCGTCATGATTTACTCTTAATAGCCTCACCAGTTCTCTCTGCTTCCTACCATCCTGGGATATGGTCTGAGGAACAGGTTATGGAAAGATTGGTCCCCCAAACCCTTTCATAATAAGGGGAATTATAGCGGAAGCAATACTATCTCCACTCGCATCACACAGTCCAGCTTCCTGGAGGCTCCCATTGGATCCTCACCACTGGCCTATGGAGTGGGTATATTTAGTTGTTACCATTTTACAGAGGAGGAAACTGAGGCTTAAGGGTAGGGGTTGTGTGACTATCTCCAGGTCATCCAGCAGGTGTACCAGGAACTTAGAATCTGAACGCAGGTCTTCTGATTGCAAATATGAAGTCCCTGTAAGAACTGTGGTACTAGCTATTAGATTGATTGTTAGACCCACACATGGCAGCATGAGAGACAAGATTCTCTCTGATATCCAGTCATGTATCATCCATGAAATATTCCCTAGGGCCCTTTAAAAATGTGCCAGACACTGCACTGCACCAAAAGCTGATGACATAGTTAAATGGATGAATAGGACAATTTAGTTCTCTATGGCCAAATCTAGTCTGTGAGTCTTCACAATGGTGTTTTACTTTTTTAAATGGCTGGGGGGTGGGAGTCAAGAATAATATTTTGTGACATGTTAAAATTATGTGAAATACAAATTTGTGTCCATAAATAAAAGTTTTATTATACCACAGCCATGCCCATTTGTTTGTATTGTCTATGGCTCCCATACCATAACCAGAGTTAAGTAGTTGCCACAGAGAATGTCTGTGACCCACTGAGCCTAACTAAGTATTTACTATCTGGCCCTACATAGAAAGATACAGAAAGTTTGCTCACCCTTGCTGCAGAGCAATCGCTATCTAGCCATTCATGTTATACACACTCACTAAAGGTTCATCATGGCAGAATGATGACTTTACTATTGTACTTCTATTTAACAGAAGTGAGACACATGGATGAACCAAGAAAAATGACACAGCAGCAGCCTCTTGTGGCCGATGGAAGCATATTTAATTTCGTTATGGTTACCGTGAACAACTGGGGTTGAATTGAATCTTCACTGAGGGTTGGGGAGCCCTCTAGGATATTCTGTAATTTATTTCCTGCCACTTACTGACCACAGTTCTAACCTAGATAGTGAAACATACTCATCTAATTAAAAAGGAAGTTAGCTGAGTTAAAAACAATGTAATAAAGAGATGACAAAATGCAGTACCTAATTGGATCACTCTTCCTAATGTGATAGGAAGAGTTTTAACAGCCTTGGAAAAGGGAGAACTTTGAAGACATTCAGAATGATTACCATTCAGAATATTTTAGTGTTAGGAAGACTTGCTGGCATCTTTGTATTTCTATCATTAACAACAGAGGCAGCCTTGTGGCCATCAGATACTTTGAAGATTCTTGTCCTACCTGGTCTAAACCATGTCCTGACCATGGGTGAGCAATTTTTCTCTGGGCTTCAATCAATCCCCTGTAAATGAAGGGACTGGACAAATCTCAAAGGACCTTTATACCTTACACAGACCACAATCCCACGTCTATTTGGAAAGCCTTCATAAAATTTTTCTACAAATCGTCAGTTTAAATAATCTGAGGTCACTCAGCTAGCAAGTAGCAGAGCCATGTCTCGAATGTAGTTACTCTAAAAGCTTTTGCTCATTACCCTGACACTACACTACTACTACCTATATCACTGCCATATCAGGACAATTTCTCTCCTTGAGAAGGGAGAAAGGCCATCTCCTGATGACCAGATATTTGGGAATTCTGCTGTTCCCAGTATTCTGTTGTATAGAGTTCTGTGAGCTGAACATCCTATAGCCATAGAACTTAAAAGAGAGATAAGAAATTGGATTACACTGGAATTGTATTTAGATACAACTCTGTACATCGCTTTTCTGTGTAGTATTTGCTACTCTTCTTCGAAAAAGAGGGATTCAGGTCCAAGGCAAAAATAAAGTTTTTAATAAACTTTTATTTTTATATTCAAGATAAAGCATATACACAATTAAATGTGGAAATAAATAACTAGAAATGCTTTGGAAACTTTTCCATTTCCCACTCAAACTCATTTTTTTAAGCTCATGAGTCTTTTTACTTGATTTTAAGAAACATAGTAACTATAATACCAAGAAGAAAAAGAAACTACAGCTTTGTACAGAAACATACAGCCTCATCTGACTATAGGGTTTAGTCGGTGTTTTAATAACAACAAAAAAAAGCACACAAGACACAAACACTCTTCAACAGATTTACTCAAACAGCTTCAAGAAGAAAAAGGCACAGATTTAAGGGGATGACAATGATTATTAAGAATATAGTAAATGGGGCTCAGTCAAAAAATGATACTTTATGAACTAAGTCAGGAAAAATGAACAAAATGAACTCTTTCAAATTATCTGCCTTCATTAAAATGAATTTTTAAATTAAATTGTATAAACATATGATATAAAGTTGGAACTTTAGGAAGTATCTTTGTATATTTCCTCTATGTACAAATCTTTGTATACAACTTCAATGTTCCTTATTACATTTCCTATATATCGAACCGAGCCAGGGCCTCCCAACTGCATGCCTCAAGTCCCTGTGGAGCGTTCTGGCAGCTGGATGGCCCTAGCTGCTTTCTGACAGAACAGCTGGAAAGGAGGGTGGCCAATCAAATGTAGTCGTCTTCAACTGGTTCTCCATTGACATCACAATAGTGGATAAAAATTGCCACAACTCGCTGAAACACACCCTTCTTCATCTGTCGCATCTCTGAAATTTCTTCTCCTATTGTTTCCATACAGATGTCTGCAGAGAGCTGCCCTTTCCTTCGAGGAGCATAGATGGTGCCTTGGAAATTAGAAAGAAAAGGGGAGACATGTATGATAATCAGAATCATTTGGAAAATCACTCTGATAAGCTGGTCCATAAAATATAATGTAATATAATGTAACTAATGTATGAAAGTTCATGGAATGGGTCGCCATCAGTTAAGTTTTGTGCCATGTTTGATGTCTAAGACAGCTTACATGATTAAAGATCCAAGGTAAAAATAATGTACCAGAGAGGTAAGTCATATATCTGTACATGTAGTTCATAAGTCCATTCCTACATAAAATATTTTTTAAAAAACCCTAGCTAAAAATAAATACTCAAGTGTGCCAACACTCAGAGAAACAAATTCAAAATTTCCTCCCCAAATTTCTACACCTAAATCATAAGTTCATTCCCACATGCTATATAATAAGCAGCTCATAAGTAGAATTAGCATAATTAGAACAATTTTGAAACAATATAGTTGATAAAATCTTAACAGTTAACACGATCACAAACATTTAGGTAATACAAAACTCTAATAGGAAAGTGTCTAGCAGGAATCCTATCCGCCAGCCTTCACATATCCCCAGTAAGTCTACTGATCATCTATTGTACAAATTCAGAGGTGTTTTAGGGTGGGATGGGGGGAGGAAATAAAAACATTTATACGGGAAACCATTTAAAAGCTGCACTACTAACTCTCAAATGTAATATTAAGTATCTAACACAGTAAGATACACTTAAATTACAGAATACAAGTCAAGTCAGGTCATAATTACTTTCTTCATCGTCTTCAAAATCGTATCGGGCAAAGCTGTTGGGCTCTGCTGCCCGTAATGACCTAAGCCAAGGAAAGTCAGAAATCAGGGAATACGGCGCTCCATCCACAACACCTAAAGGAAGAAGACAGATGTGGTAGCGTTAAGGGTGTGGAAGTGCTGACAGTTCCAAACTCTGCAGTACTTTTTAAGTGGAATGTAAAATATAAAGAGTGAGTAGTCAGGTGCCTTCAAGTCATTTCCAACTCTCAGACCACACTAATTTTCAATTTTTGCGCCTACTTTTTGTGTTTCAACACTGCTTCTTATTATTCTAGGGATGGTAAAGACTCACACAGGCAGAGCAGTATTTATCTGGTCCCTGCTTTTTGCAGGTATTCAAATCACCCATTATTTTGACAAATTGTAAGGTTCTCATTCATATCTCCCCTAAGGCATGTCCCTCTCTCTATCTAGCTAATAACTATTTAACTTTCCAAACATTTAAAAATGCTCACCTTCTAAAGTATAGATTTCTCTTCCCCAGGGGTACTTGGGGTACTTCTTTAAGTCTTCTTCAGTTCGAGTAGCCTCAGGGAAGAATTCATACTTAATGAGCTCTCTGGAGGCAACAAATTAAAATAAAAATTATAAAACTGGAAATAATATTAGGGTATAGGGGTAAAATGGAACCATCAAAATTATTTCAGACCTAGATTCTACTGAACATCTTAAACAAAATATAAAATACTTAACAGAAATAGAATACATTACATTCAAATTATAAAATGCAAATCTAGTCAGGTCAAAATTACTTCCTTCACTATCTTCAAAAGAAAGCAAGCTATTCTCCATGCAAATGTCTTATGTATAGAAGGTCCTCAATGCAACATTCATATAACAAATACATAAAAAGTCCAATTTTCCAATGATAACATGATAGGCTTAAGATTTCTTTAACTTGATCTCTTTACTATGCCCTAAGACTAAAGACATAAATTTAAATGTATATGTATAAAGTCTGTCTTATAATTTTCTCTAAGTTAAGTAAAAGGTTACATATACATGTATACTTTTTAGTTTAAGTCCTTACTTCTTCAGTTTTCATATATATTGACTTCATGATAAGCCTGCTGAAAGCTCAGATGGAATCATTTAAAAATAAGGAACAATTGATTTGCTTTTGGGAGCCCAGCTATGACAATGACTAAAAGCCTTTCGAGGCCACAGAATTACTTACTGATTGATGTTTGCTATAGTGTCCATCCAGCTGCGAATGCGCACTTTATTGCGGACATTAGGAGGGTTACTGAATTCATGGATGCAGATGTGAAGGGTAGGGGCCACTAAACAGCTTCTGCTCCAAAGTTAGTGTGTCTACCTGTGGAAGACATCATAAAGAGGTATTTGGACAAGAAAGAGAAAGCCTTAGAAATCTTTCTCCTAGAGCTTGAACAATCTTTCTTGGGTCTTTAGTTTGAAATCCCTGGATGATTTGAAAAATCGAATCTTCACAATCAGCCCTGATACAGCATGCCACACTGGGGTTAAGATTAGCAAATTCTTCTGTCCTATGAACTCAAGATCTCTCACATATTATGTAAGTGCCCATTATACCAGAGAATCCTAAGGTAAAATGATTCAGTCACTCAGAATCTACTTCTGATATGTTCTTTATAGGTGTAAGTATCAATGCATTATAAACTGTCACTGTGTAGCATCATATAACTACTCACAAATGGACTACTACTAAGTTTTAAATATATAACACACTTTCTCCTTGTCTCCTTGTGGACTCTGTCACCATTGTTTTCTTCTCAAATGTCTCCCCAGTCCCTAGTTATAAGATTCCACTCTGCCATCTAAGTGGCATCTGTTTATTTCTTTTTGGGAAGGCAAACCTCTTGAGGGAAGAATAATGTGCTGTGTGTTTTTAGCACCATCAGATTTTGATGTTGAGATACTCACAATCTGTCAACACTCACTGCTTTGAGGCCATCATACACATTTACTACAAGGTGGTTAATATCTTCTGTAAAGCTGTCTTTTGGTGTCAAGCACAGAATCCAAATACAATGTTTACTTCTTAATCCTGATTGTTTACTATATACTAGCAACGTTCCAGAATTCACCTAATATTAATAACATTACAATACCCTAAGCGTACTATTAGTCTCATTTTACAGATGAAGAAACTAAGACAAAGAAGTTAAGTAATCTGATGCAAGCCAGACAGCCAGAATTTGAATCAGGCAATCTGAACCAGAGTCTATGTTCTTAACCATATAACTTCTAGTAAGTACAAAAATCTGTTGAATAACAACTACCTCATCATATTCATATAATTTGTTTAAAAATATATAGAAAATCTAGCAGAAACACATTAATGAAAAAGACTGGCAAGATCTTGTCTACTTGGTCTAGCGTTTAGAATCTAAAAATCATTAATTGTGATTGAACAAATGTAATAACTACAAAATCAAAGGTTGAAAAACAACACAAATTCACCACAATATGTGTATCATCAACAAAGACAAGCTCTTACCTGCTGCATTGGGCGTAGGTTATATGATACGGTTTCTCTCAGGAGCATCCTTAGTATTCTGGTCTAGTACCTGATCCATATTAGTTTTCTGCATTGTGCATAGTCAAATCGGTTGACAATTGGTGCATTTTCACTTTCAAATGTTTCAGTACCCTGCACCTGGTAGCTACAAAATAAAAAAAAAGTAGAACCTTTTTAATTAATTTATATAAAAAACAGAACAATGTATAGACCATTTGGAACTCTTTGGAGCCTGGACTATTATATTAGCACAAAAGACTGTAGTTATAACATCTTTAACATAGGTCAGTCAAGTACAAATTATAAAGTACAAATGAATGACAGTTAACAAAAGGATTTGAAATATAATTCTGTTTAGTTCAAAGAAGTGATTACCTTCATGCTAGAAGGGACATTAATGTCGTCTTTTCTATCTAAGATTTACTGTTAAGAAACCAAGTCTAGAAAAGACTTGTCCAAACAGGAATTGTTTAGGAAGATATTTATCGAAAGATGAATGATAACTATTAAGTTATAAATTTTGTAGTTTAAATGGTCAAATAAACCTAGAATCAATTCACAATATATCAACTACATTCACTCCAGGAAATGAGCAGAGATGATGTTATCCTTATCACCAGTATAAAAGCAGAACTTAAAAATAAAGACCTAGAAATAATGGATACTTAGGTCTAAAGCTTTATAGTCGCAATATGGTAGCCACTAACCACCTGTAGCTATCTAAATTTAAATTAATAATATAATTAATTGTAATTAATTAAAATATAATAAATTAACAATTCCATTCCTAGCCACAAGTTTAAGTGTTCAACAGTCACATGTGGCTAGTTGTCACACACTGAACAGGATAGTTACAATATTTCAATCACAGCCGAAAATTCTATGAAAACACTGGTTAAAAAACATAATTGGTCTTCTGTTTAGATATAAAACATGAAGATCATAAGAAAAGTAATTGCTATATAATAAACATATTAAACTGTACTAGTTATATCAACTCCCTTTTTTCACCTCAAATTTCAACCTGGTCTATTTAAGAGAGAAGATCAAATGGAAAAGATTATAAATCAATAGCTATTTTGCCTGATCTTTTTAACATTTCATAAAGACAACTTCTGTAACATCCTTGACCAAATGTCATCATTTTCCTTAGCATGTCAGCCCTGTAACCACCCTTTAAACTGAGCAAGTCTCCTGCTTTTAGGTTCATTTCCTCCTTTTGTAACATGGCAGAAAAAAGGAGAACTTACGTTGAAGACAGGCAGACAAAAGAGGGAGAGACTACATAAAATAAGGATCCAATGGTTCTCTGCTATAAACTAGACGTGGCTAAATTTAGTTTAATCTCATTAAATCGTCCATCTGCCATAAACTTAGCTGATATCTAGAGACTGAGCTTAATTATTGAAGATGCTCTGTCCCATGATAACGACTGAGATAAACAATTTGGTTTAACATACATATTTGCTGCCATGTGAGCTGTATTTAATTCATGATAGTTTTGAGCCTGAGCCTTGTGAAGCATATGTAATTCACAAGCCTCTACCTTGGAGCCGCATGAACTGAATTTTTCAAGTTGCATATAACTCACGCACCAGAAAATAAAAAATAACAAATTTAATTAAATTGAAAGGATCATTTTGTTAGACAATTTTATTCTATTTTCGTAATAAAACACTGTGGCCCCAAGGAAAAATTTTTTTTCTAGTGAGGAAGAAGCCTGGACCTGAGGCCATGTGATCCTTGACTAGGTTAGAGAAGGTATGAGGAGAATCATCAGAGTGCAGTGAAGAGATGAAAACCAGTCAGGTTCTCAGAGGGCTCAGAGTAAAGAAAGGAAGGGAATAAGATGCCAACTAGCAGAGTCTGAAGTTTGAGCTCTAGATTCTCAGAGTTCAGGGTCAGAGGGTGGAGTGCTGACTTATTCTTACACCGCTGCTCTAAAGCTAGGGTGAACAGCACTGCTGTTATGATCTCTGAGCTTTTGAGGAGTTCATGTTTTTTGTTTTAGGAGGAAACTCAGAAGACAACAGTGATTTATTATATATGTTTAGGACCAAAGATCTCATTGACCAGGATGGAGAAAAGTACTACATCTTTAGGGTGACCATGGGGCCTGAGGTCCTCAAGGTCTGGACTCTTGTAGAACTAAAGGAGAGGTAACGTTTGAACCTCAGTTTCATCTCTCCTTTCTAGGATTTTCCCAGTTTACAACAAAATGTTTGGTAAGCACCTTTTAGTGGGATTTCTTTGCCTTGTTTATTTTTCTTTTTTTTTTTATTTCAGCATATTATGGGGGTACAGATTTTAAGGTTTCAATAAATGCCCATTTCCCCCCCTCTGCCTTGTTTATTATAATACTAAAATAGAAGAAGAAGTACAAAGAAAAGATAACCCCTTGATTTTTTTTTTTTTTTGGTAATTCAGGTTGAGTATGTATCTCTTATCTGAAATGCTTGGAACTACAAGTGTTTCAGATTTTAGATTTTTTCAAATTAGGGGAATATTTGTATTATATATTCACATGTTGAGCACCCCAATCCAAAAATCTGAAGTCCAAAATGCGTCAATGAATGTTTTCTTTGAATGTCATGTTGGTGCTCAAAAAGTTTTGGATTTTGTAGCATTTCAGATTTCAAAATTCTGAATTAGGGATGCTTACCCTGCACTAATATAATACAAATTAACATTTACTTGGTGTTTACTAGAGTTGAGACCCTGTACCATGTGTGGGTAAGTGTGTATATGTACATATACAGGCATATCTCATTTTACTGTGCTCCACAGATAATGAATTTTTTACAAATTGAAGGTTTGTGGCAAACCTGCATTGAACAAGTCTATTGGCACCACTTCTCCAACAGAAATGTGCTCACTTCGTATCTGTCACATTTTGATCATTCTCACAATATTTCAAACTTTCTCATTATTATTATATAAATTACAGTGATCTGTGATCAGAGATCTTTGATGTTACTACTATAATTGTTTTGGGGTGCCACATGCCATACCCAAATAAAGATGGCAAACTTAATCGATAAATGTTATATGTGTTCTGACTGCTTCACTGACTGTTCCCCATCTCTTTCCTTCTCCTGGGGCCTCCTTATTCCCTGAGACACGACAATACTGAAATTAGGCCAACTAATAACCCTAAAATAGCCCCTGTTTATGTGAAAAGAAGAGTAGCACACCTCTCACTTTAAATCAAAAGCTAGAAATGATTAAGCTTAGTAAAAAAGGTATGTTGAAAACCTTTGGTCTGGATAGAAGATCAAACCAGACACTTAACCACTTAACCACAAACCATTTCCTTAACCACTTCGGTACAAGCCTTGACTATAGTCGATAGCCGTGATACAAAGGTGCACAGCTGAGTGTTGACTTTAGTCAACAGCCAAAAGCTTTTACTTTTACAGCTTTTATCTCTGCAGTTGGAGTATGTACATTCAGCTAATAAGTCACTACGAATCTGTGACCTTTTAACAAGTCCTTAGTAGGAGTTATTATAGTTATTTTACTAAAGCTGCCTGTAAAGTAAAACAAGCTTTCAGTGCTTTAAAGCTTTCCTCATCACACAAGAGCAAAACAGAATCGTCATCAATGCACAGCAGGAAATACCGTGCCAACTATGAGTGCCAGCTGTGGGCAAGGTTTAGTGGCCGGTGAGCACTGTACTGAAGTTTGCACTGTGCTTAAGCCAAAGCCTAACCCAGGGGAAGGCTCTCAACATCCAGGCCAGATTCTCCAACAGCACAATGATTATAACTTGCTCAAGGCTTGGATGACTGTTAGCAATTTTTATCAATAAGTATTTTTAAATTAAGGTATACACATTGTGTTTTCTAGACATAATGCTATTGCACACTTAAAAGACTACAGTATAGGCCAGGCATGGTGGCTCACACCTGTAATCCTAGCACTTTGGAAGGCAAGACAGGTGGATCGCTCAAGGTCAGGAGTTCAAAACCAGCCTGAGTAAGAGCAAGACCCCATCTCTACTAAAAAATAGAAATAAATTAATTGGCCAACTAAAAATATAGAGAAAAAATTAGCCGGGCATGGTGGCACATGCCTGTAGTCTCAGCTACTCAGGAGGCTGAGGAAGAAGAATCACTTGAGCCCAGGAATTTGAGGCTGCTGCAAGCGAGGCTGATGCCACGGCACTCTAGCCTGGGCAACAGAGTAAAACTCTGTCTAAAAAATAAAATCGACTACAATATAGTGTAAATATAACTTTTATATGTACTAGGAAACCAAAAAATTCGTGTGACTCTCTTTATTGCAATATTCACTTTATTGTGGTGGTCTGGAATCAAACCCGCAGTATCTCTGAGGCATGCCTTGTATACATACACATACACAGACACATTAATCACTGCATTTAACTTTCTTAAATGTTTTATGAGTTAAGCATAGTTGTATAGTTTACAAACTGAAGAAAATGAACACAGAATATATAATTTGCCCAAAGCAAGAAGCAAATCAGATCTTCATAATTTACATGGATGGCTAATCAAAAATATAATTTTGAGAGAAAAAGGAAAAATTAATAGATCATATATAGGACATACTATATATCTAAAATTTAAACAATTTAAAAAATTTAAAACAATACATATGAAAGAGACATATATTAAGTATATGAAAGGTACACTGGAAAAACATATATTCAATACAAAAGTATGAATGGTGGGAATAGATGAGATAGATTGGCAATGAGGGACAAATGGGACTAAGAAGAAAAGCAGAGACTTGCCTAATGATAATGTGCCAGGAATTAAGAATATGACTAATCATCTCAATCAAATACAGAGCAGTTATGCACTTAAGGCCTAGTCACTACTGCCCCTCAAAACATGTCCAAATTACACAGGCTAGCAAATGTCTGAGTTGAGGTCAATTCAAGCTGAGGTCTATCTTACCTAAGCCCATACATGCTGTTAATCCATTCTGCCAGATCAGGTAGCAATTATCTTTTGGAGGAGAGGCTATTTTAAAAGATGAACCAAATTTCTACACCTGGAACCTCAGAAATACTACAAAGTTATTTGAGAACTATAGAACAAAAACTGAATTAGTGATAATCCAATACAATGTTTCTTTTAAAAAAACAATACAATAATGTTATTGTAGTATTTATGAGTTTTTAATTCTTTAAATCTATTCATGATGATCTTGTATTATACCGGCCCAAATACATACCATGGATGAACATCATCTTGGGACAGTCTTTTAGCACTAGATCTGTGATTCCACAATTGGTCATAGTGACTCCAACAAGATTTTTGGATTTTAATACAAGAACCTACAAGGAGAAAAATTAAAAAGTTGTATGTGAATGTATCTTTCTGTTCTTTGTTGTTTTTTAAGCTTACATGTTTTCACTGGAACAACTGAGAAGCAGGTGTTACCAATTTCTTCTTTTTAGGACAAAGAAACTACATAAAGATACAAACTTTAGTTCATTTGCATTATTCAAGAACTGAACTGGACTGTGATAATGATAAATGAGGGTTTTTCCCCTTTACCTGCACGTGGTCATCCTCAATCACAGGATCACTGGTACTGGTGGATTTATCTGCTGTCCGTTTCCGTTTCATGGCATGACGTGGCTTAGTTTTGGCAACTTCTAGAAAAGGCAAAAAGAATACCTAAATTTTAGCTTTGTTTTCTTTCCTTCAAACATATTTAGTTGCATACTTTAAACTCCATCAAGGCAATTCCCAAATCTACAACTTGGTTCCCAATGGAATACGGTTATATATATATCAGTATTTCCAATGGACCATTTCAAAACAGAATCACTCTCCACTATCTCAACTGTATCTACACCGAACATAATGCCCTTTTCATACCTGACCCATTCTAATCAACATGCTTGTCTTTAGTCTGACTCACCCTATCCTAAATACTATTGGTGGATCAAGCTCATGACTTTCCTGCTACAAAGACTTTAAATTATTGACTGCTGCACTAATAATATGTTTCAATGCCTGACATTTGGAGCTATGCTCTAGCTCTACCTGTTCTCAGTTTAATCCCATTCCACATCCTAGTCATCGTCTACTGCCAATGTTTCTATAGCCATCAACTATTTTAGCTTTTTCCGCCCAGGACAACTTTTCTGGCTTGACTTTTTGAAATGCTACCCATTAGTGAAAAGTCCAGCTGAAACACCATCACCTGTTCTAACAAATCATCCTGGATCTTGAAACATTATATATTGTTCTGAAGTTCCTGTACACTTGTTTTGTCTCTCCATTTAAACTAAAAGCTCCTTAAAGACAACACTGTCTTATTTCATCTTTGTTTTGATGTCAGCCACCATTAATGAGCTAAAATGAACATTTATTGAATAAACTGCCACTGAACAAGAATGAATGCACCACAAGTACATAAATAGAATAACAAATATTTACTGAGCGCTTACTGTGTGTCAGGCACTGTTTGAAGGGCTTTAATATATTAGCTTATTTATACCTTATTATATCTCTAAGCTAAATCTGTAATTCTCCTCATTTTACATATCAGGAAACTGAGGCATGGGAAGATAAAAGAGCTTGCCATGGTGTTAAATGCAAACTAGGAGTGAAACCCAGGAAATCTGGCACCAGTCACTAAGCTAGAAAACCTACAATCTTTTATCTGTCAAACCCTGGCTAGAACGTCCCTTATTTACTGGCATTGTTCTAAAACAATATACTTCAATTATAAAATCAAGTATTACCTTGATTTTATTTAAAAACAATTTCTAAATTCACACCTAAAACTTAATAAGCACATATATATTAAGAAAATGCATTACAAGTCCTTGTCCTCACTTTTGATGCGTAGTCAACTGTAGCAGAGCACACATTGAATGAAATACAGTTGACCTTAATGAATTAAATACCCATCATACTGCTCTTTTAGATACCACTGCTAATTACAAACATTCCACTTACTAATTCTGCAACCTCAAACATGAAAGGAAGATAGGGAAATGAGGTATACAAATACTACAAATTCCCAAAAGTTTGGGTTTTGATGGGAACTCTAGAGAGCTAGTCTAAGATACTTTTTCTCCACCATTTGGAATCTTTGTGAAATTCTACTAAGCAAAACAAATGAAAGCAACTGCTTTGGTTGAAGGTGGGGCAGGGGCGGGGGTGGTGAAGAGCCCAAGAGCTCTACCCATTAAACTTCTTCCCAGGACCCTGAAACTAAGCAAAATCCTAGGGTTCCAAAAAAACATAAACACTAGGCAACCCAATACAGGCATTCTCCCATAGCATCCTGAAGGAACTTCATGCAAAATCTAATTACCTTCATCAACCTAGGACCTTCTGAAAGCAGCACATTTCACCTGATAACCAAAATTCACACATATGTTACAACCTCTACTAGGTACTAGTTCCCTCCCCCAGCACCACAAAAATAAAAACAAGAAATAGTCTATTTCCTCTCCTTCGTGACAGTGTTCTATTAATAATAAGGGTCATCTATCACAGCATTCTTCTTTCATGATCTAATTTTCAAACTTCTAACCTTCCTAGAGTGTTCTCGCCTTCCCTTTAATCAATCAGAATATGGGGTTCAAAGTTAAGTTCCTTGCTCTTCAGCATGCCCAAACTGGTGGTTTACATTTTTTTAAGAAAAGTTATAAAACTGAGTCACACTTTATATGTGGAATACCTTGAAAAACAAAGGCTTCCCAATGTAAAAGGCAAATAGTTGTGTTTGTTGTTATTCCCCTATGCCTCCTTTAGTTTTGGGACAACCAATTTTATTTAGGGATAATTTTTAGTGGTTTACAACTATTAACTGAGCCCCATACCATGTATAAAATATGGTGCCAGAGCTGGGATATTATGGTGAAAAAGCAGACACCATCCTTGCCCTCATGGAGCTCACAGTCTACTGGAAAGACAGTAAAACACAGAATTATAATATAGTATGGTTCATATTAGTGTTGAAGATGCTATAGAAACAGAGAAAAGCAAATCAATCTAGTCTTGGTGGGGGCAGGGGGTGTCAGGGAAAGAGTTTAATATTTATGAGAACTATATTAATATATATATATTTTTATATATTTATATATTTTCAGACAGAGTCTCACTTTCTCACCCAGGCTATATAGCTAGGCGTCAGCCTAGCTCACAGCAACCTCAAGCTCCTGGGCTCAAGTGATCCTCCTGCCTCAGCCTCCCAAGTAGTTGGGACTACAGGTGAGTGCCACCATGCCTGGCTAATTTTCTGTATTTTTAGTAGAGACAGGGTCTCATTTTACCTCAAGTGATCCTCCTGCCATAGCCTCCCAGAGTGCTTGGATTACAGGTGTGAGCCACCGTTCCTGGTCAAGAACTATATTAATCTTAAATGCTCTTCTTTGATATCTCAGTTAATTATTTCTGTGATATTTACTTTATAAATTATTATACAGTGAGGATAACAACAACTTAGAGGAGTTTATTTCCAAAGTAGGAATTCACAAAACAAATTACATTGTAGTTTCTAACATGGCTTTAACATTCTGCAAGGTAACAAATCAACCGAATAAAAAGCTCAAATGTTACTATAACTGCTTTAAAAAATCCATAACAATCAAGTGAGTTCCTTTATTAGTCTGGATTTCTCTCTTTAAAATTTTTAAAGCAGAATGGCCAATAGGTATCAAAACCATGCTAGATTAAAATTAATACATAAGCCACCCACATAATTTGTCGTTCTATCTAAAAGGAATCTGGTTAATATTAAAATCAGTTGAGAGTAGACAGACATTTGTACAGTGCTTAAAAAATATTAGGAAATAATTTAGCTACTATAAACATGAGTTATGGATATTAGAAGTCTCAAATTGAAAAAAATCACAAGATAATAAATATAATAGTAAAAAGTACAACATAAATGAGTTTTTTTCCCCTCTTTTCTTTTTTTTCAATCCAAGGAATTATTTAACCTCAGAAAAAGTTCTAGTTATGAAATAGGTCAGAGTGAAATGGTAAAGGGGATAAGCAGAACACAAGGCAAAAAATGAAAACTGGAAAACCCCAAAGTTAATATGAAGGATCCATATTAAAACAACACAAAACTATAACTTTACCGAGAGAAATAAGACAAATAAAATGGGAGACACAACAGTCCCTAAACAGGAAGACTCAGCTATAAAAATGACAATTTTCTTTTCAGTTACCAATTTAATGTAATTCCAAACAAAAACCAAGACGATTTGTTTTTGGAACTTGATAAAATTATTACAAATCACAGCTATAAAGACACAAGGCAAATGCATGACTAGTCAAGGAAAGTTTGAAAAATAATGATGAAAGAGGACAGAACACTGGGACAGAAGGGAGGGCTCAGAGATAACCCTAAGTATAACTAAGAATTTAGTACATGATAAAAGAGCATTTCAAAATGATAGCATGAGAATGGATGTCAATAAATAGTAATAAAACAACCTGCTGACAACTTGGAATGAAAACATAAAGTAGTTCCACAGATTAAAATAAAACTTCCACTGAATTAAAGAACTTTTAAATAGATGAATAAAGAAATGGAAAGATGTGAGTATTTATCTGAACAAAGTGTAGGGAAGAAGGCTTTTTACAGAATACAAATAAATAATTCATAAAGGAAAACATGTAAATCTGACTTTACAAGTAAGAAAAAACATGCAACAAACGATATCGCAGTAGGGAGTTACTGTGTAATGGTACAGAATTTCAGTTTAGAATGACAAAAAAGTTCAGGTGGTTGGTGGTGACATTTGCACAACAATGTGAATGTACCACTAAATTGCACACTATAAAATGGTACACTTTATATAATGAAAATTTTACCACAATTAAAAAAAATACCATAGAACATTTAAAACTCAAGCTGGGAAAAGTATCTTTACCAAATGGCAGAACTAGTATGTACAAGGCATAATGAAATCTTCAAGTAAAACTCTGATTTTAGTCCAGGAACACTGGCTCATGTCTGTAACCCCAGGACTTACAGAGGCCAAAGCAGGAGAATTGCTTGAGGCCAGGAGTTTAAGACCAGCCAGGCCAACACAGCAAGATCCCATCTCTACAAAAATTTAAAAATTAGCCAGGCATGGTAGTGTGTGCCTGTCGTGCCAGCTATTGGGAGGCTGAGGCGGGAGGACTGCTTGAGCCCAAGAATTTGAGGTTGTAGCTATGATGAAGCCACTGCACTTAGCCCAGGCAGCAGAGCAAGACCCCCTCTCAGAAAAACAAAAACCAAAACATCCCCAAAATAAATCTCATATACTTTAATATGAGTTTATGTTACTATAATAATTAGCACATAATTAAAATCTCATATTTATCTCACTAAAGCTTATTTTTGTTAATTTAACTCCATAAAATTCAACAAGCTCTAGGTAGTACGTAAAAAAGCACTGACTCTGCCTATGTTCTAGAGCTGATTTTAAGATTATACAATTGAGGGATACCTGGAGAAAATTAAAATACATTATTATTCACTGTCAAATAATAATGTTTTAGGCAGAAGGCACTACTTAAAAATAGGGTCAGAAATGGAAACAGAATTATGATTAAGAAATGTGCTTACCCTCACTTAACCTAATGCCTTAGCTATATATTATAAATATTAATGAAATTAAATATGTATGTATGTTTTGATACCTTCACAAAGTAATTCTCAGCAAAACTATTACTTACCTGCTTACTTCCTGGCAAACTTTACTGGGAGCAAAACTGATTTCTGAAAAAACTACTCAGTACTGCACAAGCAGACACAGAGGCAGGAAACTGCACTATGTTACCCCAGCCCTAGGAACTTAAAGTCTGTATTACCTTTTGGCTAAAGTTTAAAACTTTCTTAAGTTAAGGCTTCCCTGAGGTGAGATGGAAGCAGAATTCATCTACTGGGACTTAGACATCAGAATAAGTGTTATATTTAAGGGTAAATACACACAGTGATATTTTTCTTAAAAGCTGAACTACTTGAGTTTTCTAGGTTGGATGTTTTACAAACTGTTTAACAATCCCACCCTCCAAACAATTGCTGAAAATTAGTTCAAAATCTGTATGAGCCACAGAATCCCAAAACAGAATTTCCTAAATTTATTTTTTATAAGAAAACTCATGAAATAAGTTCATGCTTTCCTCCAGCCCTACCCTGCAGTTGCTAATCCTGGGAGCATTGTCATACCTGACTCAGATACCAGCGGTACATGGGACAGTCTGCTCCTGGCCCTGGTTAGGGGCCTCCGAGGATAGTCTTCATTAGACTGCACGTCACAACTCTCAGGCTGGGAGCTCCCCCTCCTGTCCTCACCTGTAGCCCCAGAGCCACTCCCATTAGTCCTCTCATCATGTGCTGGGCCTGAAGACCCCCCTTGTGGCAGAGTCCTAAAGGAAAAGGCGGATCTCGTACCATCCGGGCCATTCACAACACAGGCTCGGCTGGTTGAAGGACGTTCCTCATCAGAACACCTGCTAGTTCTCCTTTGGGATTCCTGGGGCCTGTGACAGCAGCATCTGGGGCAGACAGAACTCTCTGCATCTCCCTCCTCCATGGCCTCAGAGTCCTCTGACCCACCGGGGGAGCAGACACACTGCCTGGACACATCCACTTCTGTAGGGCTAGGCTCGGAAGAGCCGCCGCTGTTCACCGTCCTTACAAAGTCGGGGCTTTGAGAAGCAGTGCTGTGTGAGCTGGAGTTTCCCACTGTGCTGGCGGTGGTGCTGCTGCAGCTGGGATAAACATCCTTGTTTTTTTTCTTTTCAGGAATATCCCTAGCTGCTTTCATATCGGCTTTGATCTGCTCACTGGTGACCTGACAGCCTTTCTCACAGCTGCTTTCCTCGAGGGGAAACTGCTTCGACTGGCCCATCTGATGGGAGTTGTACCTCTTTCGAAGTGGAGTCTTGCCTTTTCCACTTACTGCTTATAGAAAAAGAAGAACGGCCCGAGGAAAAGAAAAGATTTCAGTACAAATTATGGACAAAAGGCAAGAGTAAATTTGGAACAGGAACAATGTATACTAATTTTCCTAAAGCATAACTGATGACATCATGGAGCTGCTCAAAAATTCTCTATGGCTTCCTAGTGCCTACCTGGTTTATACTCCTTAGCTCAGCCTTCAAGGCTCTCCAGGATCAGATTCCAAAATACTTTTCCATTTTATCCCCTGTACATTCATTCTATACCCCATCCCCAACTTTTCTCTCAATATACCCCTGCATTACTACCTCAGGACCTTTGGTCTCACCCCAAGTTGTCAGCCCTGGACCTCTGTTCAATTTCATCTACACCCTAACCCTGAAGACACAGTAGTATATGCTCTGTAATACTGTTATCTATGTTTTTGATCTGACTCTTCAACTAGACTGCAAGTTCCATAAAAAAAGACAGACTGTGACTTACTCATCTCTGCTACCTCACAGTGCCTAACACAGTACCTGGGGCACAGTAAGGCTCAATGAATATATATATATATATATGAAGGAATAAACAAAGTTTTGTCTGGCTGACAGAGGATCTAGTTGCTAAATTTAGAAACTGAACTTTCTGGGAAACATTAGGTTAGTCAGCTAGTCACATTACTTTTCCTAAATTTTAGTTTCCATCAAAGCTCCTTTTAAACATAGTATAAAGTTATCTGAATTTCTTGAAATAAATAAATTAAAAATTAAATAATCAGTCAATGATTAGTAAATTATTACAAGTCCAAAGAACTAAACCTTCCATACACAGAAGTGTATATATATATATTTCAGGTACAGTGTTAAATGTATACTGAACATTCAAACATTAAGGAGTAAAGTTACCCAAGGAAAAACGAGTGGACAAATTTTTAAAAATCCATCCTTTGCCAAAAGTGGTAAGCAAATGGTTCTGAGACACAAAAGTGAAGTAAAGACAAGGAAGAAGTATGAACCTAAAAGTTAAGAGAATTCTAGTTTCTTGGTGAGGCAAATGGCAGAGGCTGTTGCTTAGAATTAAAGGGAGACAAAGGATTATAAAAACATACTTTACGACTCCCTCAAGCACCAAACTAGCCAACAATATTGACTAAGCCTAACTGGACAGATTATCAACTGGGGAATGGTTATTTCTTCACTGCTGTGGATGACTTACAAGTCATCCCTTACATGAGGCACAGACCTCTTGCTAATTTCACCCTCATGCCACGGCTACTTAAAGCCTCCACTGTGGATTCACAATCCTTCCTTCTTCCCCTCCCTAAGCCCTCATTCCACAACATTTTTGCTGTGCTGCACTCACCCACGATAGCACCACCCAGATTCCCCTCCTTACTTGGGCAACTGACTTTCTTGCTTCCTATCACATTTCATAAGGAATATGTGAACTGTACCATCAGTTGCAATAGGGACACATTAATGAAGGCCAAATGTGTCAGTTTTGACAGTGACTCTCACTAACAGGTCAGAGTAAGACAATTTCTCACCTGATAATTCCCTGGACTGCACAGATTCTCCAGTTTTTTCTTCACGTTCAGAGTAACGCCGAGTACCATTCTTAGGAATCCAGACTTCTTGGAGTTCTAGACTATCTTCCTCATCATCGCTCTCTGAATCATGAACAGTAATTGGGGTTGGTTTTACTACACGTTGAAGGCCACTGGGACCTAAAATAAAAAGCACAAGCCTAGCAGTTACTTTTTTGTCTAAGAAACGCTCTCATGCAAAGTACTATTTCTAGGGATCTAGAATCACAGAGATACTTTTTGGCTGGGTAGCCTCCCTTAGCATTCATTTTAATGGAATATACACTTGGATGAGATGAGATACTGTGAAAGCACTTTAACTCGAAAGCATTATGTCAACATTAAGTATGAATAATATGCCAACCAACTATATACATTTCTAAAGGCAAATTAAAATAGAAGATCATATGGCATCCTCCTATAGGACCTTCGCTATTTAAAAAATAGCACAAATCATTTTAAAAATAATCAAAATAATCTTAATAATAATTTTAAAACTAGGCTATCTATTGTTCCAATTTACAAATGTATGAGCCAAGGCAAAGCAAATGAAGATGAACCTCACAAATTTATGGGACTGGTGAGCAACTCTGCATTTGTTGAGTATAGGTCTATTTCATGAGATGTCAGAGATATATTCTTGAAGGCTAGATGCATGTTACATTTCGGTTGAGTACATATACAAAAAATGCTTTGTCTACTTGGCCATATAGCTGTTAAACCTTTAGCTTTATGACGCAGTTCTCTCTGACAAGTGACTAATATTAGCTTCATCAATAAAATGTAAGCTCCAAGGAACCTTGCCTGTCTTTCTCTTGTTTGTTACACTGTATAATGCCTGGCATAGAGTAGGCACTCAATAAATGTTTGCTGCATAAGTGACTGCATCTGTAAGATACTTAAAACAAGATAAAGACATTTTCAAAGACAATGTAGCATTCCAATAAATTGGGAGTGTAAAAACTTGAATTCTAATCTAAATTCTGTCCCTTGATTACTGGTTGAGTAGTATTGAGCATATCATTCACTTTTTCTCCCCCATTTGTTTATTATTTATTTATTTTCAGAACATTACAGGGGTACAAATGCTTTAGTTACATATATTGCCTTTGCACCACCCAAGTTGGAGCTATAAGTATGCCCAACCCCCAGACATCACCCACCGTACCCATTAGGTATGGATTTACCCAATACCTCCTCCCCCCACCACCTGCCTGACACCCAATGAATATTACTTCCATAGGTGCACATAAGTGTTGATATCATTCACTTTTAAAAGAATATTAGCTTCTCCATTTATAAAGCAAAGGATTATGTGGAATTTTTAAGGGCCTATGACTCGATAGCCTGCTGTAAAAGTCATTCAGTGACATAAACTAAATCTTGGTCTGTTTACTGAAAAAAGTCAACCTCTCCACTGCTCCTCCTCCCCTCCGAAATGAGAAGAGGGTACAAACAGAAGATTTAATCAGGTCATTTATTTTCCCAGCAACAATTTGAATACTTTCTTTCTCTATATACATGGACACACACCTGTGGTTACATAGAGTAAGCAGTTGTTGCTATAGTTATAAATAATAAAAAACTTTAGTAACACACACACACACATACACAGCAAGGAGAATACCAATAATATACTATAGGCCTCAAGAATAAACAGCATACAACACATCATTCGCTGTAAGGTGAGAACGCAATCATTCTCAGGGTCTCATGTTCTTCATTACAGCCAGGCTCTAGTTTTCAGAAGGATAAATATGGAAGTGTCACATGATTACCTGCTTGTTCCTCATCAACATCTACAGGAATAATTGCCTGACTGTGAGCTGGAGTATTGTTTCCACTCTCAGCCACCACCTCTCCATCTTCTGGCACTATGTCTTCCATTTCATTCAATGCTTAAAAATAAACACAAAATAAAAACCAAGAGAGGTATAAAAAACCACAATAGCAGCAAAACTGTGGCAGCCCTGAGGACTGAACATCCCCATTGATTTCTAGGCCCACTCTGAAAGAATAGCATGTAACTTGTGCTTCATAGTAGAAATATTAACAAGAAGTGCCCAATCAGTCTACAGAAGAGAAAATCACAGATGGGAAAAGACAGCTGTGTAGAGAAAATCCATCCAACTCATACTAAGTCATATAGTTACCAAAGAAACAAAGCAAAATATAATTAAGCCCAAAAGACACCATTCAGATTAATGTTACTTAAATATACAGTAGTGAGGTATGAGATTTCATGGAGACAGTGGAATCTGCTCTGGTCTTAAACATATAACAGCACACTCCCCCTAATGTTTAGTCTCCCACTGTGAATTTTTGCCCAGCTCTATCCTGCAATATCTAGATTTCATTTAGTGCCAAAATGAAGACTGATTTATTAGTAGCTTCATTTGTGCAGCTGAGGAATGGAGGCTTAGAGGTGTTAATAGTTTGCTAGGATTGAAACAAAGGTGTTTCCAGAGCCTGCTATACTACAGGCACTACAAGTACGTGAGAAATTTATAGTTCCTTCTCTCAAGAGGACATACTCTATATTCTGGCAGAGATGTTAGACACACAGAATACGGTCAGAGTATACTTGCTAAGAGCTAGAACAGTCCAAAAGTGCAAGAGAAACAGATAAAAAAAGTAGCAACTAACTCTCATATTGGGTCAGGGAAAGGTTCACTGAAATAAGGTAACCTTTCATATATTTCCATACCAGGAAGAATGCAACATTTTTAAGAAGAGTAAACCAGTGATAATAAAGCACAGGTGTTTGAGTTGTGATAAGGATGTGAAAGAGAAAATAAGCTGAAAAGGTACCCTGGGCTCCAGACTGTGAAAAGCTTGGAAAGCCTTACTAACAGGCTTAGACTTGTTTCCTATAGGCAGAGGGGAACTTCTACTACAAGGTTTTTATGCACGGAATGGCATGAACAGAAATACATTCATATATCTATGTGAAAAGGTTTTCTAAAACTGCTGAGCAATTGCTTTTAGGTTGCCAGAAAAACCTACTGAAATACTTAATACCTAAAAGTTGTTTAAACAATTTCTTTCATTGCATTCATCTGAATATTTACTGAGCACCTACTACAATGTGTCAGTATTCCTGGTATTCTTAGGTGATGAGCAACAGTAGTGACATTCAAGATCCCTACTCTCATGAATTACCTAGTTGGGGGAGGAAAAAACTTTTATTTTTTTTTTTTTAAATAAAAACACCAGACAGTAATGTCTTATGTAACAAAATTTTAAAAGCATGATATGATAGAGAATGGATTGGTAGCTATGTAAGATCAGATGGTAAGCAAAGACATCTCTGAGATTAACATTTAAGCTAAGACCTAAAAGCCAAGGAGCCAGCCATGAAAAGACAGACAGAGCAGTTAGTGCAATGGTAGGTGCCAGCTGGCATATTCAAGCATGGTGAGAAAGGTGGGGAGGAGCACAAGATGAAGACAGGCCAGATCATGCATTACTTTGTGACTCAATTCAAGAACCTGGATTTTATTCTGAGACAATGGGAAGCTACTGAAGAGTTTTAAGTAAGAGATCAACATTGTCTGGTTTGTTTTAAAAAGACTGCCCTGACTGCTCTAAGAACTAATTTTAGTTGGGCAAGAGAGAAAATAGGGAGGTTAGTTTGAAAGCCATTAAAACATTTAGGTAAAAAAGGTCTGATATAATGCAATGCTAGTACAATGTGAAAGGAGAGATATAGGCATATTGGGGAGATGTTTTAGAGACATTCAACAAGACCTGCTAAAGGACTCAATGTTGTAGAAAGCAGGTAGGCAGTAAAGAAAGAATAATGTCTTGATTTTAGTCTCTGGTAATTAAATTGAATGATGGTGTTTTGGTCTAGGGAGGATACAAATTGTTCTTGGTTTTGACTCTGTATTTCTTTGTTTTAAAATATTCTGTCATTAGGCAGTATATCTTCTGTAGCTTACAGAAATTTATATAAGCTAACTTTTAACCACTTCGGTACCAGCATCGACTATAGTCGATAGCCACAGATGAATGCACACAGCCGAGTGTCTACTTTAGCCGACAGCTGTGATATGACTTTTCTAATTTTTCATTTATCTAAATAAAATTGTGAACATTTAAAAATATGTAATAAAAACATATATGTATATGTTACCTACTCTGATATACATTACAAGTAAAGCTGCCTGTAAAGTAAAATAAGTTTTCAGTGCTTTAAGGCTTTCCTCATCACACAAGAGCAAAACGGATTCATTGTCAATGCACAGCACAAACTATTGTGTGGACTATGTGTACCGGCTGTGGGCAAGGTTTTGTGGCCAGTGAGCGTGGTACTGAAGTGGTTTAATAGAATATCAATATTTATCAAATGTTTTGTTTAGCTGAAATGTTATTTCATTTGTAAAAATGTATTATTAAACATTATTATAAGCTTTAATAAATTTGAGCTGTTTTTATAAATATATTAGCTGGTCTCTTTTATAGAAAACATGATTAAAAATTTATAACCTTCATTAACGTAAAATAAAGGAGAACTCACTGGCTTTTAACAAAATAATTTGTATGCAACAATTTGCAGTATCAGAAATACTATTTAGTGGTTGACAATTACCTGCCCCAAAATACATTTACTGGGATTTTTTTCAGATTGCAGCTCACCCTTAGGCTTCACAAATACAGACTTTTCATAATCAGTGGTTCTCAAAGTGTGGTCCCATAGCAGCAGCAGCATCACCTGGGAGCTTGTTAAAAATGCAAATTCTCTGGCCCCACTCAGATCTACTGAGTCAGAGACTCTTAGGACATAGATCAGCAATCTATGTTTTATTAATAACAAGTCCACCAGTTGATTCTGATGCACACTCAAGTTTGAGAACCACTGCCATCAATAAAGCTGCAAAGCAATTTCACCCAAGGTTACTTTAGGCTAATTTGGAAAGGGAGGGGGGCGAGGAAAGAACAGGCATACCATGACACAATATTCAAAAGCATTAAGTACCAGGAATTTATGTTCAAATTAGAAAATTAGTTAAATGATGTATAGGTAAAAATATACTTTATGGTTATAATTACTTAAAAAATAATTATATAAAAATAATTAGACAATATGCTTTAGCAATTATAGAAGCATGATTTTAATACACGGCAATTTTGTATGTTAGGCAAATGTGAACTGTTAAAAAATGTGAACATTTATTCCTCTGTTTACACTGCTGCAAAAGTTAGTGAATTTATATTTTCAATTAACTAAGCTCACAATTAAATATTCTAAATCACAAGACTTCTGGAAGTACAAATCTAAGAAAGATAATATCCTACCAAATTATAAAATTTTGGTAAATTAATAAAATAACACTAAAACAATAAAATCATATTTTTGTTGGAGTTAATTTATACAAATTAAATGGCCTTTATAATTATACAATGTCCTTCTCTTAAAGATAGTTACTTCAAGCAAGCTGAAGTTAATACAACAGAACAATAGTGACTCTACTTCATTCTGGGGTTAGTCCAAAACCAAGTAGAGGCCGATGCATAAAAAGTTAGAAAACTTTACATCTAGGACAATCGACTTGTCAATACCAGTTTCACAGTAATTTAAAAAATATTGTTAAGTTTTCACCTTAGGAGTGGAACCATCAATGTTAGTTATGTCAACTAACATATTTCTTAATGATCTCATTTATTATGAAGTCCTGTACTACTTCTTTGTTTTGACCAAAAACCAGTCTTTCTCCAGCTCTTTGTGAAAAAACAACAATAAGAACAACAAAAAACTATCTGATATGTGTATGTGTGTATGTACATGTATAATAGCATACACAACTAAATATACTGCCACCTTGGAGGAACCTGTGGAACTTAGTCTTCATTTCTCCATAAATGCTGCTACCACCTTTGGTGTTCTTAGGCTTCATCTTGTCAAAGCTATTTAATTCTTCAATCTTGGCATTTACGTATTGCTTATTATTCCTTTGCTTTGTAGCCTTTAATAGTATTTTGAAGATATTGTACTTGACAATAGTCCTTCTAAGTAACTGCTGAGGCTGAATCCTTTCACAGTAATTATGGCTTCTTAATTCTAAAGAGCTTTTCCTATACCTCAAGTATTTGGTTTTTATAAAAATCTCTCATCTACTGAAATCATATTTGTAAATCAAATTTTAAGATTTAAGTTTTATTGTACTCTCTAAATCAAATACAGGTACAATTTAAGTCAAATATGTTCTTGAATATATTTTGGGTACTTGCTGCACCAATATGTGATTTCACAATGGAAGGCATTCTCCATTTTATACTAAGAAGACTACGGCGATGTGATTTTCCACTGGAATCTACAATCTGTCCAGTACATGAACTCCAACTATTGGGTTCATAGATTTGGGGCAGTTCTGCATTGCAGCTGCTGTAAGTTTCCCATGGATGGTCCATGATCTCTGAAGTACAGATCTTCATGGTACTAGTGACTGATACAATGTTCAGTGGCACTTGGAACAATAAAGCAAAATGACACTCACTCCCCCTTTCTCACTCCTAGAAAGTACTGGCTCTGCACTTTGTTTTTTGGGAGGTTTTTTTTGTATTTTTGTGGAAGATTATCAGGGGAAAGATTTTACCGTAGGTTTGAAATGCCTAAGGATATCATGTGGAAATAAAGTATGGAGCTAGATACTGCTACAGTTACTTCAAGAAAGTAAAAAAGTCAAGGCTGACTTTTGGAATTGATGTGGAATTTAATACCATTATAGTAGGTACTCAAGCCATGAGACTGAATGAAAATGTGTAGAGAGAAAGGGAGATCATGGATAAAAGTGGAATAGAAGAGGTGGTACAAGGAAAGTAAACTGAGGGAAAGTAAACTCAGGTCAAATGAGGTATGAGAAAAACCAGGAAAATTGGTTTAGAGATGCTGAGAGGAAAATATTTCAAGAATGTAGAAGTAGGCAACAATGTCAAATGCTGCTGAAATGTCAAATAAGATGAAAGTGGAGAAATTACCCCCAGATTTGGTAAGACAGTCAATGGTGACTTTGCCAAAAGATAAAATGGAAAGTTCTTATAGAGATGTGAGGAAAGAAAGTGATGACAATGCCTACAGACAATTCTTTGGTCAGGACCTGTAAATACTCAGAGCGATTATAAAGAAAATCATGCTCCATACATGCTCTAGAATTACTATGTACAAGACAGTGGGCAAAGGGAAAACAAGATGGCTAGAAAAAATTCCTTTCCCAGTTCTTAAGGGTCAACTGGAAAATGTGATAAGGAAACCATCTCACTCCATCCTCACCCATCAATCGAGGAACAGATGGAGACTATTCACACTTAGGTTTGGTACACAGCAGATGTGCAGTAAATATTAAAGAAGTGGATAGATGATCATATAACCGAAATTGAATAGGTTTTTATTAGCTCATGTACTTAATTTGCTGGGTGGTTGTGAAGACTTAATGATTAAAGGTTCAGAAAAGGTGCCAATGTCTAGCACACAGTTGGTATTGATTTTTCAGTTTTTAGAACATATAAAAACGTTCTCCATGTTCATGCTATCTATTGGTGAGGGAGACTTTAAAAGATAACCTTTTACCTAAATCCTGAAAGTTAATTCTCAGTTGAATCAGGCCTTTAAGGTTATCATTGCACCCTAATTCCCATGGCATCTATCAATCTTTTTCATTCTATAAGCACCCTTAAAGATTCTGCGGACAAAGATGGTTTTGAAACAAGCAAAGAAAAAGGAAAATGCATCCATCGCCTGTGTGCCTTGTTAATTAGCACCCCTCAAGGTAGAAAGTGAAAAGTTGAAACAAGAGAAAAAGGGAACAAAATAATGCCAGAGAAACATGATCCAAAGTAAAAATCACTTCTATCTGGAGCTCACAAAAGATCTGGGTTACCGTCGGCTGCAAACTGTTGCTCTCCTGGTTGCAGGTCTTGCCGAAAGTCATTCTCCTCATCTGAGTCATCTGGGTGATGGTGATTATTGTCATGGAGGTTGGCATTGTTATTCTGGGCATTATTGTCATTGTCATTGTTGGAGTTCTGGTTGCTAACAAGGGCCGAGGAAACCCCAATTCCTGTGCCTGCACTCAGACCAACTCGAGCACAGCCCTAAGGCAAAACCAAACCACATGTTTGTTAATTTAGGTTAGTATGGAACATACACTTCATATTTAATAGATCATCACTTCACCCTTACACTAGAATTAATATTTATAAACACTTAAAATTTGTAAAATGCTGTCACACAGGCAGAGAAGAGCTCATTTAAGGCTTACAAAACTTAAAGCTATTAATAGATAAAGTGTTACTAGCCTGATTTACAGACTATGAGGTACACAATGGGAAGCAATTTACCCAGCAGCACATGGTCAGTACATAGTACAGCTAGGACTTGAAACCTGTACTTGAAACCTCAAATCCTGAGCTTTCCCCATTATACTGCTTCAAAAGTGAGAATACAACCATTAATAACTAACAAGAGAGAACATAATTAGCTGAAGAATTAATTAAATAAAATTTTTATTACGTTGAGAGTATAGAGTTTAAGCAGTTTTAAAATAACATTTTATACAACTGGCAACCTCAGACTTCCCAGTGTATATAACTTAATAGAGAAGATAGCAGCAAAGTAAAACATTCTCCAAATAAATTCCAAATCCTTATTTACACTTTGGGCTCTTGATTAGAGATTTAATCTACCACCTAATTACTCCAGGTAATCATTTTTTGTCTTAGCTCAAATTTCTAGCCTTATCCTTACCTTACCTTTAGTTTATATAGAACTGATGGAGATCGCTTCCTTACTTCTTCCTTTCCCTTCCCCGGAGACCCCTTAATACTCATATATAGGAACAGGAGACAATGCATCATTATAACCTTTATGCCTTCACTAAGGCTGACAGTAAAAAGCCCAACTATAACACTATAAAGGCATGTTATAAAATAGAAAAAAAAATACACACGTTGTTTTATTTTCTTCCCTGAGTATCAAAATAAGTAAATAAATAAAAATTCTCAAATGTGACTTACCTTGGGTGGTTCACGAAACATCTGGTCCAGTGAAATAAATTCCAAGCTGGGCAATAATTCAATAAACTGGCCAAAGGAGTCTAGCTTCAAAGCATGGCACCGCACTAGGTTGATATCAACCAATCGAGTCCACCTTGAGTGGTCTGTTGAAGAAATGACATGACCGGAGAGAATTTAAGTAACACTTTACCCATTACTGATAAATTTTTCTATAGGTCATAAGGACTTTTAAATCCTTTTTTTCTTTAACTAACTTGTTCCTTATTTCATGATCTCTAAAACTTGATGACTCTAAGCTATGATGTTTACATACCTTAATTTTGTGTAAAAACTAAATGGCCTGGGAAGCACTAATTTGAAATCAAGTCAGCCCTGATTTAAATGTGATCCACTCAATAACCTACATGACTTTTCAACAATAAGACACTGGATAAAGAAATTATGGCAATTCTATTTAATAGAACATTATGCAGCTATATCAAAAGAAAGAAGGAAAGCTGAATATGCTTGTTGTTATGAAAACAACAAATTATTTTCACAACTCTCCAAATTATACTTAGTGCAAAAAACAAGCTATAGGACAGTGTATACATAGTAAGATCCTTTTGTATATATAATCATTTTTAAATGCTATACACATATACGCTGCAATATGCACAAAGTAATTTGTCCAGAAGAATATACAAGAAACTGTTGATGATGGTTACCTTTGAGAAGAGGAGACTTTTCATTTTGTACCTTTCTGTACTGTTTGAAATTTATCAAGTGCATGTATTACTTTTATTTTTTTAAATGTTAACAGGAGTTCTTAGTGATGGGATTATAGGCCATTTTTTTGTTTTCTTCTTTATACTCTTCTGTATTTAAGAAAACAAACAAACCAAAAACCCAATAAATGTTATTTTTTTAAAGCGATCTACGCCTGCTACATCCTAAAGTTCATATTTCCCAACAACTTCTTGGTTCAGCTGGGCCAGGAATAGAATTTAACTGCTGGTAGGTGAGACATGGCCATTTTAATAAGTGATTTCAGTAGAAGCTCCAGAGCCCTAACACAGGACTAGAAAGTGGCTTTGTAAGGAGATTCAGGTCCCTGTGAGGTGACTCCAGAGCAGAGGTAGAGGTGGCTACTCTACAGGTGTCAGTGAGTGGCTTTGTCACAAGTGAATGTCACAAGGAAAACTTTCCCCAGCTCTGAATATTTAAAGATTTATAAATTTAGGTATTTAAAAGGGCCTTTAAAACTACAAATAGTATTACTCTCTGAGAGAGCGAAAATGAACTCCCACCACAAGAAGAAAATATCAAGTGTCAAAGTCACACTTCTACATGTACAGGACTGGGTGAGGAGGGGAGGTCTAAAACAGACTAGGATTTCCAGTCAACAAAAAATTTCACCTCAGGTTAATGTTTAACATGTCACCTAATTAAAAAATTTTCAATATACGTACCTACTTTGTCCTTTCAGATCATATGCCATTTTGAAGGTAATTCATAGAAAACAACTAGAATAGCCTAGATTCTAGGTAACATCAACCCTAGTTCTTCTACACACCTAACCAACGTAGTACATATAAAGATCAAGGCACTTGAATCCATAACCTGGACAGTACAATTCTAGGCAGAGGACTTCAGAAGTTTAAAGAGGCATTGAATATACTTCTAACATGGTTATCAAAGGTTCCCAGAGCTTCTGTGAACAATCTACACACACAAAAAAATCTACATTTTACATTAGGAATATAAACATATCATACAGAGAAAACAAAGACATATTATTTCAATATCAATAAAATATAGCTATATTTCTAAGTCTGCAGTACCTGAGATCCAGTTGTATGGGTTGTGTAGATGGGGGCAATTGTAAATTGCCAGATATTTGATACAAGAGAAAACTTCATTGACGGCCTTCATCCCTATATCAGTGATGATACCAGGATTTTCTACCACGTCAGCCAGACCATACTTCACGAGATCTGCATTAGCCATTCTGCCTAAAAAGAGAAATCAATTTAAAAAAAAAGTCAAATTCTTAAGTGCCATTTAAGTGGTATGGAGTGTTGCCAATTTTGTTTCTCAGCATCCAGTATGATCAGTCTCTATGATCATTCTATATCAACTATTTATCATCAGATTCAGGTACAAGTATAATTTCATGTTATGTTAGGTAGTCTGTACTTCTGATAGCACTTTTTTTTTTTAAATTTAAGACAGTCTTGCTCTGTTGCCTGGCTAGAGTGCTATAGCATCAGCCTAGCTCACAGCAACCTTAGACTCCTGGGCTCAAACGATCCTCCTGCCTCAGTTTCCCAAGTAACTGGGAAAGGTACATGTTACCACACTCAGCTAATTTTTTCTATTTTTAGTAGAGATGAGGTTTCACTTTTGCTCAGGCTGGTCTTGAACTCCTGACCGCAAACCATCCTCCTGCCTTGTCCTCCCAGAGTGCTAGGAATACAGGCGTGAGCCATGGCACCTGATTTGGTAGAATTTCTTGTAATAAAATAAATATATTAAAAGGCAAGAGACATGCAGTAGAAACAAATGTTAAGTTGTTAAATATGAAATGTCTGATTTTGAATCAAAAGTTTAATTTATTATATTTCAAATAAGCAGCAGCACAATTAATCAAAGTATGGGCCTAAACTATTGACATAGTTTTACCATCTTAATGGTAGCTTGTTTATGCCAGTAGCAAAGAAGCCTGGAGAGTGAATGGCGATGAAACCGCAAATGGCATTTCCTACAGCTTGTTGAGAATTGAGTACTTTTGCTTGCAAGAAGTGGTCCAAAGCCTGGAAGAAGTGGTAGTCAGTTGGTGCAAAGTCTAATGAATATGGTGGATCATGGAGAGTTTGCAAGTCCAGCTTCTATAGTTTGAGCAGCATCGTTTGTGCGACATGTAGTCAAGTGTTGTCTTACAAGAGGATTGGACTACCTCTGTTGATCAATCTAGGTTGCTTAATGGCAAGCATCCTCATCATTTTATCCTACTGGTTGAAGTAGACATCTGCTGTAATCGACTGAACAGGTTTCACCAAGCTGTAGTGGGTAACACTAGCGCTGGACTGCCAGACAGACATTATTAACTTTTTTGGATGCATATTCAGTTTTGGACTGTTTCAGCACATCATCTTTATACAACCATCGTGCCGAATGCTTGCAATTGTCAACAAGAATCCATTTTTCATCACACCTAACAATATGGTGTAGAAATGGTTTACCTTTATGTCATAATTGCAAAGAAAGGCAAACTTTGAGATGATTTCTCTTCTGACACTCATTCAATTCACGCAGAACCCATCTATCCAGCTTCTTCATCTTGGCAATTTATTTCAAATGGTCCAATATTGTTGGAGTAGTAACATAAAACCTTGCTGCTAATTCATGCATAGGTTGAGATGGATTCACTTCCACTACAGCTTTCAGCTCATCATTATCCATGTTGGTATCAGGTCACCCACATGGTTCATTTTCAAGATTAAAATCACCAGAAAAGAACTTACCAAACCATCAAATTACTGTGTGTCCATTAGCCACATGCTTCCCAAACAATTCATTGATATTTTGAGCTGTCTGTGCTGCATTGGTTCCACGATGGAACTCATATTTGAAAATAACATGAATTTTTGACTTATCCTTGGTTTCACAAAAATTTCTATAAAAAAATTTGAAAGATAATCGCAAGGCAAAAATGTGCATTTGAAAGACTGAGGATGTACCTTCACAATAAAAATAAAACAAGAAGTGTCAAAGGGAAATGTTACAGATAACAACTGTCAGACTTAAAGAAATCAGACATTTCATACTTAACAACCTACTATTGTTTTTCAACTGTTTAGAAAAGGAAAGAAAGAAGCAAAAATTCTTAAAGCATTACTGAGAAATATATTGTATTGGTTCATATCATGATGAAGTCTTAGTTTTACCTTTTAAAAAGGAAAATAAAATCTTAAAATGCAACTGCCTCATAGTGAAAGAATCATGTTCTTGGAGTCTGGCGTGGCCATGTGTAGAGAAGGGCAAATTCTGAGGAATTCAAGATTCATTTTTAGAGCCCATGTACTGGTTAGTAACTATCTATCTATCCCCCTGAAAGTAAGTTTCTGACTCAAACACTTGCCACTGAGCTTTAGTACCTGCTGCCTGGTCACAAACCAGGGGTGTAATGTAAGTAAAGGAGAATGCTCCACCTAGATCATGCCATCGGGAATCACACCTCATCCCTTGCCTCTTATTGTTTCTCCCACCTGCCTGCCCCTCATTCTCCAAGATGGTCCACTTGATCATGAGAGCTCCTTGAAGGGATGATGTCTAGGTAGTTCATAGTTTCATCATTAGTGTTCAGCATAGCACTTGGGATATAAGAGCTCAATACAAGTCTCCCACAATCCTTGCAACCAATCCACAAAGAAAACACTGTTGCTCTGGTGAAGCTGCCCTGAACATCACAGTGATTTATACCTTTGGCTTGGAACATGTTTACAACAGTCAATCTACTCCTAACTCTCCCAATTTTACCTTCCATATCATTCATGGTCTCTCTGTCATAGTCCCTGTTTTGGGTATTTACTGGCTTTCTTGCAGATTTCACCTTAATCCATCCTTTACAATTTAGCTATTTTCTTTAGCCTCTTGGTAAGGACTTTTTTCATGCCCTTTGGATTCAAGATGAAACTTGCCTTTTTACCTTAAGATAGGGTAAATCTTGAACTGACCCTGTTCCCTGGGCATTATCTGCATAAATGCCACAGCCTAACACGACAAAGCCATGTCCTATATTTAGTCTTCTGAGATTACCCTTGTGTTCGTGCTCTTCGAGTTTCCCTCTGGCCAACTCCCTCAAAACCTGATGATATCACTTGGGATTCATTTTTGTTTCTTTTCTCTTTTCAGCCCATAGATCAGCTAAAAGTAAAAACTACCATTTAATAAATGCTTCCTGGGTGTCAGAGATTGTTATATTTATCGTTTTTTTCATTAACTCTTCAGAGATACCCAAGAGAAAAGCAGGAAATGATCTTATCTCCATTTAAAAAATGAGAAAAAATGACTTAAGGGAGTCACTTGCTAAGGTCTCATGATTAATAATAGGCAGGCCTCAATTCCATTTTTCTCCAAAGCTCTAGGAATAAAGATTCCTCTACACTACTTCTGAAGTTTTCATTGAGTTTCAGCTCCCTATCACCTTCACATTAAGCTCTGAGATAATGAATCCACATGAACAAAGAACTCTTCTCTAAGGATTCATCTTTGGGTCACTGATTTTCTCAAACACATCATCAGCATCTTAACCCACATCAGCCACTTACCTATAGCCCAGTCACTTTTCTTTAATACACAGCATCTATTTTCCAGCACATTCATTTCCCAAATCTGGTATTGCCATTCTTACCGTATATGTTAGGGGATAAAGGGGATGTTTCTATTTATTTTGTCAGACTCTTTGTAACAAAAAAGTAACTCAAGTTTTACCTGAGGCAACCCCTCAACTCCTGGAGAGATGCTTCAAGTCTAAATTACTGAGAAGAGAGAGACTAAGTCAGAGTACGTGACTGAGCAGTGAATTCTCATCCTTCTCGAGATGGATCTGTTAGAGGCATCTGGTGCCTATTCTTAAACAAAGAATCCTAGGCAGTCTTTGGAGGAACAGAGGAGAGTATGTATGTATGTATGTGTGTATGTGTGTGTGTGTGTATATATATATGTGTATATATATATATGTGTGTGTGTATAAGAAAGAGCTGAACTTCAGTGAATAAGAAGGGAATGGCTTGTACAAAGGTCAACACTAAGAAAGTATTAAATATGAAAGAGATTATAAACAACCTATGTTGAAAACTGTGAGTTACTATGTCACCCAGGCTACAATGCAGTAGCATCATCATAGCTCACTGTAACCTCAAACTCCTTGGCTCAAGCAATCCTCCTACCTCAGCCTCCCAAGAGTTGGGACTACAGACATATGCCACTATTCTCAACTATTTTTTCTATTTTTTGTGGAGACAGGGTCTCACTATGTTGCTCAGGCTGCTCTCAAACTCCTGGCCTAAAGGAATCCTCCTGCCTTGGCCTCCCAAAGCACTAGGATTACAGGTGTGAGCCACCATGCCTGGCTATAAAGTGTTTTTATTCTATTGAAAATATGTGTTGAGGAAAGAGACACACTGTAAGTAAATAACTGGTTATAAGGAGAACTCTTCAAGACAATCCTTCAGAAGTCCTAAATGTGGCCATCCTGAAGATACAAAATTTGTCAAGTTATGAGATTTTGGGAAAAACACAAAATAAAATTATAGAAAAGATAACAATTCCCAAACTAATAATTTTAAGTTACTATACGGATATTATAGAAGCACAGAGAATGTTAATAATCACATTCAAAACCAGAAAAGCTGGGTATCAAATACATTAATTTTACATAAAATCACTACATCATCTTAGTATTTTAAGCTATTTTGGAGAAAAGCTGATCTTTTTCAAAGCTATACAGATTTAAAGTGATTCTTATATTAAACTGGCTAAGGAAGGATGATTTGTCTTTTTAAAATAATCTTTTACCTGTATTAATGAAAACTGTGAACAATGAAAAACACACAACTATTACTGTGACAAATCTTAGAAATGAAAAACAGTCATTTTTTTTTACCAGGACTGTTCAGATTAGAGGAATTAAGCCTTGTTATGTTATTCTACAATGTATACTAGAGTCAAAGGAAAAAGTGTCATCTGGTATGATAGAGTTCAAGACAGATCTGTTGCTAATTACATGGGGTAGAATTTAATTCTTGAAAAAGTAAAAACATGTTGGTGCTGGAAATTTTCTTCCATGTCTTATTAATGCCATATGGAAAAAAAGTTTGAGTAATGAATTGACATGCATTCAAATCCAAAGGAATGAGCTCCCAATTGTAAATGCATTCTAGAAAATGCTGTGAACAAGCCTTCCAACAGCAATCATCATTAAATAATACTGACCATTATATGCTCACACTATCTGGAAAATCCAGAACCCCCAGCGGGCTTATTATGGAAATGAAGAGCATGGACAGGGAATGGGACCTCATCTGAGAGGACCATCAAAAGCTTCAAGAAGTGTGGCAGATCAAATTCAACAATGGAACCAAGGAAGACATTCTGTGAAAAAAATGAAGCAGAATGGGAAAGAAACTTGGGCAGTAAAGTGGAGACAATATCAAATGTAGCTAAGGATCTTTTCCTGGTGTACTGTTAATGATTATTTTTCTATAATATTTTCAAATCAGAGGCAGTATCAAAAAAAATCACTGACGTTAATATAAGAGTTTCTTTTTCAAGAAGTGAGAGCACCTAAGATTTTAAGTTGTCTTATATTCAGGAAAATATGGCGCATTCCAATTCAAATTTCAGTTTGTCAAGTAAGTCCCCTACAGTAATTCTAGGAAATAAAATGGGATAAGTCTTACTCTGTAGCAAAAACTCATCTACATATCCCAGATGAAGGGTTTCAAATTGGGGAAACTCCAGTTCTGCCATCTTTAGGGCAGAAAAGACACCATCTTTGGTTAGAGAAGGTTGGATTCGAACTTCATGTAACCTGTGAACAAAGACATACAACATATCAGATTAAAATAAAAGCCATCAGAATCAAAGATTCTTTCTAAAGTAAGGCTCTCAAAAAAGCTTATGATTTTTTTAAAGTGTCACAGATGTCAACAACTTTTCCACCTCCATTAAAAAATATCAGATATTTCCTTTAAAGGAGTATTTGTAAAATGTAGGCACATTTCAGTTAGTACACTAAAGCTACACATTAAATAACCATATATTACACAGTAAGAACCATATATCATTTCAAGTGCTTTTCTAAGCCTGATTTAGTCAAAGTCAGAATCTGCATGTGGTGCTGGTATTTAACATTTTTCTTACACTAGTTGTTAATGGCCCATTTTAACAACAGTATAGTTCTGTAGTAGGTAACAATACCTACTTAAATTTAGGAACACAATTTACCTTACTTATATTCTTAATCAATATTCTACTGAGGGAAAGTAAGAGTTTTGTTTTGAATAAATTGAAAAAAGTGGTTAATTTAAAGAAAATATTATAGAAATAGAAGTAGAAATATTATAGTAATAGAAGACCTTAGATATGTAGAAATAGTAAATGTGGCATAAAGTGATAAGAAGACATGCTTAAAAAATATAAAGATGTTACAAGGTCAGATTTTGGAAAAGTTGTTCTAAAATGTTGATTTCTGAATAGCAAATATTAGTCATAACATTAGGACCACTATAACATACTAATCTGCTATTTAAACAATTTTGTATTTTAAATCTGAACAAGGCATAATCAAACTTCATATACACATACATTCCCCAAGTTTGTTGTAAAACAGGGGAAAAAAAACATTTAATAATATGACAAAAGACACAATATGAAGAGGAAACACACCTACGGGCAGCGGTGATGATGAGGTATCCAAGATCTACTTCAAGAGCATTTTTGCAAGCTCCCAAAACAATAGTGTGCAAATTTCTAAAACCACCTAATGGAGACAAGGAACAAAAACAAGCATTTCTTTTGACCACAGCACTTTCAGTAAAGCATTTATACACACAATAGATGATAATTATTTAAAAGTAAATCTATTTCTTCTGTTTGATCTAATCAAAAATAAAAAAAAAATAAAATAAAAGTAAATCTACGTTTTATTTTTACATTTAAATATCTCAAGATGAAATATAACTATTAGTCATCTCCTAAAAAGAGATGAGAACAGATATTCATTTTTAAAACACACTCTGATGGCATATGAAAACTACTGCAAAAGATCTAGACTGCTAAGTAAGGATTTTCAGAAAGCCAGATTCTCGTGAGAGAATTGTAAAGGGACCTTGCTATTTTCTGGCCATATTGCAAACCTCTGATGTATCATATGGAACAAGACCAGCACTACTTTAACTTCAACTAATTTTTTTCATGTTTTTGAAACTTGTATTTATATACAAAAAATGGACACAAATTATTAATGCATAGCTCAGTAAATTTTCACAAAGAATTGATTTATCTGTTTTAAATTTTATAAATAAAATCACAAAGCATGCATATTGTTGTGTCTGGCTTCTTTAAACATTTTGTTTAAGCCATTTATCTATATTGTTAAATGTAGTTGTAGTTTGTTCCTTCTTATTGCATAATATTCTATTGTATGAATATGCCACATTTTCACACATTAACTGCCATGCGAGTTGTATTTAACCCAAGCTAGTTTTAAGCCAGCCCGGGGCTTCATGAAGCACATGTAACTTAAACACATGTCTTTTCACCTTGGGAGCTGCGTGAACTATTTTTCAAGTTGCATATAATTCACTCACAGAAAGCAAAAAAAATAACAAATTTTTCATTAAATTAAAAAGGATTGTTTTGTTTTCAAAGTTTTTATTTTATTTTCACAATAAAACACTGGTGGCCCCAAGGAAAAAAAATTTTCTAGTATGGTAGTTAATGTGTTAATTACCCACTCTATTGCTGGTGGGCATTTGGGTTGTTTCCACTTGGGGTCTATTAGGAACAGTGCTTCTATGAAGGATCTCAAATACATCATTTGGTGAACAATGTATACATTTCTGTTGGGTTTTAAGCCAAGAATGCAACTATTGTTATGTGTATAGTCAACTTTAGTAGATACTACAAAACAATATTTTAATTTATACTCTCACCAAGAGCATAAGAAAGGCCCTGTTGCTCCACATTCTAGCCAACATTATTGTTTATCTTCTTCTTATTAGGCATGCATAGGTGTAGTCATTTTAGTGTTTGTATATTACAGAGATTTTAATTTATATTTCCTTGATGATCAGTAAAACATCATTTTTTTTCATGTTTACTAGTCATATGAATGGCCTCCTGTGTGAAGGCTTTTCTTTTCTTTTCCCTTTTTTTCTATTGGGTTGCCTGTCTTTTTCTTATTAATTTCAGGAATTCTTTATATTTTTCTCAGTACAAATTATTTATCTGATATCTGTATTGCAAATTGCTTCTTCCACTCTGTAGCTTGGCTTTTCCCTCTCTTAATCATGCTTTTTCATGAAAAAAAATCTTAATTTTAATCTGGTCTAATTTAACAATTTTTTAATTTATAGTAAGTGCTTTTTGATGTCCTGTTTAGGAACTCTTTGCCTACCCAAGATCAGTAAGACATTCTCTTAAGTTCTCTTTTAAAAACTTCATTCTTTTATCTTGCACATTTGGATTGATGATCCATCTGGAATTAATTTTTGTGTAAGGTATGCTGATTCCTTGAGGGACTTCCTTAAATACTCACTACAGAAGCAAAGTCTGTTTCTCTTTTAGGGACCTTTATACAAACTCTTAGCTTTTGGCACCTCTCTCCAGGTCTTTTCTCCAGTGAATGGACCTACTGTGGCCTTCTTTTCCCTTCTGACTTTTATCCTGTTAGCTACAGTCATAAAATAACGCTATTGGCCTCGAGGGAGTCTGTTCCATCCCCCAACTCAATGCAATGAAGTTCACTTATACCAAACTTGATTAACTGACAAAATGTCTAAAAATAGTGTGTACTCTTCATTATATTTTAACAATATTAATAACAATGTCTATTTGTTATCAATGGTACTTGATGATTTTCCATTTTATTTTAGATACCCAGTTAGATTTAACTGTTAACTACCTATCTAGCTAAACCTCTAATTTGTTTATTGCAATGAGATGATAAAAACAGTTCATATAATGCATATTCTGTCACTTATCATTACTTATCTATAAGGGATCTAAAGAGTGAAATATTTTTTCTTTTAAAAGCCATCATCTTATGGATAAAACTAATATCCAAGTGATAAGCATGAAAGCAATTTATACACTGTAAAGTAATAAACAAATGTTAGACATTAGCATTAATAATGCCTGAGTTCTTTTGGAGGCCTAGAATGTCCAAGTCACGAAACATCTCTTATCACCAAAAGTCACTATAAATCTCTGTTATGATTTCTATGAAAAATTCCAAAATATAGAATTTTCTATGAAAAATTCCAAATATAACAGAAGGTATTATTAATCAAGTAATAATACCCAGCCTTATTACTCTACTATTTATTTTGAGAGCATTTAACATACGTAAGAAAGAACAGGAACACTAGCCTATGCTTTGGTTATTTATTTCCCATCAAATATACCAGAGAGAAAGCGCATATCACAAGTATTTTCTTTTAAAAAGACTCGTAAGAGAAGCTAAGTAAAACCTTAATAAATTTTTGAAATTGACTTTTAAGATATTTAGTAACTAAAGAAAATGAATACCTGATCTCCAACTGTCTTCAACTACATGTTGGATAAGACCTCCAAGGAAAGGAACTCGAACCATTTCTAAATGTTCCAAGTTTCGGGCAGAAGCTAAGCCTGTTACTAAAGGGACATATTTCAAGGAATTTGTGGGTCCTGGAAAAAAAAAAATCTTTACTAGAACAATGTAAAATGCTTTACAAATGAATTTTCAAATTAGTGACTAAAATGAATAACTTATAAATTCTATGTCTTAAAATGACAGCTGAACTATTGGCTCTCTACAATCTGTAATTCTTATTACAAATGAAAGTTGGCCTGTTAACTATACACTTATTCAGCATAAGGATTTTTCAGTACCATTAGAAAGTACATTTTACAAATTCTCTGAAGTCTCCATAGTTTTGAGTTCAAAATAACCTTAGTTATTTTTCCCTTAGGGAAAAAGCCAAGATGAAAATTTGATCATCCACTCAAGTAAACATCTCAATCATTAAAACATCTCTCTGTGACCAGTGCTGTAGTAGAGACTACATGGAAGATCATAAAAGACATAGTCCTGTCTAACTAAAAGCCTGTAATTGACATGGAGATAGAACATAAATAATTATAAGAGGATAAAAAGGTATAATGTATGAAGTATAAAAATAAGATCTGCTACATTCCATAAATAAGGAAAGAGAAAGAGAAGAGAAAGATAAGTTGGAAAAAGCAGAGCCTGAAGGATGTATATAAGTAAAGAGGAAGAAGGAAGAGTGTGTTTCAGGATAAGGAAACAATAATACAGTGTTCAGGCAAGACACTGAGGTGAAAGCTGTATGGTTGTGTAGGGGTCAGCAGGCACTAAAAGAAGGTACATATTAGAACAGAGTCAGAATAAGGACAAGAATAAGGGGGTCTTGGCTATTATGAATCTTGATGCAGAGTAGCTCCTACTTGACATTCTAGGGCAGCGGTCCCCAACCTTTTTGGTACCAGGTACTGGTTTCATGGAAGACAATTTTTCCATTTGGGGGTGGAGAGGCGGAATGGTTTCAGGATGATTCAAGCACATTACATTTATTGTGCACTTTATTTCTATTATTATTATTACACTGTAATATGTAATGAAGTAATTATACAGCTCACCATAATTCAGAATCAGTGGGAGCCCTGAGTTTGTTTCCCTGCAACTAGACAGTCTCATCTGGGGGTGATGGGAGAGATTTACAGCCGAAGTGTGTTGCTTATGTCCAGTCTACTTGGTAATTTCATTTTGGTTGCTGGCACTGCAGAAAACCCTGCTTCACAAAGATAGGATGTTGGAAATGGAAGCAGGCTTTTCAGTGCTTTTGTGGCAATTTCAGGATATTCCACCCAGATCCTATGGAGATCTGAAGTTGTCTCAAACATACTTTTAAGACCACCGTCATTTTCAATCTTGAGCAGTTGACCTCTTCAAGCACAGATAAAGTCGATTCATCTGGCTTATTCACCAATGGGTCACAGATCCACTCCTTCCCAGGTCAGGGGTCTTTTGTGGTTGGGAAGTAAAGCTCAAATTCTTTCGAAAGCTGAAATAGGTGATCATGCACCAGCTGGGAGAAAAAGGCTCTGGCTGAGTCTCTAACAAAAACTTTCCTAATGTTTGAAACATGTCAAAAATCCCAGTGTTCACTTGTCATCCCAGAATTCCAGTTTGGTTTTGAATGCAGCCACTACTTTATTTGCCAACTTGAACGCAGCTATTATTCTCCCCTTAAGTGACAGATTGAGCTCACTGAGGAGGTTGAATATGTCACATAAGTAAGCAAGTTCTGCGACCCATTCTGTGCTGCCAGCAGTGATTGTTTTTCTAAAAGAAATCTGTGAAGTGGTTCTCATAACTCAAAAACTCTAGCCAGTGATCTACCTTTAGAAAGCCATCTCACTTCTGTGTATAAGAGAAGATGGGTGTGTTCTGCGTCCATTTCCTCACAGAGCTGTGCAAACAGACGTGAGTTAAGGGCATGTACTTTAACGTGGTTGATAATTTTAATCACATCCTGAAAAAAGTTTAGTTTATGTGACATTTTTCAGCTAGCCAGCATTTCTCTATGGATGACATGGTGCGCAGACTCACATTCAGAAGTAACCTCCTTGACCCGAGTAGTGAAACCAGAAAACCATTCAGTCACAGCAGCCATTCCGTGTGTGCATATACTGACACACAATGATCAATTCAGTTTTCATGATATGTAACCATTCAAAGACTTGAGTAGTTCTGCAGCTGTGGTGTTGGCTGGCAACAAGAGTGCACATAACATATCCTTATGTACATCCTCCTGAAAAATATATCGCACAAAAAACAAGCATTGTTGCCTTGTTGTCAATATTGGTAGACTCATCAACCTGGACTGGTACCACGGTGACTCATTAATCCTAACAATTGTGCCTCAATATCTTCTATTCTTTCATCAATTCGTCTAGTTACAGTGCTAGCCAAAAGAGGAACAAGTGCCACCTTTTGAACTGCAGCCTCTCCTACAAGTTCATGGCAAAAGTCCTTGGCAGCAAACAGGACCAACTCTTCACCAATAGTAAAGGGCTTCTTAGCTTTAGCAATGTGGTTAGCCACTAAGAATGATGCTCTCAGTGCAGACACATTTGATGAAGTGGTGTCCTTCAATAATTGCTTCTGTTCTTCATGTTCACATTTTTTCTTTTGAAAAACTCCAAAGGATTGTCTTTTAATGCAGGGTGCTTGGTCTCCATGTGGAGAAGGAGTTTTGGATTTGTTGGATAGCAGGTCACCATATATACAAAGTGGGCTTGGAGAATGTGAATGACCTGTTGTAATGAACTTGTAATTTAAGTAGGTACCTTGGTATTTTCTTTCAAATGCAGCTTTCATTTTGTTGGCAGTCTTAGAGTCTTCTGCTGTCTTATCATTGGGTTCTTCTCTCTTTCCAAAGAAGCTCAGTGATGTTTGTTTTTTACTCATTTTTGCTAGGGTTAGCTTGTGGGCTTAACAAAACTATGACTGAGACAAGTGCACAGTGCGGAAAAGAGGTGTGGACCAAAGTGGTAAATAAAATAACAGGTGGGCCACTGTGGACTAAAATAAATGTCGGATTCTGACTTAAAGCCTGCCATCAGATGCAGCTGTACAACTGAAGTACATAAACTCACTTGCCACTACAAGGCCTGCCACCTGATACAGCTTAATTGTCACTTGCCACTCACTGATAGGGCTCATATGGGTCTGCAAGCAATTGATTTATTATGGTCTCTGTGCAGTAAAACCTCCCTGCTAATGATAACCTGTACTTATAGCAGCTCCCCAGCGTTAACATCACCTCAGCTCCACCTCAGATCATCAGGCATTAGAGTCTCATAAAGAATGCACAACGCAGATCCCTTGCATGTGTGGTTTACAGTAGAGGTCTCACTCCTATGAGAATCCAGCTGATGTGACAGGAGGTGGAGTTCAGGCGGTGATGTGAGCGACGGGGAATGGCTGTACACAGAGATGAAGCTTCACTTGTTAGCCTGCCGCCCACCTCCTGTTGTGCGGCCTAGTTCCTAACAGGTCACAGACTGATACCGGTCCACAGCCCGGGAGTTGGGGACCGCAGCTCTAGGGCAACAGGGACACTGAAGGTTTCTGTTCAGAAGAATGATATCATAAAAACAATGTTTAAGGTAGATTACATGAGACAACTATTTATATGTAGGATGATTAAGAGACCAGAGACAGACAAAGCTGACTGAAATTTAATAAAACAATCTTATGAAAAGTAAAAAGTGTCTATAAGAAACATATAGAGATATTCTGACTTATTTTTGTTGTTTTTTGTTTGTTTTGCTTTTTGCTAAAGTCTAACACAAACCATATTTCTAATATGTTTTAAACAAAAGTACATTTATCTTCACAAGATAAGTTACAAAACATATATAGTAACAGCATAACATAATTTTATTTACAAATATAGCTACAGAGTTTGCTTGAAGGTATTTTTAGACTCACATATGTTTAATTCTACCATAATTGTGCACCATTACCTGCACAGTTCCTCATGACGAAAGTTCGTAAGCTGATACAAAGAAAGTCTTTAAACGGTTGTGGTTTAGTGAGTCGTACCCACTTCATATAAAGGTGCCTTAGCATTGGGATACAAGGAATTTCAGGAACATTCACCCCTAAAACACAAATACAAAAAAAAAGAACAAATAACATTACAGAAATGCCCTATATTCTGTATGTAAATTCAAGAGTTTATTTTTCAAATTGACAATTTATCCTTCAAGGAGATTTTTATTATAACAAATTATATAATTAAAATCAACTAAGTGTAGCTTATTTAAATCAGACTTATTACTATAAAGAGCAATTTATGCAAACCACAAACAGCCCACTTTGTAAATTTTTTTAGAAAAGGCATATGGGAAGATGGGATTTAAAAAGTACTTCTACATTTTACACATGTAAGTCTTTCTCATAATCTTACAACTCTTCCAGGATCATTTGCCCTGAAGATATAAAGTGAAAATAGGTTACTAAAAGCAAAATTGTGAAGATGGACATGGAATACAAATTTAAGACTAGACTAGCACTACCCACTCACCCACCAGCAGAAAAACTAAATTTCTCTGCAGAAAGTCAGGATAGCTGGATGTCAATACAATATTGTGGTTTCTAGAAGACATCCAGAGATAGAGCTTAAAAAGCTATTTCTACAAATACACGGATCATAATGATTAGTAAATATGTGACAGAAGCCAGCCAGCATGGTTCTGGGAAAGTGAGAAATCTGACAGTTATTTGTTTCAGCATTTCAAATTGATACAGGTATTTTATGCTTCTGATTCCTGAGTGGCATAGTACTAGGAATCATACTCATAGAGGACCAGGTCTAGAAGAAGGACAGTGGTGTAGAATGAGGGGGGGAAATTCAGGAGATATGGAAGAAAGAAAGAAAGAAAATTCGTAAATTCTAAATGGAAGGGAGCAGTTTGAGAAACTTGCCCAAGAGTCTAAATACTGTGGGCTTGAGAAAAGCTGAGGAAGGGACACAAGTTTATGAAAGAAATTCAAGGATTTCTCCTTGGATTTCTGATGGCATTTAACAAACCGTAACTGACAAAACCAGTTCAATACAGCTTTTAACTTGAGACAGTAGAACCCTGCTAGCAAGAGTAACCAGAAAAAGCAAAGTTGGAGTACTTGAATGGCCAGTTCTTTAAAAGCTAAATTCTGCAGAATGTTCCTACTGTAACCTGTAAGTATTACTCCTTAACCTAGTTCTCTCAAAACAGCATAGTTAAATCTAGCTTGAGGTATGAACACACATTGTGTGGTAACACTTGGAAAGGGAAGTTAAAAGTGGGGATGAGACCAAAAGAAGAAAAGCAGAAGTGAGGTACAGATTGAGATGCAATATGCAGAACTCACAAGGTAAATTTAGTATCTACCATGAAGGTGGTTGTACTGACTATATTGATTAGGAAACTCGAGGTAGCAAGGGTGAGACAGATCCAGAGAAGATAGTATACCTTATGCTCAATCTACATTTCGGCCCAAATCCACTCTATAAACAAAGGATGTAATTATCCATTCCTTCAATCATTAATTTACCACATACCTTTATATGACCATCATACAGTAAGTATTAAACTGTTGAATGAATCACATAAACTAATGCATTTCAATAAAATTTACCTTACAAAGCATTTATATTTGCAATGAACTGTGTTATGCATCGTGGAAAATATAAAGATAGAAAAACAGTCTTTAACCTTAATAAGCTTATATTATAAACTACAGATTATTATGGAATCCCTTTATTATCTAAAAATCCAATTTCAAAGATATCCAAATTCCTAATTAAAGTCATTCTCTTAACTTCTATTTTTATAGAGATGAGGTCTTGTTATGTTGTCCAGGTTGGTCTTGAACTCCTGGCCTCAAGTGATCCTCCTGCCTCAGCCTCCCAAAGTGGTGGGATTTACCAGTATGAGCACTGCACCTAGCCAACTCCCTGATCTTATAAATGAAGCGTTGCTAGAGATTTTTATTCTTCTTTCATAATTATATGCATCTTATTTAAGATCTACTTCTTATTCCTGCTGTGCTGCATTCCCTTTACCACCTGACAAAGTTTTAGAAATTTCCAGTTCTTCAGACCATCTCCAACACCTGGAATAATGCTTGGAACACAGCACATACTCAATACCTATATGATGAATAAAATATTAAATGACTATTAAAGGTTAGATTGTATTAACAGGGTCCCCAAAATTCCTTTAAGAAGTCTAAGCCAAACATAAATTGCATCTGAGAAAATATCTGCCCTTATTACTTATTTAGGTTGAAATTATTGGTATATAATTTCAAAATTATTTAAGTGGAGAATGCACATATATGAAGCAGTATATTTCCCCATAGGTCTTTAATGGGAAATCTGAGTTTTTAAACAAGTTTTGCAAGCATTTCTTCTGCCATCATCAATCAACAAAGCCATCTCCAAAATTATCATTATTCCCTTTCAATGAATATTCAGTTATACAGGATTCCAAGGAGTTCCAAGTGACCCAAGAAACATGTACTCACCAACTAAATGTAAAGTTTGAATTTTGGCTCCTATCGGAATTTTCAGTTTATTTTCAGGAGGAATTGGAAATGCTCCATTACGATTACGAAATTTCCCCAAAATATGAACATGTGGCATATATGTCCAAATGGATTCTACCAACTCCAAATGAGAAGTTTCCACACCCTAGAAAATAATGCCAAAGCAAGCATAAGAAAGGTTTCAAATTTAGCATCTACAGCTTCTACTTCTCTATCATAATATACTAAATATACAATGGAACTTAAAACAAAAGTTTGTTATGGATGAAATTTGTATATGAGTAAAAACATGTTCTATCATTCTTTGGCCTACTGTTTCTTCAACAGGAGTTGATGCCAAAAACGTCCAACCAGGTGCACTCACCACTAAGTTTGGACATGCCTGCAAAGCTTCTAGGACTCCTGGAATGCTAAAAGCCTCATGGCCCCTTACTCTTCGCCTCTCAAGGTATCGAGGATGAAGACCATATAGCTGTTCGACATCTGGCATCTTCTTCAATAGTGTTAGAAAACTGGAATCTGTGAAGCCTGAGAAGTTCAAAAGTATTTAGAGCCAGAATCTTTCTGTTCATTAACATTTACTAGGCACTTATAATTTGTATCAAAAGTTAAAAAAAGAAAGAATTTCCTTTTTAAATTTTCATAAGGCTAACACTATAGCTGAACAAATGGTTACAAGAGAAAATGTATTCTTTTAGTAGCAAAGGAAATGTATCACAAACTCCACTTATTCTGAGTTAATACTTTATAACTGAGGTTTTTAACTTATTATTGACTTTTTTGTTGTTGCTTTTAAAGCACAGAAATCTTCAGCAAAAAACACACTTTAATCCAGATGACTTGGATCTATTTGATTGGTGGATGGAGAGGGACCATCCACCTGATCATAACCACCGTCCTCCTCTCCCAAAGGTGCTCTCTGGTCTATAAAAGTTCTAGGGCTCTGTAGAACACTTAACTAAAAATATAAATAAAATGAAAAGTCCTCATCTTCAGGAAGCTCACAGTTCCAACCTAATTTGCATCTCAAACTAGGTTCTCTTATCCTATCCATTTCCTAATAATTAGTCTGCCCTGGTATTTATCACTCCCTTGCCATTTTATATAATTTATTCTTTTGGAAAAGAAAGCACAAGTTACCTAAGAGAACAAGAGTGATCCAAACTGGGGGGATACTAAGTTGGAATCAACAAGATGGAAACTGAGAGAGAGAGGTTACTTCCACAGCAGGAGCTGTTAGCTATATAAGCAGGGAGACAAGTCTCATACAGATGACATGTTACCTATTACAGGGGCTTTTTATTTTTAATGGGAGCAGTCAGAAAGCCAACTGCCAGATCACTAATGACAAATTAAAATATTAACTGTCCAGAATAAAAATAAGTCCCAAATGACTAAATCTTACTTAAGTTTTCATATAGGACTAGTCCAGGTATGTTAACTTTAGAATCACAAAAATGAAGAGTAAGAAGGGACCCTGGAGATTATTTGGTCTCTGTAATTATAGTACTAGTTACTCTCTTATATGGTAACCTTTACTGACTGAGCCATTTAGTGTGTTAACCATTCTACATGTTTTCTCGTTTATTTTCACAACCAAAGTCAAAAAGGTTATCATCCACATACAAATGTAAAAAATGAAGTTAAAAGAGTTTAAGAGCTACCAAGTGGTAGCTTGGTGAAAATCAAAACCAAGTCTGACTACTGCCAACATCCATACTCTCGTCCTATGTTACATATAGCCTCTCACCAAAGAAATAGGGAAAGTTCTATTAATACCTTATTTATAGAGAGGGTGTGACAACCCAAAGAAATCACATATGTAAACCATAAAAACTATTATATAAAAGATCAGAGTTTAAACTCTAGGGTGGCATCAATGAGCAAGGTTAGTGTGATCTTATCCTAGGCTAGGGACTATTTGCTTTGACTCCATTTTATATTCATTGCAGAGATGGGAAACCTTGGGCTCATAGGTATTTATCACAGCCTGAAAGTCAACAATGTGCAGACAAATTCATCCCTAATTGGGTAAGGAGCTGAGATGTTAATGCTAAATTGCATCACATGGGAGCTCTACTATCCTGCTTCTTTATATAGTACGTTAATCCCATCTCTAGAATTCCTGCTGGTCTAAATTCTACTAAAGTAAATCTAATAAAGGAATAAGACAACCATTTTCACACTGCTCTAATTTTTTTTCTTATCTGTATAAATGATCAATCTCTGAAATAAGATAAATACTTTCCCCTTAGAATGGCTTTTTTAAAAGCATCTGATGACAGATCTGGGTTTGCCTCCCACAAAGCTAAGTTCTGGCCTCAGATCTTTGCAATGTTCTTCACAAGAAAGCATATATTGATAGTGACTCTAGCCAACTAACAGAGTTACTAGTTGACTGATGATCCTTGAAAGGATGCAGCACTGCAAACTGCACAATGTTCCAGTATTCCAGAGGTCATCTGCTCAGTTCTACAGAACAGAACAAGACAACTATCTCCTCAGCACTTTACTTCTACTAAGGTTTTTTATTGTCCCCCTGAGCCTCATATTTTCAAATTTAGACATCACAGAAAAAGGATGATGTAAAAAGATTTGAAATTGCTAAACTGTAGTAACTAATTAATGGATTGGTCTTAATTGAAAAGAAGCCTCAATTGGCCTTTCATTTTAATTTTTTCCTTTCAGGAGTGCTTTTGCTTAGCTAAAGTCATCAACTTCCTTTTCAGATGGTCTCTTCAACTGAGCACAATCTCTTGTGGTTAGACTGTTAACTCAGTTTTTCACCTAAAAGGCCAATACCTTATTTGAGAATCTCCAAGACCTACTGTAAGCCTTTGAAAAGTGCTAAAGAAGTCAAAGTTCCAGAAGTGCAATTTCTGTGGCCTATTAGAACAGTTAAAAAATAAATAACTAAGTGTTTGTTTAACTAGAGGGTGCAGTTAAAGTGCACAGGAAAACTATGATGGAAAATGTTACCATTCACCAGAAAACCTGTATCACATACTAATGGACACACTGTCTAACATAATACATATATACTCATTTACTCAAAGGCTCAGGAAGTGTTTTCCAATCATATCTGCGTGAAACAGGCTGATACAGTTTCTTAAGTAGTAGGAAATGATAACAGCAAGCTGTTAGAAGAGTAAAGCCTCAGGCAAAATGCATTTTGCCAACTTAAAGCCAACATAAATAATTTGGATAAAATCCTGCCTTCTTACATACAAGGTGACTGAGATTGCCTTTTTCAAAACAACAAATATTTTATGGGACCATTATTATTACTCTCCAGTAGGGCTCGACTATACCTAAATCCACTTACCACTTGGCATGTATTCCCACCACCGCCCTGCGCAGAGATCCACAACCCTCACGACTCTCAGATACAGGGTCACTGCTTCCTTTAGCTTCCGGGAAAGACATTCCATACACATGATATCCTGTAGAGGGAGGTACCTTTGTGAGAGAAAGAAACTCATATTTATTCAAGTGGATAAGTACTTCCTCTCATCAATAAGGTATTTTTTTCTTCCCTCCATTCTCCTACCCCTCAAATGAAATAAAAATCTTAACATTCACAGGGCTTCTAAGGCTAACATGCATAATAGTTTTTTACTAAAAACCTGTAAGTTAGCAAACACTCAGGTATTCAAATAATATATTGAGCTTCCTCCATATAGCATTTGATAAGAGCTGCTTTTCTTCTTTTGAGTTTTAATATAGACAAAGAAAATCTAAAAACAAAGAAAGAAAAGAAGAAAGAAAAAGAAATCTTGGTGCATTTCAAGGTATGATGATAAGGGAACCTGGGAAAGATTAGAAAGAACTAATTAATATGAAAATGGACAATGTTATTTCCTATCTTCTACAGAATTCCATTTCTATAGTGACTCTGCTCTCTGAACCCACCCCACCACCCCAGAAACTCTACAATTTTCTCCATTAACAAATATGTATACTAACTTTATAGTATACAATTTCTTTTCCTAGATCTTTTACCTTTAAGATCACACACTGATAAAAGTACCGCATAAGTATTTAGAGAAGTTATCGTATCTCTAAAGGAAATTACAATTTCCTCTTTTTTAATCTTCTTTAGTATCTTTTCCTTCCTGAAACTTTTCAATTAATCTCTACTCTTATTCTGTTTCCAATAACACCCATATATATTTTGAAAGATCAGAAAATCTCATCTCTCTTTCTCTTAACACTCCTCCACATACACCTAGATTAAATTTGACAAAAAAAAAAAAAGAGAGCTACCCTTCATTGAGCCTGTACTGTGTCACAGACACTGTACTACACTCATTGTTTCACAATAACCTTAAAAGGTAAGTAGCTGGTTATTCTGTTTGCCACACAGCCCTCTCCCAGTCCTTTTTCCTCCTCTCTCTGCCCTGCTATGTTCCCTAGCCCTCTGGCTAATAGTTGATTGAATGTGGCCAATGGGAGATACCACCTGAGGGCTACAGGTGGCAATGTTGCCTTTCTGCTGCATACTGCTAGTCCCCTAGATGAATTCTTCAATATCACTTACTGGTTCACTTAATCCCATCTATACCTCTGTAAATAGTTCCTGCATTAAACTACCTTCTAAGGCAAGGCATGGTGGCTCACTCCTGTAATCTTAGCACTCTGGGAGGCCAAGGCAGGAGGATCGCTCAAGATCAGGACTTTGAAACCAAACTGAGCAAGAGCGAGACCCTGTCTCTACTAAAAACAGAAATTAATTGGCCAACTAAAAATATATATAGAAAAAATCAGCCAGGCATGGTGGCGCATGCCTATAGTCTTAGCTACTTGGGAGGCTGAGGCAGAAGGATTGCTTGAGTCCAGGAGTTTGAGGTTGCTGTGAGCTAGGCTGACACCACAGCACTCTAGCCTGGGCAAGAGAGTGAAACTCTGTCTCAAAAAAAAAAAAAAAGTTAAACTATCTTCTAATTCCAGCTAAATGTATCTTCTGTTATCTGCTGGAATCCTCACTGATATGGTAAATGCTAATATTACTCCATTTTATAAGTCATAAAATTAGCTCCAGAAAAGTTAAAACCTGCAAACAGTAACATGGCTAGGTAAGGGGGAAGAAGAGCAGGAATGTCAACACAGTTTGGTCAGACACTAACACAAATAGCTGACACTTAAAATTTTTGCTAATTCTAAAAGAAAAGTCCACATACACTTGCTGATTATTAATGTTTCTCTGTTCTCTTTTATTCTATCTCTGGACCCTCTTCCTTCCCCTTTAAAACTATTTAAATAAAGAGAATAAAATCAAATGAAACTTTCTACAAAAAAGCATCACCACTAGCCATAACTTAATTTGTAGTTTCTATAATTTAGAAATAAGTAGAATAAATAATTTTCAAGAACTACATAACTACACATTTTATAAACAATGGAAAATAATGAATTTGTTTTTGAAATCATGTTTGCCACTATAACATTTTTTTCTAAATCATTTATTGTTGTCCAAACTATTTGCCTGGGTTAATATTATACTTCCTTTAAATATAAACAGATCGGTAATCACAAAATCAAGATTATTTTATAGCGTATTTGCCCTAAAAGGAAATATATTTTTTCTTTATAAATATATAGGCAAAGGGCTGGAGTTCAAAAGGCAGATCAAATATTTCACATTTTAGAAAAGACACAGCACAGCAAAGTTAGTTTTCTCTTAAGGAAGGAGATAGTTTTTCCTGTTTCATGAAAGCACACTAAGTAGTTACTACAGCACTATACAACATGAGTCCTCAAATCAAAACTTTAGAAAGGCTAAAAATAAAACAAAACTCAATGTGTTTATTTTTAGAATAAACATCTCATACAAAGTTCAAGAACTCAGCTTAGTTCATGGTTCTTCCTACCTTTTGCCAATTGCTATTAAGAGGGCAACATCCTACTTGATTTCACCTCTTCCATTTGAATATTGTTTGAACTGCAAAATCTTATCTGATCTACTTTCAATTTAAAATATCATCCAATTTGTTCACAATACATTCCAGCATTTTCTAACCATCATTTAACACTTACCCCTGGAAGCAATTTATCTATGCTTTCTTCTAGAATTTTAATGGCTTTATTATTTAATTCATTGATCCACTTCAAATTTAGTTGTAAGATAAATAAGAATGATGCTTTTATTCTGATGATTGTGACATCATCACCAAATAATCCACCCAGCTTTTCCTTATTAATGCAAATATCATTTTATCATAAACTAGATCCCTACATGTATTTGAAGGCAGCCTATGTTTATCTATTGTACCCAACTGATAGGGATGGCTTAGATATCTGGCTCTCCAAATCTCATGTTAAAATTTGATCCCCAGTGTTGGAGGTGGGGCTTGGTGGGAGGTGTTTGGGTCATGGGGTCAGACCCCTCATGAATGGCCTGGTGCCAGGCTTCTTTGAACAATGAGCTCTAGCATGTGAACTCACATGCCTCCTCCCTCTCTTACTCCTTCTCTCACCATGTGACATGCCTGCTTCCCTTTCACCTTCCACCTTGTCTGGAAGCTCCCTGAAGCCCTCACCAGAAGCAGATGCTGGTACTACACTTCTCATACAGTCTGCAGAACTGTGAGCAAATAAACCTATTTTATTTATAAATTATCCAGTCTTAGGTATTCTTTTATAGCAACGCAAAATGGACTAACACACAAACTGTCTGGCTGTCTTCTCCAGAACCAAATGTTAGGAATGTATTTGAACATCTTGGTAGGGCTGGACTCTTTTTCTGAAAAATTTTGGCTATTCTGGCAGATTTTTCTTCTGCCAGATGAACATTCATATCATTTTGTTATGTTAAAAAAACCCTAATATTTTAATGGAATTGTCTATTCCCAGACAGAGCCAAATTAACAAAAACTACACTGTGTCACAGAATAACAAATTACAGAAGATAAAGACTAATACAAATTTATATTAGCAAGCAAAAATAAAGTGCTATGGTCCCCTAAAATAACTCTGCTTAACTATTTTAAAACTTCATAATCTGCAAATATTCAACAATTTATAAAACTTTTAAGTTTTATAAACTTTTCTAAGGGCTTCATATGTGGAAACATTTCCTAGGTAAATAATCTAAGATAATAGAAAATCCAGATGCTTGAAAGTTTATTGCAACTGTACTTGCAGAAAACAGAAAAAGTGGAAAAAATCCACATGTCAGACAAGGGAAATAGCAAATATCATATCACATACACATTCAATGGAATAGTAAGCAGTGACTAAAATGATAATTATGAAGACCAGGTAACATTATGAAAAAAGGCAGAACACAATAATAACCATTAAAGCTTACCAAGCATTTATACTATGCAGTGTGCTAAGTGCTTTTATGCATTGTCTCACTAAGTCCTAATAATATCACCTTTTTATCTACCATTGGACCACAGCTAGTAAATGATGAACTCAAGATTCAAACTTAGGTCTCTAACTCCAGAGATAAAGTATTATAGAATTTATTTATTTGAATGGTATAAATAAAGACAATGACTGAAAGAAGAGAGCAATGGGAACTTGAATGACAGGTTTCTTTTTTTTTTTTTTAATTGTTGTTATAATACAGTTTGGGTAAAAATATAATTTTTAAAAGAGTTTTTTTTTTTAAAAAAAGCCTTTCTTGTGTTGCATTAATCGCAAAACAACTTTAATTGTGTGCACTGCATAATAATGATGGGTATTATTTCACAAAACTTTAGTTTCAATCACTTACCTATATATGCACGTTGAGCAAAATGTGTTTCTCACTGCAGGTTGTAGTTATAGAGAGTCAGAAACACTGCTTTATATTTTACATACGTAGTATTGTTATAACATGATAAGAAAAGTCAACAAATCTATCAGCCAATAAAATTCCAAGAAGCCCAGCTATCCAATAGAACTTTCTGTGACAAAAGAAATACTTTCTATCTGTACTCTGCGCTGTCCTATACAGCAGCCACTAGCCACACACAGCTACTAAGCACTTGAAAGGTAGCTAGTACAACAGATAAACCGAATATTAATTTTATCTAATTTAAACTTAAATGCAACATGTAGCTAGTGGCTACCATATTAGACAGCACAGCTCCAGGGTTTGCTCTTATATATTCCAGATAGATGAAAGTCAACCAAACAAAATCTTACCTAAAAATATGGCAAAGTACTTCATGTGAAAGTTGATTCATATAGTCCTTTGTTTCATCTGATATTGTTTCCTCTGGGATTTCATTATTCATAAGACAGGTTTTAACACTTTTCTTTCGTGGCCCCATTGCTGTGTAGTCTCCAGTATCAAAGAGCAAATTTCTCCTTGTTTATTTGAGTTCAAAGCACCTGAAAAGCAAGCAGAGAATACAGTAGACTAAAAAAAAAAAAAAATCCAAACACAGAAATCATTCCTATTAAAACCTAGGCAAAACAATGTTTATTGTAAAATACAGACAGGTATACCACATTCAAATTAATAAAAATATTAATTTGTTCTGTGTAAAAGGCACATAACATCTTTTTCTGAAGAGCAGTTGACCATATAAATATGTATTATTTAAAATGAGCAAAAACCCAGGAATCAAGAGTCCTATGTTCTAATTTGTACTCTGTTGCCTCCTATCTATTTCACTCAATTTCTCTAAGTGTCGATTTCTTGAAAGATGAAATATCATTAAACTAGAGAAACAAACCCCTTCCAGCTCTAGGAGCCTGTGATTCTAGGACTGCCCTTAACACTGCAGAAGAAAATAGACAGGATTCATGGGTTCTAGTCTTAGATCTGCCCCAAATTAATTTTATTGTATCAAGCTTTCAAATTCTTCATTCTTCTACCTATAAAGTGAGGGGATTAGACTAGTGGGTTGCAGACACCTTTGTGAATCTGATAAAAACTAGAGACATTCTCCTCAAAAACAAACACAAGTTTATGTACAATTTCAGAGGGAAAATGAAGCAATCTTTCTCCTTCTCATGCAAATACTGAGAAGTTAATTCATTTTTGTATCACATGTATATTTCATTTTTAAAATAAGCTTTAGTGAGGGAAGAAAGGAGAAAAACAGAAAAGAAAAAGGGAAGGAAGAAGGGAGAAGGGAAGAAGGGAAAAAGTAGATTGAGTGAACACCCAGATGTTTTTCTGTTTTGTTTTGTTGATCAGCACTTAGAGTAACACCTTGATTCAGGACTTGGAGTAACATCTTATTGTCAAATTCTCTGGGAATAAATATTGCAATAATGTTGGTTTAGATATAGAACAGTTCATATAAAAGGTTGGTCTCCTTAGAATTAACGGCATTGTAGATGGAGGTGGCATAGGATGACAGCTGAAAAGAAGTTCATTCATGTATTTGTTAATTCAGACGTGCCTTTACACATTAATTTTGAATGCCTGCTATGTGTCTAGTTGTGAACAAAGGACCCTGGAGGCATGTGGAAACAGATTAATCAAATAACCATGCAAATGAGGTCAGAATTACAAATAGATATAAGTGATACAAAGAAAGTAAAGACAGCATATGACAAGGGAGCCTGAGTCACTGATGGTTTTCCTAAGGAAAGGACAATTGAGCTAATATCTAAAGGAAGAGCAGGAAATAACAGTACAATAAGTAAGTAGGGAAGGAAGGAAAGTATTCCTAGAGGTGCAAACAGCATGTTCTGAATTCTGCAGAAGAAGCTTGGCTCTTTTAAGGAACTGAATAAAACCAAAGGTGTTAGGACAGAGGGTGATAAGACTAGGGGAGGCTGAATGCTAGCATGGCTCTTAATCCTAAATGCAATGGGAAACTACTAAAGAATTTTAAAATAACAGGAGTGTACTACACTTCAAGCCTCAAAAGGACTATTAAGCAAGAAAGCCAATCCACCTAAGGATCACCTGTACGTTTGGACCAATCCTCCAGCTATCATATTTTAGCACATGCTTCAGATTTAAGAATCCTGACAACTCTTCATTGAGACCATGTTATTTACTCTTCATTCCTTCAGTAAAATGCTTTCTAAGTTCTTCTTACTTCTTTTTCTTTACCAAATCCACACCACTTAATAATTTAACACCTTTTTCTATGATTCTACCTTTCACTGCTCCTTACTATTTTGGAATGCTATGACTTTGTGTAAATCAGATTTAGTAGCACCAGTGCACAAACTACACTTAAATTTTTAGACTAAATAGCTTGTATTTCACATATCATGTAGCTTATAAAATTTTACTTGTTTAGATATTTACTCACAAAAATGATGTTTTACAACTTTATACACAGGTTTAGGTCTCTAGCAAGCTGACAAAAATCTATTTAACCTACAGTATACATTAACACTACCCCAAATCCTAAATTAGCAGGACTAACAAAATTTTAGGTAAAACTATTCTCTTATTTCCCACATCATACTAGGAATTGAAGAATTGGTCTTGCAGCTACCTACTCGGTAGCAACTACCCTGCTCTAAACCTTTAGGGGGAGGGGACTCATGGAGATGAACACTGGGGGTAAAGGATAAGATCTCTATCCTACATCTAGAAGATTGACAGTTCAGGACCTACAGCCAGAGGAAATTTACCAGCCCTTTCAAGTCCAAGTAAGTGTCTCTGAAAACGTTCAGGAGATGAAAAGCTTCCTCAATAAACACCATGCAATTCATGCAAAGTCCCAAGTGCTGATAGTGTCTCTTTTATTTGTGCACCCTCTCGTACTTTCTTTTCTTTTTAGTGGGAGAAGGAACAAAACCAAGTGAGAATAGAAAAATGTGATGACTGGCTTGCTTTTTCTTGCTCTCCTTCCACTCCTATCTCTGATATATCACCAATGGCCACTAAACACTGCTTTCACTTCAGAAACTCAACAAGATAAAGAAGATCCAAAGCAGCAGCATGTTAAAAGAGGATGAAGAAAGGAAGAAAAGTCCAGTTATCAGCAGTAGAGAAAGAGATAAATTGAAGAGAGCCTAGCAGAGAAGTCACAGAGGATGAGGGAGACATGAGTACTGGGACACCTCAATTTATACTGTTTTGCTTTACTGTGCTTCACAGATATTTTCTTTTTTTAAACAAATTGAAAGTTTTTAGCAATCCTGCATAGGGCAAGTCTACCGGTGCCATTTTTCCAAATGCATGTGCTCACTTCGTGTGTATCACATTTTGGTAATTCTCGCAATATTTCAAACCTTTTCATTATTGTTATATGTTTTAAGATAATCTGTGATCTTTGATATTATGATTGTAATTGTTTTGGGGGCACCACAAGCTACAACCATAGAAGATAACAAACGTTGGCTGGGTGCCCCCCACCCCCACTGGCTCACATCTGTAATCCTAGCACTCTGGGAGGCCAAGGCGGGAGCATTGCTTGAGCTCAGGAGTTTGAGACCAGCCTGAGGAAGAGGGAGACCCCATCTCTACTATAAATAGAAAGAAAAATTAGCCAAACAACTAAAAATAGAAAAAATTAGCCAGGCACCGTGGCATGTGCCTGTAGTCCCAGCTACCTGGGAGCCCTGGAGTTTGAGGTCGCTATGAGCTAGACTGACGCCACAGCACTCTAGCCCAGGCAACAGAGTGAGACTGCCTCAAAAAAAAAAAAAAAAAAAAAAAAGACAACAAATGTAATGAATATTGAAACCCAAGAAAGGCCAAAAGCTTGTCCTCTTGCATCAGTTAGCCAAGTTACAAATGTAAATAAAAAGTTCTTGGAAAAAAAATAAAGGTGCTACTCTAGTGAACACACAAATAGTAAGAAAGCGAAATAGCCTTATTGCTGGTATGGAGACGGTTTTAGTAGTCTGGATAGACATTCAATCCAGCCACAGCATTCCCTTCAAGCCAAAGCCTAATCCAGAGCAAGGTCCTCTCTTAAATTCTATGAAGGCTGAGAGAGGTAAGAAAGCTACAAGGAGCTAGAAACTAGCAGAGGTTGGTTCATGAGGTTTAAGAAGTCATTACCATTAACATAAAAGTATAAGGTGAAGTAGCAAGTGCTGATGGAGAAGCTCCAAGACATCCAGAAGATCTACGTAAGATAACTGATAAAGGCGGCTACACTAAACAACAAATTTTGAATCTGTAGAAGAAACAGCTTTATACTGGAAGAGGATGCTATGTAGCACTAGCTAAAGAGAAGTCAATGCTTGGCTTCAAAGGATAGTTTCTCTTGTTAGGGGCCAATGCAGCTGGTGATTTCAAGGTAAAGCCAATGCTCATTTACCATTCTGAAAATCCTAGGCCCTTGAGATTATGCTAAATCTACACTGTCTGTGCTCTATAAATGAAATAAAGCCTCGGTGACAGCACATCTGTTTAAGCTTACTTTTGAGATCTGCTCAGAAAACAAATTCTTTTCAAAACACTACTGCTCATTGATGACGTATCTAGTCACTCAAAAGCTATGATGGAGATGTAAAAGGAGATTAATGTTGTTTTCACATCTGCTAACATAACATATATTCTGCAGCCCCCAGATCAAGGAGTGATTTTGACTTTTGAGTCTTATTTAAGAAATAGATTTCATAAGGCTATAGTTGCCATGGACAGTGACTCTTCTGAAGGATCTGCACAAAGGAAACTGAAAACCTTCTGGAAAAGATTCACCATTCTAGATGCCATTAAGAACATTCCTGAGCCAAGAGAAAAGCACAAAACATCAACATTAACAAGAATGTGGAAGAAGGTGATTTCGACCCTCATGTATCACTCTGAGAGGTTCAAAACATCAGTGGAAGAAGTCACTGCAGATATAGTGTAAATGACAAGAGAATTAGAAGTAGAGCATGAAGATGTGACTAAATTGCTATCATCTCATCATAAAATTTGAACAGATGAGGAGTTGCTTCTTACGGATGAGCAAAGTGGCTTCTCAAGACGGAATCTACTGGTGAAGATGCTGTGAACATTGTTGAAATGACAACAAAGGATTTAGAATATTACATAAACTTAGTTGACAATGCAGCAGCAGAGTTTAAGGACTGACTGCAATTTTGAAAGAAGTTTTACTGTGATAAAATGCTATGAAACAGCATTGCATGCTATGAAGAAATTTTTTGTGAAGGGAAGATTCAATCAATACAGCAAACTTTATTGTTGTCTTATTTTAATTAAATGCCACAGCCACCCTAACCTCCAGCAACTACCCCTTCCCTGATCAGTAAGCAGCCATAAAGAATGAAGCATGACCTTACACTAGCAAAAGATTATGAAGGCTCAGATGATCATCACCATTTCTTAGCAATAAAGTATTTTTAAATTAAGATATATACATTGGTTTTAATGCTACTGCACACTTTAACAGACTATAGTATAGTGTGAACATAACTTTCATATGCATCAGGAAACAAAAAAGTTCATGATTCACTTTATGGTGGTGGGCTGGAACAAAACCTGCAATATCCGAGGTAGGCATGTATAAATAGCAGGTGAGTATAATGTGTAAAGACACTATTTTGTAGCACCAAGTGTTACTTCTAGGGTTAGCAAGTTCTAGAGGCTCAAACTCTGAACCTCAAAGAGATGTCATACTGACAGAATTATAGAATCCCAATAAAAGTTGAAGGGGCCCTGAGAGACTACTTTGTCACACAGTTCTCAATTTTTTGTGGGTCACGAACCCATCTGAGAATATGATGAAAGCAGCACATCCTCTGTCCAGATTCAGGCAAGCAGAATTATATACAATTTCGGGGGGTTCATTCACAGACATATCAAAGTTCCTCCAGAGATCCCTATCCAAGACTAGTTCCTGAAACTTCCAGATGGACAAACAGAACCAGCAAGGATAAGCTGTTAAGTCACTTCCCCAACGTCATATAGTGCCAAAGCTCAGGCTGGGCTTCAGACTTCTCAGACTACATTACACACCCTATCATCAAGTCAGTCCTTTGCCACTGTGGCTGTCTTCCTGCATTCCAGAGTTATGCCCCAATGCTTGGAGATGGGCTTCTGGATGCTCTGACAGAAATGCTTCTAACCACACCCTCCTTCACAAATTAGGGTTTGTAGTCCAACTAATTTAGGTTCCTACATAGTAGCCTAGAGTCACCTTGGGTGTCCTAGTCATTCTGCCTGTTTAGCAGACCGTAGTCACAGGAAGCATCACTTTTGTCCTGGTATCCCCAAGCACATTCTTAGACCTCAGCTGTTTGTCAGTATTCTTTAAGCCAGGGTTCTTCAAAAACACAATTTTTCTAAGTGCTCTTCTCCTTCTTTCCTGCTAATTCAAATCTCCTTCCCATCCCAAACAAAACTATCACCCCCCCCTACTAAGTCACTTGGGTTGTTCCCAAATGACCCCTATCTTTTAACCCTTACTGCTCAAAGCTATCTCCACCTCTAAAAGGGGAGCACCAACATTTTCCAGCTTGCAAAATTAAGTTCTTCTTTTAATCCTCTATTTCCATCATAAAGGTTTTAACATTTATGGTTCCTAATACTGATAATTGCTGATACCTAAAAAATCTTACCTCCATGTCTTTATTCTCTAAATCTGTCACAACTAAAAATCTTTCTATACCTGTTCTATCTTGTCAACATTCTCCTTCATCCTTGACTTGTTCTAATTACTCTTTTCCTCAGATCACACCAGGCTCTCTGGAGCACCGAATGTCTCTTGTTAGCATATCTCACAGACAGAGATTAACTTATCTTGCAACTGATCAAGTTAGGGACCCCTTCTTTTACAAAATTTTCATTATTCTGAATCAATTTCTCATCTCTATCCAATCAATGACAAATCACGATTTTCTGAAAAAGCTTCTTCTTTTCTCGACTACTATTATCTAGTCACTCATCTACCCTCTCACTCATTTATTTACTATCTAGTAAGCACTAGACAGCGACAAAATCTTTCTCACCATGAAGCTTATAGTCTAGAGTCAAGAAAGATTCTAGCACCATCTAAGTCATTCGATTCAACAGGAATAGCTTAAAAACAGGAATAGTGCTGAAAAATGCCTAGGAATCATCCAGTTCAACCCCTCAGTTTACATATTAGGGAAGTGAGGCCCAGAGAGATGAGCTGGCTAGCCCAAAGTCACAGAGGCAGAGTGTACCAGTGCTGAAACAACAATAAAGGTCTTCAACTCCAGTTCAAAACCAATTTTATTTTACTATACCACTTTACCTTACCAAAACCTAGTTATTTCTTTTTCTCCTATACTCTATACTATGCATTAATAACGACTAAGTGTGTACCTCCAGGCACAAAATCATTTAACCAAAGAGGTACACAAAAGTCTATATTCTGCACCCAAAGAAGGCATTAGAATAACAAATTTTAAAGAGAAGTCTTACAGATCATCTAACCAATAATACTAAAAAGGAAAGTTAAAAATGACAAGCAGATTTTTTTTTCAATCTATGACCACATAATGTGTACTTTTCACATTACACCTTCTTCATCACCCAGAAAATTATGGCCTTATAGAGCCATTATTTTACTCTTCACTTGTGCTGGGGAGTTGGGAAAAGGGACTAAGAACCAGAGACATAATCCAACACCTTCCTTCGACAGATGAAATTTCAAGTCCAGAGAGAGAAAGGGACTTGTGCAAAGTGAACTATCAAGTTAATAGTAGCTTTAAGTCAAAAACCAAGGTCTTGTATTTTCTCCACTTTGGAGTGATTTACACTACTGGTTTAGGTTTATAAAACAAAGTTTTCTGAAAAGAGCTTCCCACTGCACAGGAAACTTCCTAAGTGTCCAGTTGCCCTTGGCCAGCTTGGTGTCTGGAAAGAAACAGGGTAGTCATTTCTTATCAGTTAAATCCTGGTTATGTAGGGTGTAGGGTGGACATGCTTTTCAGGTCTTTCTCTAAGACTCCATGAAAGGAGAGCTGAGAATCTGATTTCCGTGGCTAGCAGGGGCATCAAAGGCATCCAATATGTTCATGTCACAGATAAATCGCAGCACAAAGAGGATAATGGACTGGGACAAGGTCACGTAGTGACTCGGTGGAGAAGGTAATACCAGAACTCAGGGTTCCTGATCCCCAGACGTGGCACCCTTTCAAAGATATGTTCATTGCTTCCTGCTCAGAGACATCCCCTCAATGCGCTGACGACAGGCCATCTTAAATTTACTGGCCTAAATACCAACTTAACATTAACATTGTGGATTTTGTGGCGCCCGGAGGGGGAGTCCCAGAAACTGTCCAGGCCAAACCTCCCATTTTCTTGAGGAATGGAGGCCAAGAGAAGGTTCTCTAGGCCGGAATTTTAGGCTGGGCTCAGTCAGACAAGGCGTCAAACCCGCAAACAAGGCCTAGAAAGCCAGGAACCACAAATTCAACCCCTGCTCCCCCAGGAGGTCTAGGCCCGAAGGGAGCCGGAGACCGAGAGCCTAAGCAGTCGGGAGCCCAGTAACCCCATCCAGCCGCCTCCGCCCTGCCGCACACAACCTTGGCTCTGCCGCCCGCCTCCCGGTCCCCAAGCCCGCTCTACAGTCGCCTCACCTACACCGGCCCTCCGTCTGTTATTGTGGTTGAGAGGGAGGGAGAACGCTACAGACACTTCCCGCGGCCCCCACCGCCGAGGCGCTTCCGCTTCCGCCACCGCTCGGGCATTTCCGGAGTGTAGTCATCCGGGCTGGGCCCGCGCCGCCATCTCCATATTGGGTGTGGAGCGCAGCGTACAGGCGCGGCAGCCATAGTAAGTGTGGCATTTCTGAAGGCCTAGAGCTGGTCTTTCTTCACGTGACACTTATGAGCCATTACCTAAGCTCTGGGAGTCTGTTACGCGGGAACCAGTGTGTTTGCTCTACAGTTCTGCTGATGCTCTGTGATCTTGGGTAAGCCTTTGGATCTCACCTTTGTCATTTGAAAAATAGACAGGTTCCGATAGAGGTTTTACCAGAATCATTCAACTGAAAACCAGAGAACTGGTTCTTTTTGCAGAAGGAGCAGTTAAATTAAACATTACTGTTAAATCATCCCTTCTGTGATTTGGGGACATTGTCTCTGCACATAATTAATAGCATTTTGCAGCTGAAAGGGCTTTCACTTCAGAGTCTCCCTACGACTCTGTGAAGTAGGCAGGGATCAACTTATTATTTTTTTCTTTGTTTAATGGATAAAGAATTATCTTCTCTGAATATCACACAGCTGGACTGAAATCCAGATATTTTTTGCCTACCAAATTCCGTGTTCTTGTCCTTATGTACATGTAACTAATATAGGCTAAAATACCGAGATATAGATACAAATACCCCGTAAGAAAGTTGGTGTACATTGAAGCCATATAAGACACAGGTTACTAGACTATGATGCTGGAGAAGAAAACAACTAAAGATGGCTTGGGGGAGGGGGAATCTTTTGTTCCTTATTACTTTCTTTATTGATAGGTGACCTACTGTTTCTTTCCCTCTTTCCCTGGTATGGTTTGACACCCTGGATTTCAGCTTGTCTTAGGCAGTCACCATTCTAGCTATCTTATTACATGTGTCAAACTGTGTATCTTGATTTGGTGCTCTTGGAGGACAAATGGAACAAAACCTCTTCGTATTCAGGTACTATTCATCTTCTTCCCAGCTTTCATATTATATTTTTTCCTTCCTGTAAGTGAAGATAAAATTCTACTCCCATGTTATTTGCTTCTGTCAATTTCTTTTATATTTAAACTTTAAAAAATGAAAGAATAAGACCTTGGATTTTTCTGTTTCCTACATTGTTCTGAAGAGTAAATAGGAAATGTATATGAAAGTGTCTAAAACAGGGCATGGAATATATAGAAGGCATTCAATGAGGTTTATTTCAGTGCAAGTGGACTGACTTTTTAATTCAATTGAATATGTTTTTCATTTGATTAGCAATTCCCCTGTTGTAAAAAGTATAGTGATAGGTCAAGAAATGCTCATGAATAAGCTAGGTTTCCCACCTCAAATTTAAAAAATGAAACAAAAGCATACCTTCAAATCATTGTAATAAATGCTACATAGAGATATTTTCTAAGTGATATGAGTGCCTGCTATATATAATAAAAAGTCAAAACTAGTTTTGACATTTTGAGGTAGAACATGTAATGTGGATCCTTTCCTCTCTAACATGTTCCTTGATGATGTGGGTTTTCATTAGGGTCCTGAATTACTATTCTTCACATACAGTGGCATCATCATGAGAGCCCTGAGCTCTACAAGGAAGTTTGTTCTGCACTAAATGACCTTAAAACACTGTGTTATTTTATTTTTAATCTCCACTTTTTCATTAAATTCTAAAATACCTCTTCTCATTTTTTCAGAGTTCCAGTATTGGCCTTTCCCTTTAAATTTCTTAGGCCCTACACAACAGATAATCCCTTTATTATAATGATGTCTAACATTCAAGAGAAGAAATTTTGGTCAGGGATAGTGGTTGGAGTTTGTTCAGGGCCACCTCATATGCCTAGGGAGCCTGTGTATTGCACAACTGCAGAAAGTGCCACAAATATATGGGATCATTCACTGCAGTGACCTATGATTGTGCCTCTGTACTCTAGCTTGGGCAACAGGGCGTGACTTTGTTTTTTTCAAACAAAAAGACTGAAAATGTGACTTTTTTTTTTTTTTTTTGAGACGTAGTCTCATTCTGTTGCCCAGGCTAGAGTGCCATGGCGTCAGCCTCGCTCACAGCAACCTCAAACTCCTGGGTTCAAGCAACCCTCCTGCTTCAGCTTCCCAAGTAGCTGGAACCATAGGCATGCACCACCACGACCAGCAGCTAATTTTTTCTATTTTTAGTGGAGACGAGATCTCACTCTTGCTCAGGCTGGTCTCAAATTCCTGACCTCAAGCTAACCTCCTGCCCTCACCTCCCAGTGTGTTAGGATTGCAGGCGTGATCCTTGAAATGTGATTCTTTATGTTTTCTTGTCACATACAAGCCAATAGCTGGATGTTAACAAGATTCAGATTAAGCCTTTGTAAATGCACCCTTTATCCTTGTAATGTATATCAGAACTAGACAGTGCCTATACAGGCTTTCTGAAGCATGGCACCATACAGTCTTTGATATACACTAAAATATCTCTACCCTTGTGTATTTTTGAAGGGAAAGGAGAAATGGAGGGTGAGAGGAGGGGAACATTGTAAGTAAATTTTAAAAAATAACTGGAATGTTGTGATTTTGTTTCCTGCCAGTTTGGCTGATGTGTCAACTTTCTTATCTTTTCAACTTAATATTCTTAGTTTAAACCAATGCTCAATGAAAAATTTCAAATTTGAATCATACAACTCATCCATCAGATTATTTAATATTTTAAGAAAATATGACAAATATTTTAAATGCTAATTATGCATAGACTAGTTCTTAACACAGAAAAATAACATAGGTGTGATTTAATCCTCATTTCTTTGCTTGAATTTGATCTTTTGGCATAGACATTTTAAGGTACTTAATCACTTTAAAAAAACATTCTATTTACCACATCTGGGGACTGCAGTTGCATATTGACTGGGAGAATGTTTTGCTGGGTGCTAGGAGTCTCTTATTCCCACCCCCAACCCTTTTCTTGTTGGATGGCAAGCTGTAAAGACACATGACTAGGGTGGTAGCAGCCATTTTTCTCATCACACAGATGGAGTCTGTATAGAAGATGATGAAACCAGCATGTATGAAATTCAGAGACAATCAGAGGGCAGGGATGGAGGCTGAGGTTTCTGATAATGCCCGAGTCTATGAATACAGCTGTACCTGAATTAAGACCCATCCTGGATCCTCCAAATTGCATGAGTCTACACATTTCTTGTTCAGCCTAAGCTAAGCTTCATTTAGATTTGTATCACTCTTAACTGGAAGAATTGTGACATATTCTCTATGCTGTGTTAGCCATTATCATCCTCCATTACCCCTTCAGAGAACCTTCAGAGAACATTTGTTACCCAGAGTAGCCCTGAAAGTGCTTGAGGAATGAAGATAGATGGGGGAAGTCTCATATGCACCAATTTGGTGGGGAATTAGGCAGCAGTATCACCAAGTGAAAGGAGGCACTGTTGGGGAACTCTGCACAGTTAGGGATATGGGACAAGAACATAAATGCTCTGGTGTCCTCTGAAATTGGGAGGACACCAGACTTCCTATGGTTTGTAGGATGGGAGGTCAAGTCATTTTGTTTGGGTAGGAAAGAGTGTGCTCCACCAGGCCAAGAGCTCTGGGTGACATTTTCCTGCTTTCTACCCAGACAAAAATGTTTCAGCTCCTGAGAGTATCATGACATATTATGACAAAAATAGGCAACTGCGGTAAGGGCAGCAAAATAGTAGGGGGTTGGCCTGAGTACTATCTTAGACATAGAAAAGTATAGTGTCAAATCATCTGTTGTTTGCTTGAGCTGCATCAACTTCTCCTTGTGGCAGTAATGCCTCAATATTCCTATAGGGAACAATTCTTTGTCCTCTTCTAAGTCCATACAGTAGGGCTGGCCCACTCCTGGCTCCTGTAAGGTCTTATAATTCAGTCCATTTCAATGAGAGTTATACATGATTAGAGCTATAATTACTGCTTCAGGAATTCCAACTAATATAACAAGACCCAAACCTTTTATTATAAGTTTTGGAAAAGGAAAGCTCTCTTCCACTGAAATTGTACCTCTATAGCTATCAGGTCTACCACTGGGAATGGAGGTAGGGTGAGGTTGGGTGAGAAAACCTGTCTGTGAATAAAAACAACATTAAGGAAAGTATGGATGGATCCAAGAGATGGAGAGAGAAATATCCAGCAAAATTTTTGGAGATCCTGGATATCCAGCTATGCCTGAAATCAGAGATTCCTCTGGACTTTTTGGGTACAGGAGACATAAAAGAATCCCTTGTCACCTCCATCCTCCACTCAGTCACTTGCTTACTTATTTATTTATGTCACTTTGAGTTGGGTTTTCTGTAAAGTCTGGGAAGTCTGATCAGTACCGAAGGAAGGTGGTAGGCAGAGAGTGTTATTCTTCCAAATTTCAATATATTACATGTGATTTCTCCACTAGAGGGTGTAGCTCACCCTGCATTAGAAGCAAGCAATATTCAGAGAGGTAATGCTGGCAGGCATTTACTGTCAGGAAGACCTGTTGGGATGCTTCAGGGTATTGGCCACAGAACTCACATCCCTGAAAGGGCTCCTGTCTTAGAAGGACTTGGAGAACAGTCAGATGACCAAGGCATGGCTACAGGCAGAGGAAATGGATCAGCACAAAGGTACCAGGTTGAGACTTCATCTCAAGAGCCATGAAGCTTCCTTCATTGTAAAAAGAAAAAAGGTAAGGGCAGGACTAGCAAATCAGTTTTATCTTCCATTAAAACCTGATGACAAGGCAGCCTGGATTGCTATGTTGAGAAAGAGTTTGAGGCCACATCCAGCTGAGTGGCATGTACTATTATTCATTACTGATACCTGGTGTGGGCATGAGGAGAAGCAAGAGGGTTGGATGTGATAGACAGTTGCCATCTACAGGTGAGATGTTTCTCAATGGGAGCACTATTGGCATTTTTGGAGAGTTAATTCTTACCTGTTCAGGACTGTTCAGTGCATTGCAGGGCCTTAGCCCACTGAATGCCTAGTAGTGCCATTCCAGTTATTGTAACAAGTAAAAATCAAGTCCCCACATAGTTTAAATGCACCTTATGAGACTTGGTTTAGATTTACCTGAGGATTGAACTATAGAAGCTTAAATTCTTCAAGGCTAAGAAATGAGGATTTTTCTTCCAGATCCTGAGAACAGACTGAGCTTGCCATCAGTAGGGGATGCGGCTTGAGGATGATCATGTGGCTTGAGGATGACGATGGAAATGCAGAGTCTCCAGTGAAGGGAAGAAGATGGGGAGTCAGGTAGAACTGACAACTGTACCTCTCCATCTCGCTACTCTGTACCTTTCCATCCACTGAATAGTATCAGCCACCTTAAATAATTTTTGGAACAAGGTAGCTTATGAATCAATAGATGAATAAATAAATGAATAAAATATTTCCTATCCCATAATTTAATATTCCATGGATATCTATTTTCATAAATGCCCCTGGACAGAGAAGTGAGGCAAAGAGACTTTGAGTAATGAGGATGATATTATTGCTACTGTCAAGTTTTGCATTTGTCATACCCTCCAGCCAAAAACCACTGGTAACATAACTATAATTGAACTAGTTGGATTTATTCATTGCAGGAGAATGTACTCGCTGGGGGAGCCGTAGGGCATGTCAGTAAGAGGATTAGAAAGGATTTATTATAGGCTTTGGGGTTGTTAGGTTAATTTGGGGGAAAATTTAAAGAAGATAGGCTTTGATTTGGATTGAATTTCCTCAGAAAGCAGGAGTAATCATGCAATGGAGCATCTTTAAAAAACCTTATTTAGAAGGAGGGAAGAGTAGTCTATAGCTATAGTTGTAATTGGTGAAGAAGCAGCAATCACTCATATTAGTCCAAATAGGAGAATGTTTGGTATTTTGTGATTTGGCTAATGTTCATGTTTTGCTGTGTTCATACATGATTATGGAATGGTATTGTCTTTGTCTTGATTCATCATAGTTACATCATACCTTTATCAGATGTAAATGTTCTATGAAATTAATTATCTCAAATAGTAGAACATTGAGGCTCAGGTATAAGTAGGAGGCCAACCTATACCAATGCCAAGGTCAGCTCCTGGATGCTATTAGGGTGTCTTACTTTTTTCACACATTTTATCGTATTATTTGATATTCATTTGTTTTCTTGCTCCTTCACTACCTTGTAAAATGCAAAATTGCCCAAACCTCTTTTGATTACCACTGAAAACTGAAAGGCTAACCAAGTTTCTCAATCTCATAAAGTACTTAAAGAATATGTACTAAATAAATGACTGAATTATCTAATTAGTCTATTACATTATGAGTTGCTCATCATCAGCTCTGAATTTCTAGAACCAAACACAGTTCTGGCACATCTCATTGAATTTATTTCAAGTCAAAGAGGAGCTTTCCAGAGGATAAGATTTATTGATTCTTAAAAAATAAAGTAATATAATAAATTCTGCTTTATGAAGGAAAGATGATGCTTAATTCAAATGGCTTCTATCATGACGAACAAAGGAAAATCACATCATATCCAAGATTTTGGGGCCTTTCCACATTTTCCTCGGTATTGAATTCCAAGAGTGAAATTCAAAGCTCTAAGAGAAATTGATATACATATTTAGAGACCATTTGTATGGAATATAACCTTTCTTCCTCCTGGCCAAGTGATATTATAATAGGAATTTTAAAAGAGAAAGAGACCTTGATTTGTAAATGCCTGACTTACAAATAGCCGATAGCCACAAAGATTTATTTCTCCCCTCAACATACCCTTTCACCCTGAAGACCCCTTTGATTTGTAATCATGGTGAAAAATTATTAGAGCTTTTAGCAAATGTGCAAGCCTCTGTATTAAGAACTGGAGGGAGGGAAAGCAATGGCTTGCTGAGGCACCCTGAAAAAATCTTTTCACTTCTCTGAATCAGAATTCTCTGTAAAATGACCATAATCATGGGCACCTACTGAGACCGGTTTTTGGTTTTTTTTTTTTTGAGGCTCACTGTAAAACTGCTGTATGAACTACAAATAGGAAGGAAATTATTGGGACAAAAACCATAATGATCAAGAAGAAGATAAACACAGGAGTGTGGAAAACATAAGTGAAAAGTACTTGTCTTGTTCATCAGAAATGTAAAAACAATAGCAAGCCAATTACACCATTTTGTACTCACTTATAGTCAATAGAATTTTGCTTGTACGTTTCATGTCGAAGTGATCTAGTTGTTAAAAGTTAAACAATAGCCACATGAGAGCTACTATGAAATGGTAAAAAACCATTATTCATCTTCTGTAAATACTTCCTGTTTGACATTGGACAAGGCAATTAACTTTGGAGTCTTGTCTTTCATATGTAAAAGAGAGTAGTCTCTTTCCCCACTCACCAGGCCATATTGGTATAGGTCTAAAAGGGTCCCTATTTGGGAAAATACTTTCTAACTATAGCAGGCTTATAATCATATATCATTTGTAGTAATAGCCTGAGAGTAATAGTATCTTACTCTTTTTTTTTCTTTTGCTTTTCCAGCACCTAACACAGTGTCTGAAATTTACTAGGTATGTATTAAACATTCATAGGACAAATGGATAAATATAAGAAATTGTTTTGAAAAATCCTAAAATTCTGTCTAAATATAAGATTCTAATCATGAGATAAGATAATGGGAAGTTAAACTTGTATGTTCTAGGTATCACATTCCTAGAATTATTTTATGGTTTCTTTTTTTATGATCAGTTATGTCTTGGAAAAGTCTCTAAATCTCTCTAAGCCTCAGTTTTATCATCTATAAAATGAAAGTAATACCAATACCTACTTTGTGTGATTGTTTTGAATATTAAATTAAATAATTCTTATGTAGCACCTAGCGGAGTGCCTGGTATATATATATATATATATATATATATATAGGCACTAAATTAAAGTCAGGCATAACCTATAAATATTTATAGGTTTTCAAAGGATCTCCAATTATGTATTCTCTTTAATATTTTATATTTCTGAGTATATGTAATACACATATATTTCAAAAGTTTGAACATATTTTGTGTATCGTGTTGTTTTTTAACTTTATATTATGATTATTTTTAGAAAACTTGGTATGCAATGTCTAGCAAGATTTTTTATCCTGTGTAATTAAAAAAGAAGGAGGCTTTAAGCAAAAATCCAGAGATCTTTGGTGTGCTCAAATGGATCAACCTTCTGACTGTCCCGGATGCAGAAACAAAGTGCCAGGCAGAACCTGACTGTGGCCTGAAGGATGGAGGGAGGCACATGTCCAGTTAGTGTAAAGGGAAAGCCGCCCCCCCCCCCACCTTATCACGAACATGACCTGGCCACACATTTGGAATGCCTCGGTAATCTGAGAAGAAAACAACTATAGGCTAAAAGAGGTAAGTGTGAAGGTTGGGGAGTCAGATAATTCTTCTGTATGAACTCTCTCTGAAATGTGGGGAATGGGAAGCAGAATGGATTTCTCAACTGGCCTGGGATAAAAAGAAGATAGGCAGTAGGGCATAGGTGTAGTAAACATCAGGGAGTGTCATGGACAAGGATATTTAAATGGTAGCACCACAATGGGAAAAGGAACAGATTTTATTTGAGAAAACTTTCTTCTAGCCCCACTATTGTCTCTGGAAATGCTAAGATGCTAAGAACTATTTGGGAAATAAAACCTTGGAAAATACTGGATTTCTTGCCAGTAAAGTCAGTAAGCTTTAGAGCATTGATAATTGTAGCATTACTATAGGTAATGACACAATTTCCTTCACTATCTCTTTCCCAGAAATTATTGACTACAAATACACTATAAATTATTGAAATTAATTATCTGTTATTAGAATATTTAATTTTTTTCCTAGTATTTTACTGTTAAAACTATTATGCTGAACAGATCTGTACATTATTCTTTGGCAACATCTTTAATACTTCCTAAGGATAGTACCCAGAATAGTCAAAACAATCTGAAAAAGAGAAAAGTTGAAGAACCCATAATTCCTGATTTTAAAGCTTACTGAGCAAAGCTACAGTAATCAAGAAAGTGTGGTAAAAGTTGCATAAAGATAGACACATAGACTAACAGAATACACTTGAAAGTCCAGAATAAATCCTTGTAACTGTGGTCAATTGATTTTCAACAAAGATTCTAAGATAATTTAATGTGGAAGGAATACTCTTTTCAACAAATGGCACTGAGATAACTGGATATCCACATATAAAACAATGAAGTTGGATCACCTACCTCATATCATATACAAAAGTGATGTAAAATTGGCCAAAGACTTAAATGTAAGATCTAAAACTGTCAAACTCTTAGAAGAAAACAGAGGAGTAAATTTTTTTTTACCCTGGCTTAAACATTGGTTTCTTGGATATGATACCAAAAGCACAAGCAATGATAGGTAAATTGGACTTTATCACAATTAAAATATTTTGTCCTTCAAAGGACACCATTTATAAATGAAAATATGACTCATGTAATGGGCGAAGATATTTGCAAGTCAATATCTGTTAAGGAACTTGTACCCAGAATAAAGAACTCTTATAACTTGACAACATAAAGATAAATAATCTGATTTAAAAGTGAGCAAAGGATTTGAACAGACATTTATCCAAAGAAGACATACAGATAACTAATGAAGTCATGAAAAGCTATTTAACATCGTTTGTCTTTTGGGAAATGCAAATCATAACCATGAGATACCACTTCACACCTATTAGGATGGTTATTATCAAACAGATGAGCAATGATAAGTATTGGTGAGGATGTATATTGCTACTGGGATTGTAAGATGTTGCAGCTGCCTTGGAAAGCGGTTTGGCAATTCCCCAAAATGTAAAACATGAAGCTACCATGTGCCCTAGCAATCCACTCATCGGTTTATACTCAAGAAAAATAAATACATATGTCCAAACAAAACCTAGTACATGAATGTTCATAGGAACATTATTCAATTATTCATATTAGCCAAAGGGGAAACAACCCAATGTCCATAATGAATAATGGATAAATGAAATATGATACATCTATGCAATGGAATATTATTCAGCCACAAAAGGGGTAAAGAACGGATACATTCTACAACATGAATCTTGAAAACTTACGCTGAGTAAAAGAAGCCAGAAACAAAAGGCCATATATTATATAATTCCATTTATATGGATTGTCCTGAATAGGCAAACTCATAAAGGCAGAAAGTAGACTGGTGATTGCCAGGTACTGGGGATGAAAGATATGAGAATGAGTACGGGTGTCTGTTTGAGAAAATTGTTCTGAAAGTAGCTCGTGGTGGTGGTTGAACAATGCTGTGAATACATTAAAGGCCACTTTATACTTTATACCAGTTGTATACTTTAAAAGAATGAATTTATTATTGACCCTGCTATTAAAATTAAAATCCTATGGATAAATTTTTAGCACTGAGAAGTTCCTTTTTATTTCCTTGAAGCCTTCAGATCCCAGAGAAGGAGGTAGACAGTAGGTTTGAAGAAAGGGTAAAAATGGAGAGCTAATAAATGTGGGAGAAGGAGTCCCTGTGTGTGCCATGGAATTATCATGATGATAGCTTGAAGGCCTATCAGATAAAGTTTTGAGATAGCCTGGAAGACACTGTTGAACTGGTGGAAGATGGGTTATATGGTCTGAGTGAGAGCATCAGTAAATATGGAAGGAGCCCTAGGGGGCTGAGTATGAAGGAATGTTGATGATAAGGTGAATAACCATTCTGGTTTGTCTATGACTGTCCTATTTTAGTACTCAGAATCCCACGTCCCAGGAAAACCCCGCAGTCCAAGAAAAAGTGGAATGTTTGGTCCCCTCATTGGCAGCAATACTAGGTCACCCGTGGCTTGTATGTGACAGGCATTATCTTTTTCTAGTCTCACAGCTGACCTCTGAGGTCATTACTGAGGTTAACTATAACTAAGAACTCTACGTCATCATGTTCGAACAGAAGAGCTGAGGTTCCAATTCAGGTCTGTAAGATCAGAGTCTTTCCTCTTAAATATACTTTCCATTTGGGGAAATTGAGCTGAAACAATAGGTGCTAAAATTTTTTTTTAATTACCTATAATGAATGCTTTAAGTCTGTAAATAAATTTTATACCCATTAGCCCATTGATTCTGCCCCAAATGCCTTATTCATTCATTTGACAAGTACTTATTGGGGGTTTACTTGGTGCAGACACTGTGTTAAATGCTAGGAATAAATCAGAAAGCTACCTTCTGACTTCATGGAGCTTACGTTTGGTGATAGGCCAAAAATAAAGAAACAGAATAGTAAAGCATTTGGGATTTATGACAAGTATTACAAAGGAAAGAGAAGGGGATTAATATGAACAAAGAGAGGTGAATCTATGTCAGATAGGATGGTCAGGGAAGGCACCATATATTTAGATTAAAACCCAAGTGATAAAGAGCTGGCCTTGTGAAGAGCATGAGAAAATATCCTTGTAGGAGAGGATAATTTGTCCAAAGTTCCCAAAGAAGAATAAAGCTTTGTAGGTTTGAAAATATCAGGAAAGAAGAGTCAGTGTGGATGGGGCATGAAGAGTCACTTGTGGATGTAGCAAGTGAAGCAGTAAATATAATCACAGATTGGTGATAAGAATTTGAGGTTTGGGGGGGGGACGTGGGGGATGATAAGAATTTGAGGGTGGGGGGGATGATGGGACTTCCCAATATCACTTAACCTGGGGAGCAAGATTCAACACAAGCTCTTCTGACCTTGAGTGTTGAGACTTGTTGCTTTGGTCTGATTTTTAAAGAGTGATGTTTATTACAGCTATGATTTACATACATTTTAAGAACAAAACCTTTTTTTCACACGGAATCTCATATTGAAACTCCTGTTCACAACAGTTAAAGGGAGATTTCTCTTCTGAAGTTAGAGGTAAGACTTGGAGTCCCATTTGTTTACTCCCTGTCACCCCTTTCTCCAGTGACATCACTTTTATATTACAGAATCACATTTTGGGGAATTCACAGACATTTTCCAAAATAGTAAAGAGTGAATAGCTGACTTCTATCAGTCAGCTACATTTTAGATTCTCAAAAGCAGGTTATGTTTTTAATTTCGTGCTTTTACTTACATGTTAGCAAAGCAGTACACGCAGGAATTAGGATATGTCACATTATTAGAAGCACATACTAGGCTGACTCTTATGGAGCATATGCGTTTCTGTTGTTCAGACTTCTTTTGGTAATGATCACACGGAATGTCCTAAAACAAAATTCACTGGTCAAACCTTCTATCCTGCAACGATCTCTTAATGGTTTCTAATAAAAGTGCTTAAATATTTTATTTTGTACAGAGAGGAGATAATGATAAAAATGTCTTGTTTTAAACCTCAAACATCCAAACTTTATTATCCTAAATTCAGCCGCCAGAGTCTATGGGATTTCCATCTTGTAGGGCAAGTGAAGCCACACAGCCCAGATCTTTGGTTGTGTAGTGCATATCTGCAAATTTGTTAGAGGAGAAAAGAACCATTCCATAAAGTGACAACAATGACTATAACTACTGTCTGGGAATGACTATAAGCACTTTCCATGTGCCTCTGAAATCCTTTCAGTTTATCAAAGCCCCCCCTTTAACTGCGGTGCCTGGAACAAGACACGTTGTATTGTTCTACTTTTAGTCCTCTAGGGATTAGGATTTTGGCATAGCAAGGAAGAAGCTACCAGATCTAAATATTTCCCCATTTTATTTTACTTTCCTCAATATCACCAGAGTTGGAGAAAGCTGGTCTTAGAGGGCCTTGAATATTAAGAATAATGTGTCTATAGGTAGAAGCTTGGAAAGTTCGTGAGCATTATGTATTAAAATAAGCAGTTTAGGAATGAGCTGCCACAACCTCCTTCTCCAGTGGTTCAGGTCACAGTGTGTCCATATGTACAGTATATCAGGTTATTATCTTGTCTATATTCAAAGGCTCCCATCACAGGAATGTTTCCCAAACTTCAGCCACTTTTGTTTTCATGATTCCTTCTAAATTTGTGGTGTTTTTTCTTTAAAATGTTTTGCTTTAATTATCTCACTTTTTAAACTTGATTACCAACCTTAGATTGTCCTAAGTATGAATATCCATGATATCTTGGGTTTGAAGTTGCAATTATATCTTTTCTAACACATAGAAAAGCTGTAATTATTGAAATAAAAGAGATTCATTGGTATATTAACTAAAATCATCATTAATACTATTAGAAGGTACTCAAATCACTCTTTGGGAAACACTGTTTATGTTTCTTATCTCTTCTTTTAATGATTAAGCCTACATAGTATATTTTGGAAGCCTTTACCAAAGAACTGATGCTTTACTGGGCTCTTAAAAGATGCAGATGACTTTTAAAATTGGATGTGAGTATGGGAAGAAGGATATTTAATTAGAGGGAATTATATACACAAAGACACAAAGCTAGCATAGTGTGGAGCCCAAAATAGTTTAAGTTTACTAGAACCTAGGGTGAGAGAAGGAGAGTTCTTTTAGGGAGAACCACCTGGGTTAAGAAGGGCACTATAAAATATGCAAAAAGTTTATCCTGGGGATAGGAGAGTCACTGTTTTAAGTAGGGAGAAGTATCAATCAGATTTGCATTTTAGAAAGTCCATTCTTGAGGTTGTGGAGAAGATTAGAGCAGGGGTTGGCAAACTTTTTCTGTTAAGAGCCAGGTAGTAAATATTTTATGATTTTTAGGCCATTTATTGCAACTACTCAACTCTGTTGTTCTAATCTGGATGCAGCCATAGATAGGTAAACAAAGGAGCATGTCTGTGTTCCAAGAAAACTTTATTTTCAAAAACAGGTGGTCATAGTTTCCAACCCTGGATCAGACTAAATAGGAAGAGACAATTAGATGGCCATTACAGCAATATGGGCAAGAAGTGAGGAGAACTTGACCTAAGCAAAAGCAATGATGTTAGAGGGGGGAAAACATTAAAAAACAAATATTAGAAGGTTTAATTACCAGTGGTGTATAAGAGAATAAGGGAACAGTAAGAGTCAAAGATGAGTACTGGTGTTCTCCAGGATCTATTTTGATGGAGATATTTAGATTGAACCACATGAAATTGCCATTATGTGGGTTGACAATGGTCAGATATTGGCAGTTTCATATGTTTTAATATGGGTCAACCTAATAGAAATTCTATGAGATTAAGATTAGAAAAATCATCCTTATGCAGGAAGTGGCAAACTTACCATAGATAGACCAGTACCCAAAATATCTGAAACAAAAATGTTTAGAAAAAAGGATCAAATCAATGAAGTATTGAAATGTGAACAGCTAATTAGTTTATTAAGTAATCACATATAAATTAATAACCATAAAAATCATGAAAAAACAAGTGGCTCCTTCATATGAAGTTTATCTGATTGTGTTGGATTGCCAAAACACTGCTTCTTTCCTCTCCTTATGCTTGGGACACTTAATGTCCCACTTGGGAACTCAACCTGAGCCTATTCCTAGGTTTAATGCTGACCTTAGGCAGAAGGGATTTAAACTCCAGTTTCATCTTCTGGGACTCAGCAGTGTCATCCACTGCTGAGCTGCTCAAATACTGTGTAGTGTTATTTTAGGAAAAGGTCGCATTCTTCATAGCCATCCTATGTGCCGACAGAAATCTTAGATACCTGCCTTGATTTTCAATTATTGCATCTTGAACGTACCCTTTCTCTAAACTCTACCTACTTTTAAGGAAGCCTCTTTTCTTGGGACCTCTGTGTCAAAGTCGGTTTACTCAAGCTCTTAATGGTTCCATTTACCTTTATACCTTATGTTCTGCTTGACAGTCTTGACATCTTTAAGACACTGCAGCTGAGCCTTTTCCTTGCCTCCCTCTCTACTTGCACCACTCAGCTAGCAGATTCAGTTTTACATCTAACCTTATTGGTCACTTTGTTGAAGGTACTTAGAAATCCTCTCTTGGGATTTGATAACATCTGCTCTCGTGGTGCTCTAAGAGTAAGCCATGCCAAAAACTGACAGCACTTTGCACAGAATAGAGTTATGTGCATGCACACAAACACAAAAAATACTGTGTGTGTGTGTGTGTGTGTGTGTGTGTGCGCGTGTGTATGATGGGAAAAAATTAGGATGCAGAGGGACAGTCAGAATTGATTATCAACTCAGAAGGCCAAATTATTTGTCAGATATTGATCACAACTCTTATAGATCATTCTTTAAAATAGCTCAAATCTGAATCTCTTTATGGGAGAGTTCTTGAAATATATAAAACTATTCAACCACTGATATTCTAGTTAAGGTAGGAATTCTTCCCGAGAAAAGCTTCAAAGTCTCAAAAATTTCTGTGTCTAGATAGCTGTAATTGTTGGCTTATTATTTCTCCTGGAACATCAACTGTTTACTCCTTCCCCGAGATTCTTTCACAAATTCTTACATGAGAAATAGCCAGTAGCCAAGATAGCCACGAAGAAAGTTTTCATCTTTTCTGTAAGGAACAATGTGATTCATCCAGTTGAGTTTCTTCAGTCAAGATTTTACCAGCAAACCCCTAAAGGCTCAGTTCTCTTGCTGAACTGAAGGCTGTGGCCCCCTTATGAGAACCTCAGACCCCATTATGAAGTCATTTTGCAAATGATCTATTTACACATGACACCAAGGGCAAAGTCACCAGATATCTCAGTCCATTTTGTGTTGCTATAACAGAATACCTGAGGCTGGATGATGTACAAAGAAAAGAGGTTTATTTTAGCTGACAGTTCTGCAAGCTAGAAAATTCGGGGGCATGTGCTAATATCCGCTCAGCTTTTGGTAAGGGCATCAGGCTTCTTCCACTCATGGAAAGTGGATACATGCAAAGAGATCACATGGTGGTGAGGAAGAAAACAGTAGAGAGAAACTAAGGAAGATAAACTTTCTAACAACCACTTGAGGGAACTAATCCCTTCCTGGGAGAGTGAGAACTCACTCCTGAGGGAAGGCATTGATCTATTCATGAGGTATACAACACCTCTTATTAGGCCTCATCTCCCAACACCACCACAAAGGGAGTCCAATTTCAGCATGAGTTTTGGTGGGTTCAAATTATATCCAGACCACAGCACCATGTCATCAAAGACCAAGAAGGTTTCCAGGGCTAAATATTTCATTCTTAGCAAGTTATAGAGCCATGGTAGGACAGCATGACTTAACATTGTTTTGTTTGATTGCTTGATTATTATTCAGTTCCATAGAAGTGCATTCTACTTTTTTAACTAGCAAATCAAAATCACAATGAGATATCACCTCATACCCATCAGGATAGATATTATTTAAAAAAACAAAGATAGCAAGTGTTGGCAAGGATGTAGGAAAATTGGAACCTTTGTGTACTGTTGGTGGTAGTGCAAATTGGTGCAACTGCTATGGAAAATAATATGGAGGTTCCTCAAAAAAAAAATTCAAGATAGAATTATCATTTGATCCAGCAATCTCACTCCTGAGTATATATCCAAAAAAATTGTAATCTGGATCTCTGAGGTATATGTATACTCCCATGTTCATTGTATTAATAGCATTATTCACAATAGCCAAGGAAACCTCATTAAAGACTCTGATAATAATTTCTTGCCTGTGGGGAAGGCAAGTAAACAGTTACACTCTCAGTCCTTTTGGCAACAAATTAATGTTTATTCCTTTAACTCCATCAGGTATTAAGAACTCATAATTGAAGGATGGGGAATTACTTTATCAGGTTACTCAATACATAGCTGGGTTCAATGATGTCCTGTGGTGTGTGTCTTCTAGAATAATCTTTAACATTAGCTCAACACTCACTTACTGAATTACGTTTAAGTGTGTTTAGACTCCATGTTAGACCCTAGAGGCAGAAATGATTAAGATGCAATCCAACCCTTCAAGAGATCTGTACTCCAGTGGTGGAGTTTTGCTTGTTAGCAGACAATTACATTTCAATGTGTCAAATAACATAAAAATATATATTAGTAACATGTAGTTGTAGTATCAAAAATGGAGACAGCAAATATTGTTGAAGAAGAATGAGCCAATAAGTCATCAAAGAAGTTCCAGCTGAAGGATGGATAAGCAGTCTTTAGCCACATTTGCAGGGTAAGGTTCATGTCTTCCAATGATTGTTTCATCCTCTGATTGCCTGTAACATTTAGGGTCTGTAATTTGTTATTTATCCTGTGGATTTCTATATTATTTATTTGTTTTTGCAAATGTTCTCTGTATAGCATACCTGTCTCCCAAGCCTAAATGCAAGCTCTGTAAAGTTAGGAACCATTTCTTACATTTCCTTGAATTTTCAGTGTCCATTGGAACTTTTCAAGTAGGGAATAACACAATGAAAATGCTGCTTATACTCACTGTAAATTATTTCAGAACTATTCAGTCTTCTCAAGTATAAACAGTTAAATTTATTAATACTTGGTTCATGGAGAGAAAATAAAGACAAATGACAAATACTAAGCCTGTAAATATTTTCTTAGCTTTATACTTCCCCATTATGACTCAGAAAACTTGTCCCTTCTTGTCAACAATTTTAATGGGTATGACTGCAGCCCAAGAATATCTTAGTGACTGATGTAATGTATTGAAGAAAAATAACTTTCAAAATTCCCCATATTTAATTAATGCCCTTTAGGTCATGATTCTATTAATTTTTATTTTCAAAGGGATAAAAATAATTTAGAAGGTTCCCTTTATTCTAGATTATTGTTATTTTATTTTTTGGCAGAGGGTAAGGGGACCTGAATAAACTGCCAGATATATTTTATACCCGTTTGCTTGTTTTCTTTCATAAATAATATATTGTGGAAATAATTAAAATGAAAGATATGTATATCTTCAGATTTGATTGTCATTTTATTCTGTTTCTTGATATAGTACTAATGTGTCTTTTAAGATGATCACTTTGAAACTATTAGATTACTTTAGCCTATATAATAATTTCTTCACATCCTTCTTTGTGGATTTCAGCACAGCAAAACTGTCTTAACTTAGCAAAACACATAAATCATTTTGCCAATTTTTAACATAATATAGAACAACAACAAAAAAAATCTGGGCTCTTCCTAGCTGTTTGAGCTACTTAGGAATGTGCTGTGCAGATTGAGAGGAAGTGGAATTTCATGTCACTAGAAGTATTCAGTGTGGCCTGGTAGACAACTTGGTGTGCTTCCTAGGGAGAGAATTTAAGTGATGGATTTAATGATAGAATATTTTATGATTCTCTGGCTCATCTTAACAACCAGCTTATGCCATGAGAAAAGTAACGTAATTTATTTGAAAGTTCTGCATATCAAGAGAATACTATTCTTTAGAGTGAACATATGACACATTAAGTTCTAAAAGACATCTCTCAAAGTTTACTTATACAACTTAAATTTTGAAAATAAGACATTTATATGTTTAACTTTGAAGCAAAAATGTTAATTTTTGGAATAGGTTTTGCCTACAGGCTCATAATCTTTTGTATATAATCATTCTTCTTCTAGTGGCAGCTTCTTATAAAAATATTTTTATACTTTTTAAATAATGTATATTAATCATTCTTAGATAGCATTGATTCTAGGAATTTGGCCTTCTCAATTAAATCTAGTGGATCCTAAATACAAAAATCTGGTCCTTATCAATATCCTATGAGATCAATGAAGGAAGTAAAACTCTACGAATTACTAACCTTCCCAAAGCTCTTGTTGTCTGTAAAATGTATACGTAATCACACCTATCTCATATATTTGTAGTGAGGAATAATAAAAGTACTCAAGCATGTTTGGTGCTTAGTGCAGTGTACTACAAATAATAAGGGCTAAATGTTAGTGATTTTGTTTAGTTTTGGCCTCAATTATATACCCAGATGACTACAGATCTGCATCAGTACCTTTTACTAACCCGGAGTTTCTGTTCTGAATTTCTAATTGATAGCTGAACATCTCCACCTGAATATTCTGTATTACCTTCAACTTCAAGGTGTGCAAAATTTAACTCATCTTCTTCCTCTCAAACTCCTTCTACCATTTATTTAGTCTTCTTCTATATGTTGTGCCCCTGCTGTTTCTTCAGGCACTGGAGTGGGTGCCGAAATTACACAAGATATGACACTGGCCAAGGACAATCACAGACTGTAGTGGAGACAAGAATGACAATATCTCTTACATAGTCTTAGACAGCATTACTCATTAAGAATGAAGGGTGAACACACTGAGTTCTGCACATAGCTTTATAGAAAGCTGTGACTGAGAAGTAATAACATCACCATGTAACCAGTTGTCCAAACCCCGAACTTCAATATCTTCAATATTTTTGTCTCTTCCTCATTACCCATATCAGATAGTTTTCCCACTCTTTTTCAGTTCTATTACTGAAATTTGTCTCCAATTGCCCATGCCCCACTTTATTCTCCTGTTCACTAATTTTGTGCAGTTCCACATTATAATTTCCAAATGTTTCCTAATTTTTCTCCTTTGCACTCTCTCTCCTCATTCCTCCCATCTTCTGTTCTCTGCTGTCTCTTCTACTCTCTCCTTTTGCTTCTCAGCATCCGTTCCCCATCCCGGCTATGTGGAGGCAGTGTGCTGTAGGTGGTTAAAAGTAGGGACCTTGCTGCTAGAATTTCTGAGTTCAAATCTCACCTAAACTTGAGCCAATTACTTGAAATGGTTGTTTTGAGCATTAAGTGACTTTATTTAGAATAGTAGCTGGCATATAGAACAGAAAACATGTATTTTCTATCATTATTTTCACTGCTTCTGCCTAGAGAGTGATTTTTCTGAAGCACAGACCTGCTTAGAAACTGCCTCCTATGAAGCCGTGCCTGCAAGGTGGGGGCTGAATGGCTCAGCACTGCAGGCGTTGGTCGTCACTACTCCAGGCTGCCTTAGGGCCCTTTCTAGTCCTAAGACAGCTCTCAGATCCCACTACCCACCCACCCCACCACCCTCAAGCCAAATCCTCTTTGCTTTAGTTCCAAATTCTCATTGCTCCCAACTGAAGGTCATGTATTATACTTTATTGCCCGGGATTCTCTGTCTCTCATTGCTTGTTTAGAAAAAAATCTTATTTATTCTTCGAAACCAGCTCACCCATTAATCTTACAACCACTCTTCTGTCATCCCTTTTAGAGCCTGCATGCTTCTTAGGAAGGCAAAATGGTAATAACCGACATTTATCGAACACTGGTGAGCTGCCGGGAACCCTCCAAGGCTCCTACATGTGGTTTATGGTGTAATTCTTGTAATCCTTTGAGGTAAATGCTGTAAGTTTTCCTAAAGAAAAGGAAACCACAACAGAGAAAAGTAAAAGTAAATTTTTCAAGATCATATAAACAGTAATTGATGAACCTGTTACTCAACCCGAAGTGCATATTCTTCTATGCTGGTTTTTCACTCTTTTGCTTATGAGACACAGCCTCAAAGAGAACTAAGAGTGTTGGTTAGATTGCTTGCATACTAGTTGAAAGTTTTTATTACTTTATATGAGAATTCTCTGTGATATATTAATTGTTTTCACAATGAATCAAAATGGGAAGGTTAAATAATATATATATTTTTTATCCTCTGATGGGTAAAGACATATGTGACTATTTTATAATACCAGTTAGCCATCCTGTAATTCTTAGTATGCACAAAGGGCTATGTTGAGCCCTTTGTAAGAATTATGGCATTTAAGCTCACAGTGATTCAATGAAGTAGGCATTATAACTCTCCTCATTATATAAATGAGAAAACTGTGGTACAGAAAATTAAAGTGATTTGTCTTAGTCACATAGTGACAAAGCTGGGCACCAACAGAAATCTGCCTGATTCGAAGCCAGTGTACTTAGCTACTATGCTCTACTGACTGCATTGCATAATGATTTGAATTACAATTCTTTCAATAAAACCAGCTTTGATATTCAAAAGGATAAATACTTATCTATGTAACAAAATTATATGGCATATCAAATTTATTTTTGATGACCCTGGATAAGTGATTCTAAATCATATATTTTACATATTAAAAGATACATGGAAAGGCTTTTGATTTTGAGATAGAAAAATTCATCACAACTTTTAGACTATGTAAATGTAGTAATCCTATATACCACATGTTGTGGGAGGACCATTTTGTTTGGAGCAAACTTTGCATCTAGAATAAAATCAAAACTATTTATTTTTGGAAAAAAAAATCTGTTTATTTTTTTCAATTCTTAGTCTGTCCTAATGCAACAGGGTTCTCATCAAGGCTTTGAATCTGGTAAACTGGGCAAGAGGATAGAAAGAATCCCCAAAGTCAGGCTTACCCTTTGATGAGTCACGCTGGGCTTGGCTGGGTGGGGCTCCTGTTGTTTTTACCTCCACACCTATTTGTGACCTTTAAATGCCTCATGTTCTATAAAGCAGAGCCTCAGAATCTGACAGCTGATCTACCAGCTTCCCAAACTCGCCGGAAGCATCTATCAGAACCCCAGTAGTCCTTTTCCTGTGTTTAAACAGGTGATCTTCAAAAGCTTAATTTTATATTGACTGTTATCTTTATATTCAGAGTTGCCTTTTTAGAAGAAATTCTGAAAAGTTTGCAGAACTTGTCCATGTGGATGAGTTTTGTTAAGGAATGTATTTGTAACACTGACTTCCATTTCCTTAATATGCACCCTTAGTGTTAATTAACATTCTGAAGTCAACCGGCTTCACGTTGTTCACTGATGGAGACATGAGTCACCTGTTCCAGAAGGACCAGATTGTTGGGTATAGCGATGCTGGCTTTGCTTAAGTGTGAGGAAGGACTAATTTAAAAATGAAGCAAAGTGAGCTTTCATAGTATTTGAGTAAGCTTCAGTTCTAGCAACAGGTTTGGGTAATGTATTTGGTTGTTTTTACCTTATTTGCATATTTTAAAATTTTTTATGGTAATTTTCTTTTCATATAACAAATGACAAGGATTTTTACCAGGTGGTGTTGCAAAAGATGACAGGGCTGTAATGAGGAGTCTTAGGCTGTGGGGTGTGCAAGGTAAACTGCCATTTTTGTCACTCCTCCACAGTCTCTAGAAAAGCATTCATTGCTCTCTATTGTTTGCGTGTTTCTGGGTTCTTTATAGGGAACTCGAAGACGCAGTTTGGGTTGCCGCAGAATGCAAATAGGTACTATACATTCCAATGGTCAGAACTGGATCAGGGGTTGACACCTGACTTAAAGGTTATCTGGAATGAGACACCATGGTTTCTTTGCTTTTTTGTTGATAGGAGCCAAATTAAATTCATTTTAATTTAATTTAGTTAATTTAACTCAATAAGCTATTAATTGAATACCTATGGAATGCCAAATACAAGCTCACATTGTGGCAGAGGAGACAGATGATTACAGAGCTAATGCGAATGTACCATAATGAATGCTAACCTAGGAGGACCAAATACATAGAAGAAGCGTTTAAAAGAAGAAGACATTAAGATTCAAAGATGATATGGAAATCAGTGAGATGGAAAAGTGGGAAGAGGGATGAGCATATGCAGAATTGCAGAGTGCATGGGAGATGTAGAGAGTGATGACCAGTCTGGGGCAAAGTGTGAATGGAAAGAGATGAGGTTAGAGAGTGAGGTGGCCAGTACTGATGGGGTTGTAGTCTGTGAGATTCACTAAAGCACTTTTAGCAAGGGAATGATAAAATGAGGTCTATGTTTTAGAAATATCACTCCGGAGGCCATTTGAAAATGAATTGTGGGGAGTAGGTATTAGAGAGGAACAAAGAAAGAAGTGAATTGGCCAACTACTCTTTGTGTTAGTTTTCTATGTTGCAGTCTCCTGCTGTTCCCTCTTCATTTCTTAATCCCATGGCCACCTCCCCCAACTCTAACCACTCCCCTCGCCCCAACTATCTTCCTTTGCTGACTTACACCCATCATTCAGGTTTCCGTTTATAAGTTACCTCTACAAGAAAGTCTTTCATGATCACCAAGTCTATATCAAGTTTGTCCATGTGTGTACACAAACACACACACACACAAACACACATATACATATATTAGATTGACAGATTATTAACATAATTCTTCCTCTGTAGACTTAAAGCTCCATGAAGAGTGAAGAGATAACTAATTTTTCTTTTTGTTTGCTCACTGATGCATTTTTAGCAGCATCTGTCAAAAAGTGGATATTTAATAAATATTTGGTGAAAAGATGAATGCATAAAGTCTAAGTTAATATTTTTAATTTCTTTTAAGAGTTTCTTTGAAAAATGCTTTTAAGTAATCCTAGTGATGGTCTTGCATCACTTAAAAAGCCAGAAAAAAGCAAAAGAGAAAACATAAGAAAATAAGCAAAACAAACACCATTCTACTTGCATTCTTTGGAAATTAGCATGGGTCATTGTGATAGATAGTCTTGGCCCCTAAATCTCTGATTGATTTGTAATACCAGAGAACAGCTCAAAACTGGCTTGACTCTATTTTTTCTTTCTCCTTCTTTGCACATAATATATAGTTAGATTATACATGTATAATTTTAGTCTGCTATAATGCAATAAAATATTGATTAATTTCAAATCAACTTTACTGAACATATTAGTATATCAGTTCTATACAAGATGCTGTGAAAAGCATAGCAAATTCTTCCGCAGGATATAAGCTCTAAGAGGGCAAGACTAAGTCTACTCTATTCAACATTGCATTCTCCAAGGCAGAACACTGACACTGACAAAATAGGCATTAATAGATATTTGTTGATTGGATAGATGCACAAATGGATTACAAAGATTTACAAGGCACATTCTCTACTCTTTAAGAAACTTTTGATGTAACAGTGGAATAAGATAAATTTTAGGTCCTAGACCTGAGATCAAACCATAGAGAAAGAAAAACATCAGAGATGTCAACTAATGTATGGCAACTTGCACAACTTTGCCAGCCACATTTTACCAGCCATGTTTTACAGGCCTGTCCTTTGGTAGGAAACAGTTGGAGAGCAGTCCCAATCCAGGGCAGCTCTCAATGTCTTAAACAAAACAGACATCTAGTGGAACAGAACAGAGAACCCAGAGATAAAACCATCCACCTACAGACAACTTTGACAAAGCAGACAACAATATACACTGGGGAAAAGAAGCTCTATTTAATAATGGTGCTGGGAAAATTGGATAGCCACATGCAGAAGACTGAACCAGGATCCATATCTCTCACTACTCACAAAAATTAATTCAAGATGGATAAAAGATTTAAATGTGAGGCATGAGACCATAGAATTCTGAAGAAAATGTAGAAAAAACTCTCCTAGATATCGGCCTAGGCAAAGAATTTATGAAGAAGACCCCAATAGCAATCATAGTAACAACAAAAATAAATAAATAAGAATTGATTAAATTCAAAAGCTTCTGCACAGCTAAGGAAATAATCAACAGAACAAATAGACAACCTACAGAATGGGAGAAAATATTCCCAAGCTATATAGCTGATATAGGGCTAATAACTAGAATCTACAAAGAAATCAAGCAAATCAGCAAGATAAAAACAACAACCACATTAAAAAGTGGGCAAAAGACATGAACAGAAGCTTTCCAAAAGAAGATAGACAAATGATCAATAAACATGAAAAAATGCTTAATGTCATTAATCATCAGGGAAATGCAAATTAAAACCACAGAAAGATATCACTTTACCCCAGTTAGAATGGCTTTTATTAAAAAGTCCCAAAACAATAGATGCTGGCATGGATGCAGAGAGAAAGGAATGCTTGTACTCTGTTGGTGGGACTGCAATTAGTACAACTTCTATGGAAAACAGTATGGAGATTCCTCAAAGAACTATAAGTAGACCTATCATTTGATCAAGCAATCCCATTACTGTTTACCCAAAGGAAAATAAGTCGTTCTAACAAAAAGACACCTGCATTCAAATGTTTATTGCAGCACAATTCAGCATGGAACACTACACAGCCATGAAGAAGGATGAATTAATGCCTTTTGCAACAATTTGGGTGGAGCTGGAGACCGTTATCCTAAGTGAAGTATCTAAAGAATGGAAAAACAAACACCACATGCCCTCACTTTTAAATTGGAACTACCTGATGAGCATACGTGTGCATAGAGGGAAGTAAAACTCAGTGGAAATCAACCAGGGGAGAGGGGGAGGATGGAATGGGTGAAAACTACCTAACACATATAGTAAACACTATCTGGGTGTTGGGCACATGTATAGCCTGACTCAAGAATTACAAAAGTGATCCATATATCCAAAAACATTTGTACTCCCATAATATTTTGAAATAATGAAAAAAAGAAATGGATTTAAAAATAAAAATTAAAAAGAGACATCTAGCAAAGCATTATTATCTGATTCTTGGGCCTGAAGTTTCCCTCTTTATCTATTCACATACATACTTAGTAGTATACAATGGGGTATTTTCATAGCCTGGGTAAGAAGAATGCATTAGTTTCAGGGCCTTTGGTTTTCTGGTTCCTATTATTGGCCCTTTTCTCTCCCTAAGATGGTGTATTAGACAGTACCCATAGTTAAAACAAATCTAGAAATTCAACTCCACCCCCCCTCCCCCAAAAAAGAGTCAGATGCACATTTATTTTTTTTATGGCTACTGTATTCTACAAGGAAATCTACATATGGTGATAAAATTAGGCAATGTGGCATAGATTATGTGGGGAAAAAATATGTCTCATGTGAGTAGATACATTAAAAAATATCTTGGAATCACAAGATAGATTCAACATCTTCCAAAATGTACAAATTTAAGTTTGCCGTCAGTTTCCCTGTGGAGAGAAAATAGCAACAAATGAGAAATGCTAAGTCCATAGGCATTTCATTAGCATCCAAACTTCATCAATGAACCCTAAAAATATACTATAGATACCCCACTTATTGATATTTGTAAAAGGACTAACTACAGTTTAGGAATATTTTTAAAATGAGTGCTGGTTATGTAAGGATAATGCTCAAAATACATCACATTCAGTTTATATTCCTGAAAGCATTCTTAATAGATTTTTTTAATTTAAAGGAAACAACCATTTAGAAGTCTGTTTTCATAAAAATTGTAAATTTTTCTTTTACTAAAAAAAAAAAAACAGAACAATATGCTACATATATTAGATGCTTGTTTTCATTTCATGTATTTTTGAAAATACTTAAAAGGATCTATATGTTTCTATACATTCTAGTATATTGTTCATCATTTCATATTTTTGAGCTGATGTTACTATATCTCGGAGATAATTACTTTATAACTTTTAAACTCTTGGCTATTTAATTTTTCATATAACTTTGACTATAGCTTCACATATATTTTGTTGAGAAATTATGCTCTGAAAGAGAAGTTCTACAGGTTTTTCAGATATTCTCTCCTTTTGTACCAGTCATTAGGAGGCTCTAACATATCCTTCAGTTGTTGAAGCTGAACAGTAAGCATGGCTCATTCTAACAGATGTGGACCGGCACACTTGGGGTGGGGGGCATTGTTGTCCCTGAAAATAATCAACATGAACTGTGAGACTACTTGGTGACTTTTTTGTAGAGGGAGCTTAAGCAATAGATTACCAAGTGGAAGTGGAACTAGATGACCTTAAGTTTCCTTCCAACTTGGAGATTATAGGATTTTCTGATTCACTCTTACTGCCACAGTATATAGGGGTACCATGATACCAGGGATTCCCAAATCCTATAAATTGAAAGGTTCTATTTATTACGGTCAATGTGAAATAATTCATATATTCCTTATGCCCTAAACCACTTCTAATTAAGGTACATTTGCTTTAACACATAAGTTTACCTTAAAATATGAAAAGGAAAATATTTAAATACTTACTTAACTTCAGAACAAAAGAGGCAATCATTGCTATAAGTTTTGCCATCAGATCCACAAATTGGTTGATAGATTTCATAACAAAATCTCTGTTCTCCTGGTGGTAACTTTTTATAATGACTGCAGTCAAACTGAAAAAAAACATATTAAAAGTTTTAATTCTTTCCATCAGAATCTTTATTTCTGGGATTTAGGGTTTTCCCGGCAAGTTGAGGGTCCTAAATGCATTTCTTTCTTATTCTGATTGTTGGTCCTTATTTAAACCCTTTGAGATATACCAGATTTTTTTAATATCAGATACAAAATCATGAGTAATAAACATCTTTATGGTAAGTGGTTCCCAAATCATAATTTATTTAAAAATAGAATTTTTTCCACTCAACTGGTTGATGTATCTATTTTTAAAATGCATGGCATATTCTCCAATGCAATCATTTTCATGGGAGCAGTTAGAAATGTGATGTATTTTCTGTATGAAGTATCCTACTTCTCTTTCACTTAAAAGTTTCAATATAAATGCAAGTGTGAGATATATTGTAGGAATAAGTACTATAATTTTAAGGACTAGTACATCATTGATAACTTTTTACCATTAATTTTTGGTAACAAGTTAACTTGTTACATGCTTCACCGGCACATAGATTGACAAATGCATCCTAACGTTGTAAGTTATAATTGGGAACCACTATTCTAAATTCCTGGAGCAAAGCAAAGATAAAGACCTACCTGTGGGATCAGGTAGGCAATCACAAGAAAAAATGTTCTGGATTTTTAGAATTCTATGAGCAAATTGAAGGATGTGGACAGTAAAGTCAAACACATCTGAATTTAAATCCTGACCATATGACCGTTGAACAATTATTTTACCTCTCTAAACTTTAGCATTTTACCTGCAAAATGAAAGTGATAATAACTCCATTGTAAGGTTGAAGTAAAAAATATTTAAATGAGAAGGTATGTGTACAATGCTTAGCACTACATGGAGTGGAAAATACTGAATAAAATAATAGCTATTATTTTTATCCATTGGTTTGTCTTCTAGGCCTACACAAATTCCAGCTCATTCTGCCCCAGAGATCTAGGTATGCTATTTTACTAAATGTGGAATATCTCTATTTGGATAGCTTGGAATATGCTCAAACTTAAAGTTGAATTCATCTTTCCTCCCAGTTATGATCCATTTATTCATTAGTTCATTCATCAAGTGCTAGCCTCCATGTCCTTCCTAAGTTTTAGGGCTGAGCTGATGCAGAGACTAGTAACCATGTCATAATGGCAGGATGACCTCAAAAGCTAGTGCACAGAATAGCATAGCAGTGACCCCTGGTAAATATATGCCAGTGTGACTTCACTTCCTCTCCTTGTCTGTTCAGACCTTGGAGCCAGAGTTTATGTGACACTCGCAATGTCACTGAGAAACTACCAAGCTCTTAATTAACCTTCATTAATCCTTTTCATTCTCTCACAACTACTAAATTATGAAGGATGGCTTGAACTCAGGTCTAACTCCAAAATTTATATTCTTAGCCCTATTGCTTTCTTTAATAGTTAAAACAAAAGATTCAAAGACATGAAGGAAGTTGGCCAAGCCCCAGGGTCACACAGCTAATGAGCAACAGAGTTTACACTAGAACTCAGATTGCCTGTACTGGTTTAAAGTTTTTACTGTCACACCTAGATTTTGTCAACAATAGTCATTACTCTGAGTCGTAAAGAAAAGGTTAATTTAAAATCTTCATTTTCTGAGATAGAAAACAAAGATGTTTGTGGCCCCATTTAAAAATGATAAGAATTCTGGCTTGTTCTTTTTGAGTTTCACTATGTAACAGGCACTGTGCTAAGCCCTTTCCAAACATTATGGCTTTAAGTCTTGGAATAATCTTGTCAGTACTAATACCCGTGGCCATGTGATCAAAGAGGTGGAATTCAAACCTAGGACTATAACTGTGACACAAAGTGTCACACCACTTTGTTCTCCATTTTAGAGAGATCAGTCTACAGTTTTTGAAATAAAACCAGTTTTGGTACTCAAAAGTAAATCTTCAAACACACAAAAACGTAATTAATATGTAGTATCAAATATTTCCTTACTGATAACTGGCCTTAAAATTATATAATTACATAAAAGTAAGAATTTTGTATTAAGGTGGATGTACTGACCTGTTTCTTCTGTAAGGCACATTCTATATCTGTAAGAAAAACAAAGACAATATTAAATTAAACTCTGGAAGAACTTAATCTTATTAGAAAAATAATCCTTGATTTATGTTTTAGCTTTCAGCTTGTCATAAAAATGTAAGCCTCTTCTGTGTATCAGCATGATACCAAACATTGAAACTTTTAACACTTATCTTTTTTTCCCCCTTTTTTTGGAGTGAAATTGGAATGTAGCCAAATAGATGGAAATGCTGACATGATAAATGAGAAGTTTGTCTTATTTTCTGCTTCATAATCAGAGCTCAGTAAATACAAAAGAAACAAGTGAGTCATATTTAGGAAGCATCTGCTATTATATAGCAGGTATGGATGGCAGAAGTTGGACTAGTGGTTGAAAATTCTGCGAAGGCGGATTTTAACTCAATAATGAATGAAAAATAGTGGCTCATGTTGAGAAATAATGGATTGTAATGTTTTATGAAAAAATGAGATTCCTATAAATGGTGATAACAAGTCAAAGAAGATTCTGGATGATTATTTCCCTAAGATGTTATACAAAGTATTTATATTAATAAGCATTTGGCCTTAGTTGACTAGTAACATCTATTCCACCCCCAAAATGACATAATTTAGTGATTCGTTGGTAGGCAAAAAATGTATTTCTAAAAGCTTCCCTTATTATCTATGTGATGAGTATATCCCAGAATTATGGAACTTGTGCTGGAGTGGTCTGGGGACAAGCATCTTAAGAGGTAGAAGAAGGCATTAGCTATTGGTATCAGGCAGGGGTAGTATTATGAGAGAGATACTCACTGAACATGGTTGCAAATGTCAGAGCCAAAAGTAGGACAAAGGCTGTTGCTCTCATGGTGCTGAAGTGGCCAAGGACAGTCAGATGTAGGCAAAAGAAGTGAACTTCTGGTGTCTGTCCAGCTCACTTGGATCCTGCCTTATATATTGTCTCGAGTTCTTACCTGAATTGTGAAATAGCTATTGCCAGTAACATAATTTTATAAAGAGGTCAGGAACATCTGCTGGGCATAGGTATTCTTTTCTTGTGAAAGACACGTAATTGCACATGATGCCATTTCAATATCCAGTCCCCAAACCCAGGCTGGTGGATCAAGAATGAAATGGTAACTTTGCCCCAAGCCACAACTCTATATAGCCAATGACGTCTTCTATTTAGTACAGTAACTTCTAATAGACAAGCCACTAATCATTTGGCCTTGGCTTAAGTAAGTTTAATTGTACTTTTATTAAACCATGCTTCATTTGAAGTCTTTGTTAAAGGCTACAAGACCACTGATTTTGGCATGTCCCAATTTTCAAATAGAGTGACTCCATGAGAAAACCTTGGAAGCAGCTCTTGCAGATTTGGTAGAAGAGTTGGAAGATACTATTTATACCACTAATAGAAGTAGTGCCTAAGGCCAAGAGGATGAAATTCATATTTGTTTCCTTTCACAAGGATAAAAATAGCTGAAACTTGTGCTGGGATGGTCTGGGGACAAGCATCATAATATCCCTGAGAGCTGAAACTTCATCAGTCTTGCAGACCTGAATTCATTATCAGCTACATAATTCTCTATATGACTTTGTGCAAGGTATTTATCCACTATAAGCCTTGATTTCTTTATATTCATGAGCTTCTCTGTCTTAGAGACTATATTATACCTTGAGTATGCCATGATCAATGATAAATTTTATGACTGCCTCATGTAGCTTGATAAAGACTCTCCTCTTTACCAAACTTTATGCAGACTCCTCTGAACCCTTTTCTTGACCAGGCCTTGGGCGGGCAGGCCAAGAGAAGATCAGCTGCTTCTCCCCGTGAAAAACGTAGGTAGAGGTCATCACAGAGGATAAGAAATTAATAGGAAATAGAGAGAATAAAAGCATACACAGAGACGAAGGTATAGTTTTATAGGTTTACATGAAGAAATTAGGGTAAAGTGAGGGTACTCAGGAGTCTCTTCTACATCTCCATCAGTAGAAGAGCCCTGAGGTTAGATTCACATAGGGTTTTATAATCACAGATATCCATTATCAGTTGCCAGGGTAACAGAATTACATAATAACAGGTAGTGCAGTTGCTATGGGTAACAGATTTACATATCAACAGGTAGTTTCTGTTTGGGTTAAAAGTTTTTTTAAAGGGCTTCTAACAATTTCTAATCTATTCTATCTAAGTGAATAAACAGTTACAAAATCTTTCAAGGACTAACTTATAAGTTATAAGAGATAGCTATCAATTAACACAGGAATAACAAAGAGATATAGTGGCTCTATATTTCTTTTATCTAGTTATTGTGGATTTGAGACAGACAGGAAAAAGCGGGAAGCCCAACTCTACATTCTAAATTGCTCATAACCACAGGGGTGCGTCTCTGGGCTAGGGCGCTAATTGTTCCTGCTCTCATCCTGTGAGCCAGGTATTCACCTGTCTTGTCTTTCAAGATCAGGGAGGCCTCACAGATCTGAAATAAGGAGAAGCTTCCTGGAACACTTCCACACTGGAGCTTTGAGAGTCCTCCCAAATAGAGGCAGCTCTTGATATGCAAACTAAGGAGTTCACATATTTCTTCAGGGCAAAACCCTGCAAACTCTTGTTTCTGTCTTTAATATAGCCATATTGGGCAATACAATAAAATAATGATCTTATGAGCCACATCTCATTAATTTCTCAATCATCTTTTCCCAACAGCCTTGACACTGGCCCTTGTTCTATCCTTGGCCTGCCTTGCTCAGTCTTAGCAAAGAATTCTGCTAAATCATGCCCCCACCCTTGATATCTGATCACCCTTGATATTTGATTAAGTTCCACATCCCCCACCTCTGGTATGTATTTCCTTTGCCTGCCTTTAGCAAGAATCTGCCTACCCTTGATGTCTTCTCATAAATAATTTTCCATCCACTGCTTCCCTCACCCTTCTCCTTGGCTATAAATCCCCTCATTCTTCTTGTGCTGAGAGTAGAGCTCAATCTCTTTCCCCTGTTATAATAATTCTATTATAACAGTCCAGGCTGGGCGTGGTGGCTCATACCTGTACTCCTAGCACTCTGGGAGGCCAAGGTGGAAGGATTACTTGCGGTCAGGGGTTCAAGACCAGCCTGAGCAAGAGCGAGACCCCCATCTCTACTAAAAATAGAAAAAATTAGCTGGGTGTGGTGGTGCATGCCTGTAATCCCAGCTGCTTGGGAGGCTGAAGCAGGGAATCACTTGAACCCAGAAATTTGAGGCTGCTGTGAGCTAGGCTGACACCATGGTATGATAGCCCAGGCAACAGAGTGAGACACTGTCTAAAAAAATCCTGTTATAGCAGTCTTGAATAATGTCTTCCTTACTGTTTTAACAAATGTTGGAATAATTTTTCTTTAATAAGGTTTCAGGATAAAGTTAGTTAATAAAGGCACCATCATGATAAGTTTGCTGTGAGTTTTAAATGAGAGTATATTACTATATGTAAAGCACTTACCCAGGATCCAGCTTATAGTAAGCTCTCAACAAATGTTGTATTTTATTACAATGATTATGATGATAAAGACAATGATGGTGACAGTGATATGGAGGGGAAAAAGGCTCAGAGAATGCTTTGGGCCTTTCTTCAAATAAGCAAGTAGATGTATCTTGTGGCCTTACTAGAAATAATAGATCTTGGCTTAATAGAAAAAGGTTTGTGATAATCACAAATGTTTGATAATGATTGGAGGTAATGAGCAACCCATCATTTTAAGTGTCCCATTGGAGACCAGATGAATACCTATTAGGAACCTTTCAGAGGTCATTTCCTTATTGAATGTGAGGAATTTCCTCCATCCATATTTTCTAACTTTTGTTTTTTAACAGCAAAATGCTTTCTTTAATTACAATAGCAATAATAATAATAATACTTACTGAACATGTATTATGTGTCAGGTCCTATTGTAACTGCTGTATGTGTATTAACGCATATAAATTTTTAAGTTTATGATACAAGTATTATTACTACTAAGGCTTTTAAAATGAATGAAATGATATACAGAGAGATGAAGTTTTTCAAGATCACAATAGTAAGCAGTAGAGTTGGAAAATGCTATATAAAAACATAACATATCAAACATAATAAAGGTGCTCTGTTAGTTGAAGTGGGAATGCGGGAATGTGGTAGCCTTATTTCCTAGTCCCCACATTTCCATGATGACCCCTGAGTCATACTCATGGAACCCTTTGAGATACCTGGAGCAATTTGAAGATTACTAGCTAGATAAGAAGTTCCCAAATTTCAGAATTAGAATGTGATAGAGTTTTTGTCATTATGAGGCAAAATATGAGAAATTTTTACTATTACCAATTACTTTTTCTTTGAGAACACTATTTAAGACCTCTTTTTAAATAAAATATTTATTATAATATTTTGTAAGTTTCCCAAGTAAGGTACAACATTGTTACAGATGATCTCCAATGTCCCATTTCTAACTTTCTAAGTGTCCGTCATTCTTTAACCCAGGTGACCGTACTTACCTTTTCAGGGATCATCTAAGAGAGTAAGTAGAAATATCCAATTCATGTAGGTTATTTAGGAACCTCCTTGTCAATCTCACTTTTCCCTCTAGAGTGAGTCCAGCTATTCAATTTAGTACAACTTTAGAATAGTCCATGGCATTTCTTGAGGTGAGTCCAGTAGAAATACAGATATAAAAAAGAAAGAGAAAGCCTGTTTAACATTGATATTTTACTCTTGAAAAACCTTGTAAAAGCCTGGTGATCTTGAGCCCCCATGATTTACTGCTACCTTTTGCACCCCTCTTTCCAATTATAGTCTTCCAAACATTCCCCTTCTTGTCTGTCATGAAAACTCATCTAGTACAGATTCTAGGAGAACCTATAGGTATTACTATTTCCATTTCACAGGGTGAAAATGAGGCTCAGAGTGGTTAAATTATATTTCCAAGGTTTCTCATTAAATGAATTAATTTTTTTTAGAATCCAGAGCAATTTGTCTCAAAACCCTTAGTTCTGAAATTCTGTACAATGATGCTTCTCCTGACAGGTGTAAGCCAGATGGTAAGACCAGTTCTCTTAAGGTCTGCCAGAAAAACAGCAGTTATCTAATGTCCATCATGAAGTAACAGGTATACTCTTCACACTGTAGAAAGACAGACAGATTCAGTGAGGCAGGTACTACTTGAGAGAGCTGTCTGGATCAGAGCATCAGATACTCAGCTCTGGTTATAAGGGTATGAATGCAGAAGAGAGGAGAAAGGGAGAATGGTTCAGAAAGAGCATAGTATCACAGAATTCCAGGGCCATCACAGGAAATGCTCAAGGTCAGAGAAGAAAGCAGTTATTTGAATAGAAGCCCAAGAATAGAACTGAATCTCAAGATGTTAGACCTAAGGTCAGAGGAGGACTAACATAAAGGTAACTCTATGGTAGATGTCAGAGGACTGGGAAGTGTGGGACTTTAGTTGCTTAAGTTTCTTCTACTTCTGTTTGTTGACAACTGGCCTCAGAGTCCAGGACCTGTTGATGTGCATGCAAGTTTTAAGAGTTCAACTATAGGGAAAAAAAGTTATAAAATCCAGGAACCAGGGAATTCTTGACACAAAGTCACTTGAGCTCCTCAGAAATGTCTTTCAAAACGTCTTTTCTTCTTATGTAAGCAAGGCCTTTTAGGTACCCTTGAGTTTATACTTAAGACAATAAAAAACTTAAAATGTCACTATATAAAATTGGGGTTTCATTTTTAAAAATCCTAAAATATTTTTAGTTTGTATGGGGGATGGGGAAAGTGGGGAGAGCCTGGTGTTTTATTTGAGAATTTACCTAAGAACTCAGCCTGTGTAGTAAATCCTTTTCATATTCTCGTTGGTATTGAACATTCTGAAGTCACTACTGTGCTCAGAGTTTTCTCTCTTGGAGTTTGGTTTCCTTCATAAGAACAGATTTATCAGGTTACTAATACCTTCCTTGCACTATATTCAGGAAGAACACATTTTTTAATTTTAACAGTTATTTTGAATTTACTGTTGCAAGAATAGACCAAAGAACTTCATGTGTACTCTTCACCACAAGACCTCATTCAAATTTTGTCATCTGTGCTAATTCCTTTATAGCAAAATGATCCAATCCAGCAAGACTTAATAGTGTTAAAATGACAATATTTCCCAAATTTATCTACAGATTCAATGTAATTTCTATCTAAATCTCAGCTGCCAGTTTTGAAAAAGTGGATAAACTGTTTCTAAAAATCTTTTGGAAGTACAAGATACATAGAATAGGCAAAACATTTTGAAAAAGAAGAATGCTGGAGAACTTACACTTCTTGATTTTAAAATGTACTATAATGTTATAGTAATCAAAACAGTGAGGTAATGGCATAAGGATAAAATATAGATCAATGTAATAGAATTTATAGTCCAAAACTAAGCTCTTACATTTATGGTGAATTGATTTTTTAAAAGTTTTGTTTTATTTATAATTAATAAATAATAATTGCATATATTTATGAGGTACAATGTGATGTTTTAACACATGTATACATTGTGGAATGATCAAATTAGGCTAATAAAGAGATTCATCACCTTAAATACTTACCATGGCTTTGTGTTGAGAGTATTTGAAATCCATTCTTTTAGTTATTTTGAAATATACAATACATTATTATTGACTATAATCATCATGCTGTACAATGGGTCACCAAAGCATATTCCTACTGAAGCTTTATATCCTTTAACCAATGTCTCCTCCTTCCCTCTCCTCCCACCAACCCACAGCCTCTGGTGACCACCATTCTACTCTCTACTTCTCTTGAGTTTGACTCTTTTAGTTTCCACATGTGAGGTTATGCAATATTTGTCTTTCTGTGCTTGCTTTATTTTACTTAGCATAATATTCTCTAAGTTCATTCATATTATCACAAATGACAGAATATCATTCTTTTTAAAGATTGAATAGTATTTCTCTCTCTCTCTCTCTCTCTCTCTCTCTCTCTCTCGTGTGTGTGTGTGTGTGTGTGTATCACATTTTTTTAAATCCACTTATCTGTGGATGGGTACTTTGGTTCTTTCCATATCTCAGTTATTGTGAACAATGCTGAAATGAACATGGAAAAGCAGACATCTCTTTGACACACTAATTTCAATTCCTTTGGATATATACAAAAAATTAGGATTACTGGATCATATGGTAGTTCTAATTTTAATTTTTAAGAAACCTCTATACTGTTTTCCAAAATAGCTGTACTAATTTATAATACTACCAGTCATGTACGAGTGTTTCATTATCTCCATATGCTCACCAACACTTGTATCTTTCATCTTTTTTATACTAGCCAATTTAACAGATATGGAGTGATATCTCGTTGTGCTTTTAATTTGCATTTCTCTGTTGATTAGAGATGTTGAACATTTTCTTTGTATATGTGTTGGCCATTTGTGTGTCTTCATTCAAGGAATGTCTCTTCAGGTATTTTGTCCATTTTTAAATAGGGTTATTTGTTTTCTTATTATTCAATTGTTTGAGTTCCTTGTATATTTTGGCTGTACAGTGAACTGATTTTTGACAATGGTGCCAAGGCAATACTTTGGAGAATAATATTTTCAAAAATTGGTACTGGGACAACTAGATAGTCACAGGTAAAATAACTTAAAAAACGATATACAAAAATTAAGTCAAAATGGATTAGAGACTAAAATGTAAGAGCTAAAACTGTAGAACTCTTAGAAAAAAACTGAAGTGTAAATCTTTGTGACCTTCGAATGGGCAATAGTTTGTTAGATATGATACTAAGAGTACAAGAAACAAAAGAGAAAATATATAAATTGAACATCATGAAAATTAAAACCTTTTATGCTTCTATCCTTTATTATGTAAGAATAACTTACAGAATGGGAGAAAATATTTGCAAGTCATATCTGATAAGAGACTACTATCTTGAGTATATAAAGAACATTTGTAGCTCAATAATAAAAAAAGACAATGCAATTAAAAAATGAGCAAAAGATTTGATTAGACATTTCTCCAAAGAAATATAAATAGCCAAATAAGCACATAAAAAGAATCCTCAAAATAGTTATTAGGGAAATGCAAATCAAAACCCAAATCAGATACCATTTCACATATTTTAGGATGGCTAAAATAACAAAGATGAAAGATGAGGCAAGGATGTAGATAATTTGGAACATTGCTGGTGTAAATGTAAATGTAAACATAAAATGGTGTCAGCTATTTTAAAAAATGGTCTGGTAGCTCCTCAAAAAGTTATTCATTGGGTTACCATATGGCTTAGCAATTCCATTCTTAGGCATTTATCCAAGATTATCAAAGATATATCCATATAAAAACTTGTACATAAATATACTTATGTATAATTCATATATGTATTTATATATATATACATAGTAGTTTTATATATAATACCCCACATTGGCAGAAAATCCACCTATTCATTAATTCATGAATGACTGAATGTAGTATATCCATACAATGAAATATTTAAATATAGAAGGAGATGAAATACCAATGCATAGGTTAACCTTGAAAACTTTACACTAAGTGAAAGAAGCCAGACACAAAAGGGCACATATTATGTGATTATATTTATATAAAATCTCAAGAATGGCAAATCTTCCTTCCTAATTATATAATACAATTACAGGCATGGGAGAATGGAGGAATGGGAGTGACTGCTAACAGGTATAAAGTTTACTTTTGTTGTGATGAAATGTCCTAGAATGAGACAGTGGCGATGGTTGCACAATTTTGTGAATAGACTAGAAACCACTGAACTATATACACTTTAAATATGTGAATTTTATGCTATGTGAATTATTTCTCAATAATAATAATACTAATGTAAAGGTCCATTCAGGATCACACATTGTCATGCTCTTCAGTCTCCTTCAAGGCGGAACATTGAAATAGTCCTTCCTTAGCTTTGAAAATTATAGACCAATGATTTTGTAGAATGTTCCTGAATTTAAGTTTGTCTGATATTTGATAATGACTATATATTGTACATTTTTGGCAGAGAAATACAGAATTTATGCTGTGTTCTGTACACTATATCCTTTTAGATAGTATGTGTGATGTTGATTTGCCTATCATTGATGATGCTAATTGTGATCACTTGGGTAAGGTAGTGTCTGGGAGGTTTCTCAATTATAAAGTTACCTGTTTTCCTTTCATAATTAATAAATATTTTGGGAGGAGACTCTGAGATTATGTAAATATCTCATTTTTTTATTCTAATCTTACCCATACTCCGAGTTAACTAGGTCACATTTAAATGGGACAAACTATATAAGTAAATGTGTGTTATCTTTGTATGTTACAAATTATACATTGTTTTTGCCTTCAAACATCAATAGGAATGGAAATATTCCTATTTCTCAAGCAATGAAAAAAACCCTGAAAATTTACTGGTTGTATGTCTTTAATATGCCAAGCATGTTTCAAAGAATGTGATATATGCTTTTAGGTCTTGGTAAATATTGGAGGAGGATGGGCATGCAGATCATAATTATCCCTTTCATTTCTATAGGACATTATAGTATACAAATCATGTTTAGATGAATTATCTTATTGACTCTTAAAATGTACCATTTAGATTTGGGGTTATTATTCTCTTTATTTTATAAGTAAGAAAATAGATACTTGTGTACCTTAAGCAGCCTGTCCAATTCTACACACCTGGTAAATATCCAGGTTGGGGTAAGCAGACAAACTTTTGTGCCAGGGTCCATTGTGCTCTTCTGAGCTGGTTGGTGGAGATTTTTAATGAAGACAACATTAAGGAGGATGATAAAGACTGCAATAAATCAAATGCTGATGGTTACACAGAGAAATGAGTAAAACTGAATAAAATCATTTCTTCTCCAAAGCCTAAACTTGTAAAAGTAAAATTTTAAAAACAAATCCACTTCATGTCCATATTTACAGTGATTTAGTAGCTTCCTATGTGGCGAAGATTTCCTTTTCCTTGGAAAAAAAGAAGAAAAGAAAGTTAATATATATGTCATAGTAAGAAATAGTATAATTCCATTGACATTAAACAGTTTATTATAAAAAATAAAAATGTTTTATCATTGTCATACTTCAGTGAAAACTAATTTAAACCATTTCTATTTTTAGGCTGTTACCATCATTTTATGGTAATAAAATGTGCCTCTTTTTCTTGTTTTATTAACTAAAATCAGTTATTTATTGACTTTCATCTATGGAAGAAAAAGTTTTTAATTTGCATTACCTTTCCATTCTTTTCTTCTTCTCGGTTTTTGATAGGCATATCATGAGTTTGTCACATATTATACATAAAAATATTTTAATTATAGTTTATTTTCTCTAGATTTTAAATCAATGATAACATATTGGCATTGGAAACAGGGTGGCATAGTAAAAAGAAGATTGGTCTTGGAATTAGAATATGTGGGGTTGAGTCCTGGGTCTCCATTTATACTTTCTAGCTTCATTTTCCTTATTTGTCAAAAAATAAAATTAGGAAATCCTCATGAAGATGTTCCATAAATGATAAAATTCTGTTTGAAAACATGATTTAAAAACTTAAATGGATGCAGTAGCTTCAAAATAACTTTTACAACATTCGATATAATTAATATACAGAATCAAATAAAATTTACATTTAAGATGATGTAGAAAAAAGGAAAACAAAGTGAAAAAGATAAAGACTAAAATTTTCTCTTTATAATTATTTACACACAAGAGATTGTATACATTTACAATCAATATCAAGGACTGTTTTCCATTTCCCATCATATAGTTTTGTCATATGACTTAACACTCACCTTTTTTCCCCCCTTAGAATGCTCCTAGACTTCATGGATAACAGACAGGGAATGTCCATGATTGACCAGAGATATACTCACCAGAGGAAAACAAAAATGGCAGAATGAGGAGACTCAAGCAAGATGCGACACTCATTGTGGAGAAGGTTGTTTCTTTACTGTGGGTAGGGCACTGTGTTGAGTGATTGTTCTGGCTAAACTCTCCTACCAGAGGCCCTGTTTATATGTATCTGCACAGAGCCTGTTGGGGAGGGGGATTTGTTATAGGCCAATTAGCAAGAGAAGTGGAGTTTTGATTCAGATCCCATTTGTCAAGAATGACTCTGGTGAATAACCACAGTTCTGCCATGTTGGGCCCAGATCAAATTTCATCTTCTCTAAGAGATATTTCTTGTTAATCTCATGCAGTAGTGATTTTGCTTTCCACGGGGACCTTCTTGTATTGAGCTAGGTGGAATGTCTACTTTTGAATTTTCTAATTCTGAATGTATGCAAATTAAAAATTCAGATTGTTTTTAGGGCTTTTCTCAGTTCTATTGAATTATAATTTGTGGGGCGAGGTCCTGGCATCTTTAATTGGCTTCTCGTTATTCTTATGCAGCAAGCTTGTTATTTGCAAGCACATCAGGTTTCATTCTAATGATGTTTCTACATAATAATTATGGTCCTTGGTGCATCAGGCTGCTTTAATAGAAGGAAATGATTAGTAGAGGAGTGATAGTTTTGATTTCTTTGCATCTGTCAGACAAAATTTAGAGTGATTAGTCCAACATATTGACGTACTTTAAGATGGCCAATCCCTAATTGTAATAGATCCAGGCAATGTGGTCAAGGCTAGAAATATACAAGGGAGATAAGACAGGAGAAAGGGTTAACCAGAGGTTTTTATCCTGGAGAAAATAAATTTTAATGGAGACAGAATATTTATCTTCAAATATTGGAAACTCTGTTAATTGGGAAAAAAAAAAGTGAACTTCCTTGTAATATGGTCTCACTAGCTCTGATGGTTGACATCCTCATGCATGTAGTTTTCAACTGTGGGTAAGTATACTGTCCCAACAATCAGACCTCTACAGTGAAGGACATACTTCTTCATGAAACAGTGACTTTTCCATCAGTGCTCTAGTAGAGCTGACCTGTGAGAAAGCATAGTATCTTTCTGGAAAGAAATTGGTAGGAAAACTTTCCTTCTATAAGTGACTTGTTGGAATGAGAGAGGTTCCCTTTTAAGGATCTTTGGTCTAGAGAACAAGATAGAGAGACAGTATGGTCTGTAGACTAGTTCCCAGTGGAGAAAGACTTCACAAAAGAATAAGGTGTTCACTAGTATTTGTGTGTGTGTGTGTGTGTGTATTATGTGTGTGTATGTATGTATTGTGCGTGTATGTATGTATTGTGTGTGTGTATGTATTGTGTGTGGGGGGGTGGAATGTGTGCATGTGTTTCTCAGAAGCTGGGATTCTTTGTATAAAAGTTTCTCCTGAACAACAGGCTTAGTGTGTTCCTCAATTTTCTTCTATAATTGAGATATTACATCCTGGTCTAAAAAACAAACACAAACAGAAGTAAAAAGTAAACTTTCTCGGGAGATTCTTTTATTGAGGTATAAAAATAAGCCAGTCTGTCAGGGGGGCATGACTATGTAGAAGGAGCACAACGACTTTCTTCATTTAATAAAGGTGACTCTGAACCTGGCTCTGCTCCCACCCAGAACATCAGCGAAGATGAAGGAAAGTCAGTCAGAGGCTGGCAGTGTGAAGAGGATGATGAGAATATCATTGCTTTCTACCCATGTCCATGAAGAATTTAGCAATTTCCTTCATGAAGAAACTGGACTCTTCCATGACTTTTCCTAAGGGAAGACATAGTTAACAAGATTCATTAACACTAGAAGAAATTGCTCATAATATTAGCGCTGAAAGGACCTGTAGAGATTATGAGGCAGAACCTAATTTTACAAATGAGGAAATTGAGTCCAGAAGAGGAAGATCTCTGCAGCTTCTGACAGAGGCAGAAGCAGAGTTTCCTTAGTCTGGTGATAATTCCACCCCATCCGCTGCCTCCTCTAATCCCAGAGCCTGACTGATCACCCAATGTCTTGAAACAACAAAGACAGAGCACTCTGACCATAGAAGTTGAGGGACCTGTCCGTCAGCTTTTCCTGGTTAGCAAGGCCTATGATGAAGCTGTGTCCTGCATTAGTGAGGAGGACTTTCAGTGTCCCTGAAACACAGCTAGTTTCCTGGACAAGGGCCCAGTGTGTGCCTATGTTAGAGAGTCTTTTCATTTGTGAAGTAAAACTTTCTGAACAGGAATAAGTATATAGACATATCCTTCTGGGCTCAGGGCCCAATTCAATATTCTAACTTGTTAAGATAATCACAAAGATGAAAAACATAAGCTCTAAGATAAGTGACCAAAATCCAGTAGCCTAAAAGAGAGTTAATAATGATCATGGTGGACTTTGTGTGAGGTAGCAAGCACAAGTTACATGTCTTGCGCCAAAGAAATGACATCCAACAAGTTATAGTTCTTCATAAACACTGTGTGGGCCCACCCAAAAAATACCTAAACAAAACATGTCCATGGGATTCTGGTCCAAGTGCTAACAGCTTGCATCCCTTATTTTAGATAAAAGAAAAACAATCATTTTGGTAGCTTTATTCCCCCTTACAGCTACAGATACCTCAAGTCTCTAGAAAATTGAAGATAAAGAACCTCTAGCGACAGTCCAAGAATCAAGCTATATTAAGGCTGCTAAATAGCTTAAAAGTCATGTAGATTAGTGATTTTCAATTTTTCTTTTTGGTGTGGAGTTCAGGACCCTTTCTTCAAACAAGATATGTGGAACTCCATTATTTAAACAGTTGAAAGCTAATCATGGAGTTGGAGACCACATCAAATGGTCTCTTTAACCCTTCTAGTGGCTCCTGATTTTCTTCTACAAAACCTCTAGGCTCTGGAGATTGCAGTTTGAGAACTCATGGTCTTGTTGGATTCCCAAAACTGATAGAGAGGAATTGGAGGTTCTGTAATGGGCTGGGACCAGTTCAAGCTGGCAGAGCCGGTGCCCCAGTCCAGGTCTGACTGTATGACAAACAGGATTTTATCATTACTGGATGGGATTAAGTGTAATTTATGGAGATTTAAACAGGATCCTAGAAAGAGGGTTTGTAGCAAAAAACACTGGCCCTAGATATCTTTTTCTTCCCATGAGGTACTTACAAGCTCTCAGAACACAAGAGACATTCATTCCCATATGTGATATAGTCAGAACCACAAACTGGCAGGTATGTGATGGGGCAGGGGATGACTGCCACTGGGTACTTCTTGTAAATGCTGCAGTCCACCTGTGTCAGACACAAGAGAAATGTCTTGTTTTTCCTCCCGACCCCAAGCTAGGCTTCTCTGGCCTCCATTGGGCAGGAAACAAGAGGAGGCATTTCCAGTTCAGATATTCTGATGCTGCTATGGCTACTTTTATAAGTGCCAATGTTACCATTATGCATAATATTAGTACTCCTGGCACCACTTCTACTTTTACTACTATACTCAGTCAAAATTGTTGAGCATTCCTGTGCCAGGCATTAAACTTAAATCTTACGTGAATTTTCTTTGTTTAATCTTCAGAACAACTGAAGGTTGTAGGGTTGGTTCTACTATTACCTCTATTTACATATGGGGAAATTAAAGCTTAGAAAGGGAAATAACTTGTATAAAGTAAAAGCTGGTAAGTGGTAGAGTCCCAACTCATTTTGAATCCAGAGGCTGCATAATTAATCAAGTTACCTCTGCTTGACTCTTACATGTTGTCCCTTCCATGAAAATATCACCAACCTCTCAGCTAGAAGTCAGGTCTTTCTCCTTTAATTCTGAATTTTTTCTTTTTTTAAAAATCAGGACATGTTTATTTATATTTCTGTCATATTTTTTCAACTGTCTTCTGGAAAGCAGAAGCCACTTCATCTGTGTTTGTTTCCATCTCTGATCCCTTTAAACATACTGGTTTAATACTACATGTAAACATTTGTAGGATTTGACTAAATGACAATCTATAGGAATTGAAATTAAAATGTTATTCAACATACTCACGGTTGTTAAAGGCAAATTGGCAGCTTCTGAAAGAGAAATACAGATGGAAATGTTAAAAATAAAACAAATGAAAATTAATGAAATCTCATTAATTAATGTAAGTTTTATCCTATAATTAAAGACTCCATTTTTCTTCTGGCAATGAGGTTCATCACTTATGGGCCCATCCTTATGCAAAATCCCAGCTGTTTGCTGAGGGAGTTGAATGGCCAATTTGGTAAGTCCTTGGTTCAGACAAGAGAATTATCCAACTTTTCTCTTTTTATTGACCAAGGGACATTTTCTGGAGCTCATAGTGTCTTTGATAATGGTTAAAAGTCAGATAGCAATAAGAAGTATTGCAATTACCAATCCTACAAGCCTGAAACATCATCCTTACCATCTTTCTCTTCTAATTGATATAAAGGAATGCAATGGGAATCTCTGTAAGGTGTTAGAAATTAAGTTTAAGTATGTAATTTTTCACCCTGAAAAACCTAATTATTGACTCCCTTCCTTTGGAGAACTGTGCTCTGTTTTGTTTCTCCTGGATTGATTTGGGGAGACATCCAAGTTTTTCTGCATCTTTGCACTGAGGAATAGTATGTAATAACTCTAATAACTTCCAGTGTCCTTATGAAATGGAAGACTTATGGAGAAATTAGATTGTTTTTGTTGTTGTTCCATGGATACAAATAGGAACACCTGAAAGGGAAAACACTAGATGTAAATCCCTCAAATTCCAGATGAAACATAAGATTCTCTTTTTCAAAGCCAGGGCTGTTTCTGTTACAAACCAGCACACTTTAAATTCACATGACCAAACGTTTCTCTCAGATGCTCACATCCCAGGAGGGATTATTTGGGAAAATAAGCTTAACTGTATGGGGCACTTATCTGCCCTTAACTCACCTGAGCTGCTGCAGAAATGGGTCACTGTACAGAGCAGAAGGAGCCCCACAAGGATCTTCATGGTGGAAATGGCTGTGACGCAGAGGCTGCTCTGAGATTGTCCCCACAGCTGCATCAGCCATGGCCTACGAAAGGGTCACATTTATATGGCAAGGCTGGGTTTCTCCACCTTTCCTGTGAGGTCATCCAGGGTCACTGTTGGCGCTCAGAGGATCTCAAAGCACAACGTCACACCCTGGGTGGTGTTGTGGTACTGGTTGCTTAATTGCTACTTCCTATCTGACCAACACATTGATTATTTGAGGTGAGAAGGATTTTTCTGTCTGACCTATAGGTGAGGATTGTTTGGAATTATAAGCTTTCATACAGTAGAAGAGATTAAGTGGGGACCACTTGGCCTCGTTATAAAACAAGCGAAAATTTCAAACTTCCTTTATTTTACCAAAATGGAAATTATTAAACTCAGATTAGACGGATTGTACCTAAATTTATATCTTGCTCCTGGGAAAATATTGTTTTATTTTTGAGGCAATGAACCTATGAAACAAGCTGGGATCTAATGGAAGGAACAGTGAAATTTTAGCATTTACACGGTATGGGGAAGAGCGTTGACATTACTTTTGACATTTTCTACCTGTATGATCTTGGATAAGTAATTTATGTGCGGTAAGCCATGTCAGTTAGGAATACTTGGTTATGTTATGGCAACATATAACCACAAGATTTCTGTGACTCAAAACAAAATAATTTTGTTTGCTTCTTAATTAAGCTATGCATGTATGGTGGCCAGCTGATGGTGCTGCATTGCCTTCACCCTGGACCATCTGCAGATAGACTAGGCACTATTTGGAATATTGCTGCCCAGGTGAAATGCCGATGCATTCTCAGGGATTTCTGTTTTCAGCAATGCTCCAGCCCCGAAGTGATTACTTCCCCTCATGATCATGTGGCCATCACATGGTCTCCCCCAACCGTAGAGACTCTGTACAGAGTGAGTGCAGTCAATCTTACCTTGTCCCTGCAGGTCACAGAGGGAGAACTGGCATAGTTGGCAAACAGCACAGAGATCACCCCGGAGCCTGAGTTTCATCTTTTGTCCACTGGGGCCTATTCTTAGCCATGATAGAGTTCATGTAATTGGTGTCACTTACATGAAAGTCTGTTTTAAAGCACAGTGCATTTAATAATGTTATGTGATTATTATTCTTGATGAGCCAAGAGCTAATGCTATGAATAGCAGACATTAGATTGTAAATTGTGTTTTCCAAGCACAATTGTCCAAATGGCTGTGTGTCTATTGAGCTTAAAGATATATGTATTTAATAAAGACCTGGGGGAAGGCAATGGCTCTATCTCATCAGTTTATTGCCTGGAAGATTTATTTTAGTGCATTCTGAAACACACGTCTACAAAAGATATTAAGCAAATAATAACTGATATTGCATGACCCCTAAAATATGGACTCTTACATCTGTTTAGAAGGCAATATAATCTAGTGGTTAAGGACATGGTCGTTGAGTCCAGTGACTTTCATTTGGAATTTTTCTTCTAAAAAATGACTCTGTAACTTTGAGTATATAGGTTAACATCTGATACTTTAGTTTTTCTCATCTTTACAACAGGAATAATATTTACCTCACAGAGATTTTTGAATGCTAAATGAAATTTTCCGCACACATACAACTATATAGTTGACCCTTGAACAAAGTGGAGTTTAGGAAAACCTACCCCCCATGCAGTTGAAAAATTTGCATATAACTCTCCAAAGCTTAACTACTAATAGTCTACTGTTGACCAGAAGCTAATGGTTAATATAATTAGCCAATTAACACATATTTTATATGTTATATGTATTATATGCTGTATTCTTACGACAAAGTAAGCTAGAGAAAAATACATTAAGAAAAGCATATGGAAGAGAAATATATTTACAATTCATTAAGTAGAAGTGGATCATCATAAAAAGTTTCATACTCATTGTCTTCACCTTGAGGAGATTGAGGAGGAAGAGGAGGGGTTAATCTTGCTGCCAGGGTGGCAGAGGTGGAATAAAGCTGCATATAAGAAGAACTGCGCAATTCACACCCATGTTGTTTGAGGGTCAACTGTATATGTAATCTCATGGATATGTGTGTTTGTAGGGGGTGTGTGTATGTGTATTTGTGTATCAGGGTGCCAAGCTCATAATTAGATCTTGATATGTGGTAGCTAATAATATTAGAATATGATCTTCATAATGACTCATTAAGAAGAGAATTTTTATTACCCTAATTTTACCAGTGAGTAAGTTGAGGCTCAGAGAATTTAGGTAATTTTCCTAAGATCATGATACCAATGATGCTAATTAATGGAGAAGACTGTTGAGTCCACTCATGGAAAAGAAGCAAAGTGTAGGTTCTAATAAAGAGAAGTAATTGTATGTTTTATTATTCGCCATGCAAGCTTGAAGAAACTAAATCCTGAGAAAAAGCCATTGTGTTTCCAAATGAGGTATCTTTATTGTAGACTGAAAATGCAGTTTCATCAAAGAGGAATAGGAATGGAATCAAAATATGATCAGGATCGTGGGGATGGATAGGGTCATAGGTTTTTGTTTTTTAATATGATAATCAAAGGAGGGGAATGGAAGAAACTGAGGCTTCAGTAAGCTCTAGAATAGACTGTGTTAAGACCAAAGGGAAGAAGAAGAAAATCAAGATATATGGTGGAGGGTGGCTAATTAGAGGTATGTACAAAGATAAAAATAATATTAAGAGCACAGATGAAGCAGCATTCCTTTGACCCAGGAGACAGGAAGGGTAAATGAATGTAGAGACAGAGATATTAAGGTAGGGAAGGAGAGATGAGGGGGGAATGCATTGTAAAGTAGGCTCTGGTTGTTGAGTGCTGGGATTGCTTTTTGCAGTGGGAGGATTGGGTTGGTCTGAAAACTTGATAATGATGGTAGAAGGCCTAAGACAGACATTGATGGGAGCATGTCCAATAGCAAACAATGGATGCACAGATTAATGGCCACTAGCCAAAGCTAGCACTAGAATTTACACAGGGTAATCTGTACTATGCTGCATATTTCTCCCAAAATTTGACACAGAGTGAGAAATGGGAAGAATGATTTTCTGGAAAGGGAGTGGATATAGCAAAGAGTTGAGGGGACCCTAAAGCTGTGTTAGGAAGTGGTAAGGCTTAAAATAGTCAAGTGTTCCAGGAGGTTCTGTGGACTATGCAAGGTGCAAGCAATTAAGTGTTTAGAGATCAAGGTTTAGGCAAAACGTGGACTTAGTAGGTGTGGGGAATATGACCAATTGTTTATGAAGGCTGTGGCTAGGAGGCAAGGTGTCAGATTTAATTTCTCAGGGGTAGGGCTGAGATAATGGTACTCAGGGTGTAATCAAAGGTCAAGTACATGAAGGATTGGTGGAGACACAGTTCTCTCTATTGAATAGGATGAGGAAAGGTAAGGTCAAGGCATCAGGTAAAAGGTTGCTTTGGGTTTTGGCTGTTGTTTACATGGAGAAGAAATTTTCAAGCTGGACGTAGGCAACAAATTATGGGGGTAGGGGTGAGAAAATGAGGCCTTGTAAGGGAGAATCTCTATGTCAGTGGGTCCATTCCCAGGAAGGCAGGATAAAATTACTGCAAAAAACTTAAAAGCAAAGTAAGATACAAGTTTGAGATTATTACGAATGTCTTCCCTAGTAGATTTGAGGTGCTATAAAGGAAATGTAGCTTAGTACAGACATTGATGGGAGTGTGTCAAGTAGCCAGCAATGGTTGCAAGGATTAATGGCCACTAGACATGGTTAGCACTACCTTTTAGAAGAGCAGGATGACCCATTTAGAAGTTTAAAGAAGGGAGATAAAACTACATTGGAGCAGGGAATGGATGAAGAGGTCCAGATCAGTTAGCTGAAGGGAAATAGGGAAGACAGCATCACAGCTGGGCAGTAATCCAGCGGCTGTTGGAATGAAATGTTACAATAAAAATATCAACAATATATTAAGCTCTTACTATGTGCTAGAACTGTGCTATACCTGCTGTATACATTATGCGACTTTAATGTTAATCTTATAAAATAAGGACTGTTATTCTCCCTGTTATTTAGCTGAGACAAGGAGGATTAGAGAAGTGGATAGT